GAGAGAGAGAAGCGGAGGCACCATTCCGAGTAGCTCGAGTCTGATTTGGGTCCCCCATAACAGTCTCGCGATTTATATGCGCAGGGAACACATCTGCCAGTGACGCAATCGTCCCAAATCGACATCTCGACCAGTGAAGTCATATGAAAGTGCGGGAGAAGGATCTTGAATTGATGACTTGGAGAATGTGCGGTTGAGCGCCGGCCGTGAAGTATTCTGTCCAAGCAGGGGACAGGGTTGCGAAAGGCTAAGTTCAGCGGTCGACCCAATCTACCCCTCAGGATAGGTCTGAGAGTCTAACAGACTTTTTGGAAACGGCACATAACGCGATTTCTTTGCAAACTCGGCCTAGTGATCGGGGAACTGCTGAGTGCAAGTACTCACAAGTTATATTCACATGGGAGCAAGATGAGAGCGTCCCCGAACAGTTGTTGACAGCTGCTATCTCACGTTCTATTTGCGGCTGCCCATCAGGGCCTTGCTGCACTCCTGAGGTCATGAAACTTCAGCTTCTGAGAATCATATCTTCCTGGGCTCCAACGACTGTGCGCCGTAGAGCTGAGATGAAGGGACGGAGTCCGCGGGGAGCGATCGAGAGTCTTCGAGATCGACCTTCGACACAGAGCAAGCCTAGAATCGATTCTCTGATTAATTTTGGTGCCTCCAGTGTGGACCAAGTTCAGTAATTTTTTCCTCGTAGTGGTTGCGCGATTTTGCTCCCTTAGACTGCTCAAGGCGTGAGACCCCCCAGCAGCAATATATCTCGGCTCACGTACTTGCCATGCTTTTCATTCCCGGACATTCATTCGACTTGATGTGTTGCACTCGGACGCCCTACAACATCGAGGTCCTCTTTGCTTTCGAGTTGGAACCGTCCACAGCCAGGCCGCTGGGAATTGTTCATCGCTTTCATCCACCGATGTGCATAACGTAGACCGGCACAGTCACGAGAAGAGCTGATATTTGCGGAGTTTCGAGCAGACACAGAGTGGCAGTGTGGTCAACTCCTAGCTCTGTAGTTGGGAAGGATGCGGCACGGAGTAGGAACAACAGTCAGGAGCGCTCTTGAATTCGATCGATCGGGCCCAGTATAGAAACCAAATTACCATTTATGTTTTCTCTTCGATCAAGAGGAAGTCTTCCCACCTGCCCTCACCTCCGAGTCGGACTGGGGTGTTGTGCTCTTTATCTGATACTGATAAGTATTGACAGTCGGCCTCGCGTCAGTACCGCTCAACCTGACACGTGACAGTCGAGGTCATGTGAGGTTGATTGGGGTGTGAAGTCACACAACACCCGTTCTCTGATTGAATCCCCCACAATCTCCTGCGTCTCCTCATCCTGCGAAATACCCACTGTCATACTTACTCGACTCTACTAACGCTCCGACACGACTTGACTTACGAAACCACGAAACCACTAAATTCCAAACATGTCTGAAGCCGGTCAACGCCTCAGTCCCATTTTGATGCGTTCTGGCACCCCCGGTAGCTTTGTTCCCAAGCATTCGAAGTCCATCCTTTACTAAACTGATTGTAGGTCCGGCAGAGAAAGGTTAATAGCTGCTTGCCACCTCTCGTGGGCGCTCTCTGACTGCTTTTACCCTAGTGCTCCGCTATCTAGAAGGCATGTCCCGCGAAGGCGATGACGTCGACATTTCTCCCCCTCGGTCGCTCGCAGATGCTGAAGAGTACAACGCTACCATCCCGGAGATGCTGCGGTCCCCTGGCGTCCGAAGCAAGACCAGTCAGGCTCTGCGGGACTTGGCCAAATCACCTGTCAGCTACGACGATCGTTCTAAGGTGGTGGCGTCGCGCTCGGCGGCGACAAGCAAACGCGCACGAGGACAGTGAACGGAGACGATGCGGCCTCGATAGAGCAAAACGGGCAGCGCTCAGAGTTTGGAGATCATCCTTTGCCTGTGGTGCGTCCCACTATTCTATTCACAAAAGTTTTTGTCTCAACTAAGTGGCGGGTAGCGTCAGCCCAGCTTTGAGCCAGGTCCGAATGACGACCCCGGCCCTCACTATCCTTCGTTCGACTCCGGGCCCTCGTTCGGAAACTTCGGACCCATGCCCGACGATGGACCCTCCCGCACACCTATGTTCCAACCTACATGGACAGTACGTGCACCAAGCGTACAACCTGTACGACGATTTTGACAGATTCAAAATAGCCTGACTGGGGGCATGCAGTGCCAGCGTATGCGAAGGTTCCCCTGCCTGAATCCAGGACAGGAAGCGTGAACGTTGACGGGGAGGCTGCGTCTCAGGCTTCGAAGAAGGCACACACGCAACGTACTGCTGTGAGGTGTTCTGGTACAACTATCGAAGTCAACTAATCGGTATAGTCAAAGGCCCAGCAGAACGACGAACGTCCCTGGTCTCCCATGTCGAGTCGATCTCGCCTGACCAAGGCCACCGAGAAGGCCACTGCCTATCCTGCCTTGCCGGAAAGTCGTGTCGGTGAAGACGATTCTCCGCCTCGGTCCAAAACTGTAGGTTTCCTGCCATGACTTTTTCGTCTCCTGAGGTCCTTCCCAGCACTCTCCACCGCCGCCGCAATCCCCATCACGGAAGGCGGAGCCGCTGTCGCCTCGAAGCGCCACTCGCAGCATGCAGAGTAAGCGAAATGACCATTCGCAGAAGCGTGATTGATGTGCGAACAGACCCTCCGCGTTCTCCCGGCGGATCCATGTTCTCTGGCGGGCATCAGAACAGACCATTTTCGCCCTATCGACACGCCCCTACCCACGAGGACCTTCTGCACGCAGCGGTCCGGGGGCGTGCATTTATCCCGCCAGATCTAGACCAATCCGCAGCCGAGCCAGCCTTACCACCTCCGTCAACGACGACTCCAGTGATGAAAGCCGCCTCCGTCGCTCGCTCTCAGTTCTCTGCGCAATCACCACTGCCTGTCAAAGCCCCATCGATTGCCTCGCACAGGACCGGGAGCACAGCCACACCTATCCAACGGCCGTACTCCCCGAATGAGCTTAACCAAGAGGAGGAGCAGATCGTCCAAGATACACTTGCAGGGAGAACCCCTCGGACGTCCCATTATGCGCCGTCGGTCTTGGGCTCGGATGTCGTCAACTCCCATTTCCACGACATGGACCTCTGCGTTCTGCTGCACCAGGAGAATGACCCCACCGTCCACGATGTTGTCAAGAAGGCTCTTCGCAAGGCAATCCGACAGCGTGTCAAGAAATTGGGCATGAAGCACGACACCGAGGTACGGGATCTCCCACCATCTGTATTGTATTGCTCAACCTGTGCAGTCAATCAGACAGTACCGAAAGGCGCATGACCATGATCCCAGCGTGCATTTGTCTCAAGAAGATCTGGTAAATTCTTTCATATTACCCAATCTGTTCGGCAACTGAACTGGCGTATAGGAAGAGCCTCCGAAATGGGCAGCCGACATCAAGCGTGAACTTGTTCTGATGCAGCAGCGGATTGAAAGTCTCGGCCCGAAGATTGATGGGCTCAAGTCACCGAGCGAGGGCCATTCCAAATTGGACTACGAGGAGGAGGAGCCTGTCCAATACAATGAGACTCCGCTCACTCGCACGGTCAATATCCACACTCAGCCGACTGGGACCCTGGCCGAGTCGTTATACCAGCACCCAGAAGAGGAGCATGTCATCCTCGAGGAGGACGAGGTCAACGAGGGATCTGACGACGGGACCGAGAAAGAACCGATGGGATCGGATGCCCTTTCTCAGCAACATAATCTCCTGCCTCGTGACGAGTCCCCAGGCCACCAGCATTTCGAGGAAGAGCTGTACAAACTGCGGCAGAAGCCGGCGGGAAGCAACCTGTCCTACGAAGTCGGGCTGGATGACGACGGCGATTACGACGACCGTAGTGGCGAGGGACCCAGTCCTACGGGCTTGCAGACCATTCCCGACCGCGAATCGAATGCCGATCGGGAGTCGAACGCCGAAGTCGCCAACGATGAAGCAGCTCCACAATGGAATGCTGGTGATATCAGCCACGAGTCGCAGCCCCGTCTTCCGCCATGGCAGCTGATCCACCAACGGCTGCTTACGTGGGCCATCATTTGGCCTGCGAGCGACCTGGATACAGCACTGAACAGCACCACTCGCGGGCAGCAAGTGAACGAAGTCGCGCTGACGATCTGGTCCACTCAGACCTACAAGCGCTATGTGCGTGCCAAGTTGACGGACAGTCCGCAGGGCCTGGTCGACCGCCTCTTCGTTCCCCCCAATGTCGCTGATGCCATCAGCAATGCTGTATTCAATGGTCGACACGGCGATGCGTGTGGCATGCTCAGAGACCTGTGGAGTCCGTTTGGTCTGGATGGGATGCCGAGGTTAATTGTGGTGTTAGCCAAACATCGAACAGACCCGAACCACTGGGTTGTGCACAGGTAAGGATAGATTGTGCTGTTCTTTGCCCTGTGCTGAACGCTCTCGTTAAGGTTCTCCCTTCCTGAAGGTGCACTGACGACATACGATTCGTATCCGGAGCGGACTTTGCCGGACGGACGGGTGCGTCGGTACTTCCACTGTCTTGAATAATCTGGGCTGACTGTCCTCAGCCACTGGGCTGGTGGTTTGCCATCCGCGTTGCCTGGCCCAATGCCAATTACCCCAGTCCAGACAATCTGATGCAAAAGATGGTTCGGCTTCACCGGCCCTTGCAGCTGGCCATTGACAATTCGGTCGCTGCCTGTGGACTGTGGAGGAACATCCTCATGGGCTCTCGGGCTGAGCGCAGCTTGGATCTGGAGAGGCTCAGAGATTTGATCAACACTGAGGTCAAAAACCTGCGGCAGAAGAAACAGATCGGCAAGTTGTCCATTGCGGGACCTCGGCCAGTCTGGGACATGCATTAACATTTACCAAATATATTCGCGCGATACCTTTACCTATAAATTCCCGCCCTGCTGTTGTATCTACTCTTAGCTGTATAGTCGACTCGATATGCCTTTCTTTACAAATCGGATTTATTGTGGCTGTGGATAGGCTGTTGCCTGTGTTGACCTCGTCACGCCGCCGTGACACGACGTCTCCATCCTTGTCCATAGCATTGACAATAAACCGCTTTCCATGTCCGACGCACCGACTCTGAGTATCACCATGTTAGGTGCGGGCCAGGAAGTCGGTCGCTCCTGTTGTGTTCTACAGTACAGAGGGAAGACTATTGTCTGTGACGCCGGCGTGCATCCCGCACACGGTGGAATGGCCTCGCTTCCTTTCATTGACGAACTCGACTGGAGTACGGTAGACGCATTGCTCATTACCCAGTGCGCATGCCCTCCTGTTTACGCGTGTCCTTGATCTAAATTGCTCAGTTTTCACCTCGATCATGCTGCTGCCCTCACGTATATCACCGAGAAGGTGAAACAGGACAGTCCTTCTCCTTGCTGCGTCTAATATGTATCTATAGACCAACTTTCGGGAAGGCAAAGGCAAAGTGTACATGACCCATCCGACAAAGGTCCTTCACAAGTTCATGATGCAGGACTTTGTGCGAATGAGGTGAGCATATTTGTTAGCTGGTATGTCGAGTAACCGATGTCCCTGTAGCTCCACCTCCTCCGATGCCCTATTTACTCCGATGGACATGGCAATGTCTCTATCTTTCATCACCCCCGTCTCCGTTCATCAGCTGATAACACCATGTCCTGGTGTGTCGTTCACGCCCTATCATGCAGGACATGTGTTGGGGGCCTGCATGTTCCTGATCGACATCGCGGGTCTCAAAATTCTGTACACGGGCGACTACTCTAGGGAGGAAGACCGTCATCTCGTGAAGGCAGAGCTGCCCCCCATTCGTCCGGATGTCTTGATTGTCGAAAGCACTTATGGTGTGCACAATCTGGAGAGCCGTCCGGATAAGGAGCTGAGGTTCACAAACCTGGTTCATTCTATCATCTCACGGGGCGGCCATGTACTCCTCCCTACATTTGCGCTCGGTCGTGCCCAAGAGCTGCTGTTGATTCTGGACGAGTACTGGAAGAAGCACCCGGATCTGCACCGTGTACCGATCTACTACGCCTCAGGTCTTGCCCGGAAGTCTATGGCGGTATATCAAACTTACATCCATACCATGAATTCGAACATCCGGTCCCGATTTGCTAAACGAGACAATCCTTTCGTGTTCAAGTGAGTCACATGCACCTCTACACAATACTGGCTGGCTGATGGACTTCCAGGTACATCTCAAACCTTCCCCAAGCCCGTGGATGGGAGAAGAAGATCGCGGAAGGACCCCCATGCGTCGTCTTGGCCAGTCCTGGATTCATGCAAAGCGGACCAAGTCGAGAACTGTTCGAGCTGTGGGCACCAGACTCGCGGAACGGGCTGATCATCACGGGCTATTCGATTGAAGGAACCCTAGCTCACGTAAGTGGAACTCACCATCCTCTTCGTACATCTGTATTGTATTGCATCAATGGATATGTTTTCACCCCACGGGGATCTGAGCTCATGGATTTCTCAGGATATCGTGAATGAGCCAGAGGAAGTCGAATCCGTCAAGGGTGGCATGATCCAGCGCAAGCTGTCCGTGGCCTACATCTCGTTCAGTGCTCATGTTGATGGCGCTCAGAACGCAGAATTTATCGAGGCTGTTCGAGCACAGCATGTGGTGAGTCATCCGTCTGCAGAGCGAGCGGCTTGGTGTTTATTGCTACTAGGTTTTGGTGCATGGGAAGCAAGATGCGATGGCTCGGTTGAGAGCGAAACTGACGTCGCAGTACAAGGAGCGGGAGGAAGATGTGAAAATCCACACCCCGCGCAATCTAGAAACGCTGGAGCTCTCGTTTCGCAGCGATCGGGTGGCGAAGGCCATTGGAACACTGGCTGATCAGGTGCCGCGAGCTGGGGACGTGCTGTCGGGTCTGCTGGTGTCCAAGGACTTCTCGTACACGCTTTTAGATCCTCGAGATCTGAAAGACTTCGCGGGTTTGTCCACCTGTTCGGTGACTCAGCGGCAAAAAATAACCCTCGGAGTACGGTGGGAGCTCGTCAGATGGCACGTGGAAGGCATGTTTGGGGGCCTCGAAGATGGACTGGACGCAGACGGCATCCCTACGCTCAGGGTAGGCGCATGTGTCAATTTCGAAATTCCGCTCAATGCTGGACAGATTATGGGCGCTCTCGATGTCAAGTTGACCCAGGAGCATGAAATCACGTTAGAATGGGAATCGAGCGCCAGTAATGACATGCTCGCAGACTCGACGCTGGCCCTGATATCAGGCATTGACCATAGCCCTGCTTCAGTGAAACGTGAGGTCGAGGCGGATACCTACATGCTTGGCGCTAACGCGCCTGACAGTCACGTCGCATTCCCACGTTCACTCCCACGCAAAGCATCCCCACGCTCAAACTGACGACCACAGCGTCCGGATTCAGCGCATCGCATGGTTTTTGGAAGCCCATTTCGGGGATGTGGAATTTCATCGACCAGAAGATGCTGAGGAGGATCCAGAGCAAGGTGAAGACGAGAAACCGGCGGAACCGTCGATGCTCGTTCACCTCGATGATACGGCCGCTCGAATCAACCTCGTCTCTTTGGTGAGTCTTTTCGGCTACGCCTAGACATACGCTCTGATTGGAGAGCAGAGTGTTACGAGCGAGAGTGAGCCATTGAAAAAGAGGGTTGAGGCTGTATTGGACATGGCCGTGACCACTGTGTCCACGTTGGGAGAAGCTTTCGTTTCAAGACCATCTGGCTTTGGATCTGCAGAAGTTGTCAAAACGGTCCAGTCCAAGGGGGGCGACCGAGTCGTTGACGGCGAAGGATCTGAAGGGGATTCTATGCAGCAGGTCCATGATTAGATTAGATAATCTACATATGTAATGTCGGCTCCGACACCCTGTCTTGCTTAGTGAGCGGCCTACTGCATTGGCGCATGTATCGTATATGACTTGGTTCAAACCCATCTTTCGACTCTCCATCCAAATGTGTGCTATGCCTGCCCGACGCTCCTCCACGCGCATAGCTTCGTCTGAATCCTCTGCATTGAAGCGTAAAGCAGATCCACCGCCCAAGACCACCAAAAGAGCCAAACGTTTGCCGGACCCTGTTTCCGACCCCGCTGCCATAGCCCCACAAGTTACTGAGGAAGTACACATCTCCGAGAATACTGTTGTCCCGGCAGATGAACTTCTCACATTCTCCTTCGAAGAGGCTCGGAAGCACTTGATACGGGCGGACAGCCGCTTCGAAGACTTGTTCGATCGGCTTCCTTGTAAACCATTCCAGTTTCCTGAGCAACTGGATCCTTTTAGGCATGTTGAGTGACATTCTTGTGGATTTCTCTCTCAACCCCAGGCAAGGTCGTTGGCTACCTCCAGTACGGCGGTGTCATGAGACTGGAGAGGAAGCGCTCACCCAAGAAGTCCTAGGTCAACAGATCTCCTGGCTTGCAGCCCGCTCAATCACACACAAGTTCATACGGCTTTACGATCCCTCTATTCCAGAGAATCGTGCGGACTAGTCCGTGCTCCGTCTCTCGGTGCGACAGACGAGTTCTGACGCGCGCTGATAGCCTCAGCGAAGCCTTCTTCCCCACACCCCAGCAAGTTGTAGGCACAGAAATGGCACGCTTGAGAACTGCGGGACTGAGTGCTCGGAAAGCAGAGTACAGTAAAAAAACGCTTCATCTCTGCCGCCATGAGCGGATACTCACATGTTTCCAGTTCTTGACTTGTCGGCGAGATTTTCAGATGGTTAGTGAGACGAAAGGCTACCGGAAAAATTCAAAATTGCTGCAGGACGTCTTTCGACCGATAAACTGCTTAAGTGCACTGATGAAGAATTGGCTGAGATGCTGCTGGAAGTTCGCGGTATTGGCAAGGTAAGCTACAGTCTTTGACTCCCGTGCATGAAAATAAAGGTGTGATACGTAGTGGACCGGTGAGTAAGCTCAGCCCGAGGTTGATTTGCTCTGAACACCTGAAAAGTGGACATGTTCGCCCTGTTCTCTCTTCGTCGGGCGGACATATTGCCGGTCGGCAAGTCATCTTGCATGCAAAAAGGCGTTTAGAACGTGAAACTCATACGGTTTCCAGGTGATTTGGGTGTTCAGCGCGGGCTTGTGCGCTGGGCGCTAGCGCAACACTCTCCGACTTATTCATACATGATATCACCCGAGAAATTGCCAGCGTCAGACAAGAAACCAGAGGTTTCGAAAGACGACGATGTTCTTCCCAGTTTCACTGAAGATGCGCGCGCTATCCCTTCTCGTGTTCAAGATGAAAGCGCGTCGATTCCGATTCCGCCGATATTTACACCCTCGATTAACCGTACATTGACTCGGCCCACTTCTACCTTGGTGCCTCTTCCCGAAGGACTCACCGCTGCAGAACTCAAAAGTAGATTGAGCGGAAAGAAGAAAGTCAAGTACGTCATTTCTTATTAAACTCGGCTGCTGTGATGGATGAACTTGTCGCCATTTTCCCAGAGGCGCCTTGTTGTCGCCGGCTCACATGGAGGCTCTGACCGAGAACTGGCGACCGTACCGCAGCATAGGTCAGTAAAATGGCCCAGCATCACCCCAACTAATTTCTTCAAGGTGTTTATTACATGTGGTGCCTGTCGGATGCGGAATGATGGCGGATTCAATCATTAATGTTACCTATATACACGTGACCGTGACTCAACGCGCGCCACTTTTGTTCTCTGCAAGTCTCCTCCATCGAAGCTCCCTTGTGGGCTTCTGCTTCTCCAGAATTGGGCAGCAGAAAGAGCGAGCAATCTGTTTCTGGCGTTTTTCTCGCAACGCTTCTACCTCTCCTCATGCGGACCTCCAGCTCTCGTCGCTCGAACCTGCAGCCTCTCATGATACCCGAGCTCTTAGCTTCTTCTCCGAGGGAAGCTGGATACCACTCGCCAGCCGAGAGTGATAGCTTGCAGACCCCAACACCTATATACGACCACGGCGAGATTCATCTCCAGTTCAAACATGTGTCACAAGACCATCTTTCTCCGCGCATTCATCCGTACATACGCAAAGGACACTGCGATACTCCACTATCTCCTTCTCCTCTTCAAATCTTCCTCCCGTCCCCGAAAAGTCTCGAGCTTTCCTTACACGCGTCGCCGTCGTCCTCTCGTTCGGCGAGCTTCTCACTTCACGGATCGCTCTCCAGCAGCAGCGGCAGCTTTGTGAGATATAACAGTGAACCTCAGTCAGGAAACCTCCGATGCAAACACGCCAATCCTCGTGCTTCTTCTGATCCCGACGCTCGCACTAGTCGCACACCCCAAGAGCGACCATTGAACTTGAAGGGATCAGCCCATTCACCGCGTTTCCCTCCCAATCACGAACTCAATCCGTACTTTTTACGCGATTATCAGGTGATTAAAGTTCCATGCGGAACTCTGACGCTGAACGTTTTCTTGTAGCTTGAAGATGAGCTGGGCTCGGGAGGATATGGCTTTGTGATGACCGCTCTTCGACATGACGGGCTCGAGACTGCAGTCAAGTTCATCCTCAAGGAGAAGATTCCGGACCATGCATGGATGAATGATGAGGTGTGTCGTGTGTGTTCATCTATACTTGTGCTATTTGACAGAACGTTCCTCAAACAGGTTTTCCGTGTTTTGCCGCTAGAAGTGATGCTTCTGAGAGCGATTGATCATGATAATATCGTCAAATGCGTCGAAGTCTTTGAGGATCCGGTTTATTATTATCTAGTGGGTGTTTCTTGTATCAACAACCGCGCGCATTGACGACTAGCTCAGGTCCAAGAACTGCACGGCTCACCTTGGCATAAAGCTGTCCGTAACGGTCCGACGTCTCTGGTCAAATCCAGTGTTTGTGTTTTGTCGTCTTCCGTCTCTGTAGACTGCATGGCCAAGCCTCAAGGTTTTTCTGCTGACGGCCGCCAACTACATCAAAGCGCCGAGGATGTTCATCTCAAGCGGAAGACACCGGCTTCGCGTCCCGCGCTTTCTGTTCCCCGCAAGCCAGAATATTCTCGACGTCCCTCTTATGATCTTTTCGAATGCATTGAGCAGTCTGAGCACAAACGATTGCCTGAGTGCCAGGCTCGGTTCGTGTTGGCTCAGGTGGTCGAAGCTGCATACTATCTGGATATCCATGGGGTCACCCACCGAGATATCAAAGACGAAAACCTAGTCATTGACCGGAACCTCAAGGTATGCAGGCCTGTGGCATTGCGGCTTCCATCGCTGAGAATGCTTTTCAAGGTCAAACTTATTGACTTTGGAAGTGCCGTGGTCGAAGACCCGGAGACTCGCCCGTATCACACTCTATTTTTTGGGACCACGGCGTACGCTTCCTCCGAGATCTTGCTCAAGAAGCCATACCAGGCTCCACCAGCGGAAGTCTGGACTGTCGGGGTCCTCCTGAGCTTTCTTCTCACGGGATCATCGCCCTTTCCGACTGTCAAGGACGCCATCGACGGTCGGATTGTCCTTTCAGACTGCCCGAAGGACGTGTCGGCTGGGGCCTTGGACCTGATGCGTCTTTGCTTGGACCCCAACCCCAAAACCAGAGCTACCATCGGAGAGGTCAGGATCCATCCTTGGCTAAACTCGCACTAGGCTCGACCTGACAGACCATTATCATTATCCCATACTTTTATCAGCAGTTAGATACCCACATGCATCTGTGTAACCCTCCGCATCGTTTTGTAATAGCATCAGTCTCACATTGAATCACGTGCCCCCTCACATCTTCTCTCCGCTTCTGATGTTCAGAACAGGTAGATTGTCCAGGGCAAGGTAGCAACCGGTTTGACCCTTATTTTCAGCTGCATCTTTGGTGACGAGAGCATCCCTTCGTGCGCCTGGGGCGCTCTATGGTACACTATCATTGACCAGTCACTCGTCGGAACTGACCCGATTTACAGCTCCGCGGGCCTTGCACACGTCCTCGATAGTCAGGCAAGAACCTGCGCCCATCCCAAACCACAGCCTCTCCCCTACCGAACCCATCACAACCCTCGCACAACGTGGATCCAACCAACTCAGTCTCGAGACTCCGCAAAACAAAGCAGGTGCGGCCCACCAGATACTTATCGAAGCCAAGATACTGACGAGCTTGTTACCAGAGTATGTACTTTCTACGCTTGACAAAGTCGCAAACTGGGCAAGACAGGGCTCTATGTGGCCCATGACTTTCGGTACGGCATCTCATACCGCTTGCTGCAAACTTGTTCACCGTGTCCAGGTCTTGCGTGTTGCGCTGTTGAAATGATGCACATGGCTGCCGCCCGTTACGACCAAGATCGGCTCGGTGTCGTATTCAGAGCTAGTCCGAGGCAGAGCGACATCATGATCGTCGCAGGCACGCTGACGAACAAGATGGCTCCTGCGTTGCGCAAGGTCTACGATCAAATGCCAGAGCCCAGTGCGTAACATCACTTGTGAGATGAAGTGCAGGCATTTATGGACGCTCAGGATGGGTCATCTCGATGGGCTCCTGTGCCAATGGGGGAGGTTACTACCACTATTCGTATTCGGTCGTTCGCGGCTGTGACCGTATGTTCATTCGTCTAATTCCCTCAAGGTCAGGCTCTTATCTGCGCACAGGTATCGTTCCTGTCGATATCTATGTCCCGGGTTGCCCGCCCACGGCTGAGGCTCTACTCTATGGAATGTTGCAACTGCAGCGTAAGATGCGGAGAAGCCGAAAGACCGTTCTTTGGTAGGTTTTATTGTGCCTTGCCATCAAGAGTTTCACTGAAGAGCTGTTACAGGTATCGCAAGTAGGAGCATCCGCCGCCTGGAAGCATCCCTGTAGTCAAAGTAATACGTCGAGAAGCTCTTAGATAGGCTGTAGGACGGGCAATATACGCTTCGTTCCTCAAAAATGGATGACCAAATCAAATTCAGTTCGCATTTGGGTAGATTTTTTTGCGGTTCAGCGTGCTGGATAGACAGACGGCGTAGTTTGGGACAGCATAATTTGTGGCTGGGTGGCTGTGTCCAACCTACACTTGCCCGTCATGGCTGCCGTGCTACCCGTGCGCGACCTTCCCGCCGTTAACCCCTCGTCGTTCCACCGTATCCTCCTTACAGAAGCAGACTCCCGTTATCCATCCCCGAGAGCTTCTACGCTTCCTTCAGAACGATCCCGGGAACCCACGGATACCCAAAGAGGGACCAGAGAGCCTCAGCATTCAGCAACCGCTCCGCCGGATGCTCAAATGCAGTTTGCCGAGTCTTCTCGAAACGTGGCTTCTGCGTCACCTGCAAACCAACGAGACGTCGAGTCGTTCGACGAGAGTAAACTTTCCACTGCACCGTCTAGCGTTTCTGTAGACGTCCGTGTAGGTCTCGTCGATCGAGCACAAAGAGGAGTCTCTGGGCAGTCTCAACTGTCCCCAGAAATCCTCTCCCCACTTTCTGCGGCATCACCTCGTCATCCTGCTTTGGGCTCTGGCTCGTCGAGCAAACCATTAAATCCCGTTTACATTCCTCCGCCCATCATGCCGCTCTCCGCTTCTCCCGGCTACTCTCCTCCGGTTTCTGCCAATCCACGCGCATATGCCCAGCAGCCGACGTACATAACCCCAACCTCCCCCCAGAATCCAATAGGTCTTTCGTCACCACCTCAAGAAGAAGTCTGCGTCGAATGTGCCATGCGCGACCAAGACATGATTGACGTCGATGTGACTTCGCCCGGAATTTGGGAACGCGAGAGCGATGTCGCTTTCAACGACCTTCTGCGAAGAGAGCTGGAAGACGAAGCCAATGGGATTGTCGTCGAGGACTCGCCCAAGAGACCTCGTGCCCGGGGCGGTCGTCTCACGGAAGACAATCTTCGTTTGTGGTTGAGCATCGTACGTTCGCTAATTGGGACCCTTCTATTCTCACTTAATCAACTTTTCTTACAGAATCCCCGAGAACCAGCCTCTAAGCAGCAAACGCTGAAGAGCTACATCAAGTCACAGCGAACGTTGTTGGAAGCAGAGGCTCTGGCCCGTGCCCGTGCAATGCAGGAGGCCAAGCAGCTGGACAACCGGATGCGAGATACATATTCACAACTCCGACGATCTGCCTATGACACTGGGGCCAACTCTGGTCCGGTCGACGACTTTGGCGGGGTTCGCATCAAGTCACCTCAGTCGCCAACATCGATCCACCATCCCCGCTCTCAATCGCGAGAAGTCACGCTTCTGGAGAACGGTATGATTGTCGAGCACGTGGATGTTCGTAAGGAAGAAAAGGAGGCAAAAGAGCGTCGGAGAAAGGAAGAAAGGCGGGCTCGCAAGTCTTCTCGAGGGTCCGTCATCGATGTCAACTCCATCATTTCCGCCCAAAGTTACAGTCCGAATGACACTGGCCCCGGACTGTTGCCTTATTCCCGGTACTCGCAGGCCAGCTCTGCTCGGCCAACGAGCGTGCTGACCGCACCGCTGGACCGAACAGATCTTCCCAGGGCTTATTCGCAAGCCTCGTTCTCCGATGTGCATAGTCTAGGTTCACCGTCTCCGCGACGCAGCCGGTTCTTTGGAATGAAGAATTTGAGTGCTGGATGGATGAGCCAGGACAGCCTGGCTCCATCCGGTTTTTCAGGAAGTATGATGGACATGCAGTACGTTGTTTCCGTTTCTGATCGAAGTGCACCGCTTCACGTGTCTCTAGTGTGGCGCTCCAGAACGAAGCTCAGAGACCTCACGCCACTTCACCGATCGACGGGAACGCTCGCCGTAGCCAGCTCTGGCCGTCTGGAGAGGAAACAGTAAAGAAAAAGAAGAAGAAGGGTCTCGCCAAAATCTGGGGGCTGGTCACTGGGTCGTCGAAGCAAAACAACACGAGTGCATCTGCTGCCAGAGAGCCGTCGTCGTCGTACGATGGACCGGAAGACGACGGTCCGTTGGCCCCGCCGCCACCGTTATCTTATCTGGTCAACCGGGGCCGGTCAGGTGATGGAGCCAATGGCAGACATTCCTCTACGCCTTCACTGACGCTGACCTCGCTTGCGTCGCCTGCGGGTGCGTCGCCTTCCACCAACATCTTCCCCTCTCCATCGTCTTCACGTGATCCGGGCACAGACGTCACCCTGTCCAACGATGAGCTCGAGGAGGTCTCAAGAAACTCGCCGGCTGAGGCAGAGACCAGACGTGGCCCTAGACCCGATTCTGTTATGTCGTTCCGCGACAAATCGCTTCCTCCGCTGCCCATGGAAGCGTTCACGTCTACACCTGACGGTCGACCTCACACGGTAGTGGTCCCGGATTTCATGCCGCCCAGTGCGCCGTTCAGGACTGTAGAAATGCGGCGCCAGTCGTTCGGTGGCTTGGCATCGAGGCCTGTTCTCGGCTCCCAGGCGCTCCCGACGACCCAACCTGTTGCTTTTGATCAGCGCCGGCCGTTCGGGGCTCGATACGACGAGTATGGTCTGTCGCGACGGTCTCTGGGTCGATTGGACAACGTACAGGAGATTCGGCCGACAAGGACATCTGCGCCCAGCAACATGAAGAGGCGCAGTCGCTTTGGACTGTCCTCTCTGCTGGGCAAGAAGCAGACCAAGGACGACACGCCAGAGGAGACCCACCGCTTCCCCCCTCTCCGCCGCTCCGGCTCTGACGGTCCAGAAGACTTGACCACCGGCTACGCAACTTCGACGTCTAGACACAGCGCCTTCAGTCTCGGTGGTCGTGGCCCCCGCATTTCCGTGACCTCGCGGAAAGCCATCGAGGAGCTGGTATCTCAGGATGCCCAGTTTGTTGCCTACCGCTACCCGTCCAACGACCAGCATCTGGATATTTTGAGATAATCGAGGATAACAGTGCATCTACGACGGAAGTCTCTTTCTTACACGCTCAGTCATTGCTTACATTACACACACACACTCACACACACACTCACACTCATTCGCTTTGTTTTTGGCATGGTATTGGATAATTAATTGAATCAGTACAGCCCGTCGCACGAGCACGTGATTATCATCGTCACTCATCCCCGTTTCCTACGACTGCCGTTCTCTACTTCTCTTTGTCTGAGATCCATTCAATGGTATTGTCACGTATCGGGACCCGAAATATTCATTGCATCGTGTGCAGGCACCGCGCGGTCTTTCTGCAGAAGAGAAACGCGTCAAGCTCCTCGGTGTGTCCACAAGACCAGGATCGCTTCTTCACCGCTCAATTCACGCGTATTCATCAGAGATTTTTCATGAAAGTGTAAGTTGTTAGCTATCGATTTCACAGGAAAGCATGGTCTCGCTGATGTTCGCAGAAAGACTTTTATCAGGTGAGAGCATCGTCATCAGAACGTGGATGAAGGCTGAGCAAGTTCGAATGATAGCTCAAGGAACTAGAGAAGGTGTGTCGCACGCTCGGGATAGTCTCCTCGCTAAGCGATCAACAGCTTGGACCAAAGCTCAAGGGAATCGTCTCGCAGTCGGTGAAAGAGGTGTTGCAAACGCTCGTTGACGATGGCTTGGTCCAGGCAGATAAAATTGGCTCTTCTAATTGTGCGCTCTGTTCTATATGCGTGCAGAACATATGACCAACTCCACATAGTTTTCTGGAGCTTTCCTTCGCAACGGGGTGCCATTGTACGAGAACGCCGACGCCGACTATTAGCCGAGTCTATGGTGATTGACTTGCTTCGACAGGTCCAAGAGCGAGCGAGAATCCAGGACGAGACGCGAAAAGGATACGAGACACAAAAAACCGATCTCAAGAGACAGATAGAGACAGAGAAGGCAGCGAGAATAGACAATGTGCGGCCAGTTCCTAGAGCATGCGTTCAGGTCTCATTACTCTGGCGAAACAGCCTCATCGCAGGGAGAGGCTAGAATCACTGGCTAAGCTGAAACAGAGACACGTAGAGTTGCTGGATGAACTTGCGGCATACGGTGCTTGTGATCCAGTCAAAGTAGAGGAGACTCGACGGGCAGTGACACTAGCAAAAGAAGCGGCCATCCGCTGGACAGGTGCGAGTTACGCTCGACTCCGCCAAGGGACTAACATGATAGCCTGTTCTAGACAACTACAGCATGCTCTTATCCCATTTCACCCGACAACACGGTGTAGATGCCCAAGAAATTCGTCGGCATCTCGGTGTAGACGACGAGTATGAAGATGTCTGCTGAGGGGACCATGTGGAAAGATATTCGTATTTGACAGATAGAATCGCTCGATTCGCTCCCGCCGTCAGCTAAGATTGAAAGACTGCGCAAGGCGGCCGGTAAAGGTTGACAATTCGAGTAACACGGGCCTTGTGAACAAATGGAACGAGAAGACAAAGATGTTGACATCAGTATTGAGTTCCGGCCCGGACCGGATGCTTCGAGTTGCCGCTTCGTTCGGGACAGGCCAGCACCCAACCCCGCCCCGTCATGTCCAGCCCCAACTCAGTATCCAATGGCTCAGAAAATGGGTCGAATCTCAAACGCAGACGAGTGGAGGATGCTCAAAACTCTCATATTCCTAAGCGGGGGGCACGGTGAGACCGCAATTTCCCACACAGCCAAGCCAACGCACTAATCGTCTTCGCGCGCACTGCCAGTGCCTGCACGGCCTGCCGCAAGGGCAAGAACCGATGTGAAGGGTTTGGCGAGAACGAGGTGGGTTTTAAATCCGTACCGGCTCACCCGCCCCGCTGCCCACCGCCCGCGCGGCCCGGCTGAAAATTACCCCACATTCTCACTCACAACCCTCGAAGGGCCCGTGTCGTCGATGCCAGCTCAGCAATACTCCATGCGTATTCGAGAAACCCGAGAAAACGAAAAGCGCTCCCGTCATGGCGACGCCTGGTGTCGAGTACGTGTTGAAGAACTCGGGTGTGCGTAGGTTCTGATGAGTCCTTGCAGGCGTTTGTCTCGACTTGAGGGACAATATCTTGTGCGCTATCAGTATGTTGACGGCTCAGAAGATTTACGTCTTGTCATAGGTCATGCAAAGCCAGATGATTGGCATGCAATCTTCTTTAGATCGCATATTGCTTGCCGTACAAGGCCAGGCGCAAGGGCAAACCCAACCAACACCGTCTGTCTTTCCGGGCCGGAACGGGTTCGACAGTCCTTCGAGCGGCGCATCTGCATCTCAACGCCGCGCGTTTCCCCCGCTTCCTGGATTTGCCCCACCTGTGAGCTATTGTTAGACATGCTCGACCGCAATACTTACTTCTCAGCCGCACAAATATGCAACGTACGGGATTGTGCCGAGCACAGCTCCATCCTCTGAAGATGAATCCGAAGACACGCTGCCTCGGTCCACGTTGAACGCGCCCATTGAAGCTCTGCAAGGGCTAGCGAATGCGGCGGCTGAAGCAGCGGCTGTGCCATCGACGTCGACACCGCGAGTGAAAAAACGCAAGCGCGCCGAGCCCATACCGCGGAATGCGTTCCCCCATGTGGTTGAGAAGGTTTGAATCGTCTGCGATAATGAACGGTGGCTTATGGCCATTTACAGGGTTTGGTGTCCGATACAGAAGCGAGGGAATTATACAACATGTGAGTCCCATGCCACATGTCCCGCATAACCACTGACTTGTGTCCAGTTTCTTTGCGGGATGCCATCTGTTCATTCCACTATTCGATCCGTCGTATGACACCTACGAGAGCTTGATGGAGCGCAGTCCATGGACTTTCGACGCAATTCTCGCTGTCGCTGGGAAGATTCGCAGTGGAAATGGACCACTCAGCCCGACCTTCTACAGATGTCTCGAGGAAGCGCAAGGAATTGCACGGTCCTCTCTTTTTGGTCCCGTAGTGCGAAAAGAGGCCGTTCAAGGTGCCCCATGATGAGTCCGATATCGACTGTGACTAATGTCGCGTGGCAGGCATGTTGCTCCTTGCAGCTTGGAGCACCAACGGATGGCTGCCGAGTGGACATGCCATGAGAATGGCTCTCGACCTAGGCCTGCATCGAGCGCTGGAAAAGCTGGCGGATGAGTCAGGAAAGCAGCGCACCGAGGAGGAAGAAAGAAACCTTGGTATTCTCTGATTCGACAGGCGCCCGACCGGATGGATGCTGATATCGATTTCTAGTTGTGTCGGCAAGGATATGGCTTTGTCTGTATTGGTTCGATCACCAGTTCGTCTGTCTCAGCTTTCCTGCCTAGAGATCTCTCACGTGTCCAGGATGAGCTTGGGAACGGGCCGGCCAATCGTTCTCCGGGACGAGAACTCGATTCGTCACTGCCGCCTGTTGCTCACGCATCCCATGGCATCACCAACCGATGTCAGACTCATTGCACAGGTCGAGTTGATTGGTCAGAAGAGTGAGCCCGATCGCACCGAGTGTAGCTCGTGATATAAGCTGACATCGGAGCAGCTCAGATCTACGAAACGCTTGCCCCGTTGAACGGCCAGGTTAACCACAGTACCCTGGCCTTCATCCGGCGGGCCAATGTCGCGCTCGACAAATGGTGGACGGATTGCGATGAGCTCCATCGTAAGCGAGCGGGAGATTGTTGGTATATGTTTATCTGACTCGTGCAGGGCAAACCATGGATGAGAACTCGCTGTTGCGCAAAGTTTTGGCTGGCGAGCTGCACTACGCCAAGTTGTGGTTGGTTTGCGTCGCTCTCCGCGGCGTCGCGTGGGACAAGATGCCTTTCGAGCAACGGGAGCTGGCATTCCAGGCAAAGGATGCTGCTTTCACTTGTCTCTCTATATTCCTCAATTCTCCCGAGTATCGGTCAGTTCTGCTGTCTGCGGGCTATATCGATTTGACTGACTTCCTGTCCAGCGCTGCTCTGCGTTATGCTGTACATGATAGCTTGGTCACAGCTGCCTTCTCTGGGCTCTTTCTGTTGAAAATGGCCAGCTTGTTTCCGACGGAGCTCGACCTCTCAGCGATATCTGCTCAAGTAGAACAACTGGCTCAGTTATTGAGTGATGTGGCTGCTGAACGGTGTGTTTTTCGCTGCTTACAGGCGTCATTTTCATGCCTCGTTGTTAGCTATGCTCTCACCCTGCGCATCATGCTCGCCAACCTTCGGCGTAAAGTTGGCATGGGCAGTGGCATTAGCACTCCGGTGCCGACTATGCCTCCGCCTCCTTTGTTGGCTGACGGGCGGTTCATTGTGTCTCCGACGACGGCATTTTCCGATCCCACGATGCCTCCGCCGTTTACGCTGGAGGAACTGGGCTTCAACTGGCCTGCGGATCGCGGAATCTTCAGCCCTTCGGCGATTCCCGTGTGGCTCCAGGAACAGGTGCCCTCTTTTTCCATACCGTTGTCCCGTAGCCCATATTAGTACAGAGCCTCACGGACCTTGGCCTACCTCAAAACGGAAGTGACGGTGTGTTCCTCCAGCTCACCGGTACCAACGGATGGACCGGCGACCTCACAGGTATGCCCGAAGCCTGGTGAATTTCTCGAATATATCTATCTCTTGTAAAAAGTGCAGCTTTCTTGTACTACCAGTACCTACGGACATTATGTTGTTGTTGGCATCACGTGCTTTGTCGTGACAGTGACAGTGACCACACGCGTCCAAGAGTCTCTTTCCCTCCCTACCACGCGTCCCGACCGCGCCATGGCCAACCAAACGGCGACAACAGTGGGAATTGCATCAGTTACATGCCTTGCATTTGCACCGAACGGCTCGTACGACCTCATATCGCGATACTTGATCATCCTAGCCAACCCATTGGCAGACGCGTTTTCACTGGGAGCGATGACCAACTTATACGGATATGGGACATGGAGAACCTCGGATCCGAAGCAGAATCCACCGGACTCATGGCAGAAGCGAACAAAGCAATCACCTCTCTATCTATCTCTGTGCGTCTCGTACCAGCAGTCAGCGCCTTTGCCGTCTTACGGACCGCAGGACAAATTCCTGATTTCTACGAGTGAAGACGCGGAGGTTAGGCGGTACAGCATCGCGGGAAACCATCTTGGGCTCATCACGAATACGGCATGCCCAGCCTGGTGTGCTGCTATAGACCCGCGGGGGAAATTCGTGGCTGTTGCATCCGAGTGCGTGACTCTCCTCCCCTTTCGCCATGCACTGGATATGGAGGCATGCACAGCGAACCTACCGTGCGATTGATCGACACAGACGACGTTTCGAACGTTCGTCTACTCGCAGGACATGAGCGTGGTGTCCGAAATGTGACTTGGCATCCCAAGTCGACGCTACTCGTGCGTGTGACTGTAATCGGTCCGATAATCCTGTCAATGACATTCAAACGTAGGCGGCAAGCGGCTGGGACGGCAATCTCACGCTATGGGATGTTTCGGAGGATCCGCCGCAGAAGGTGGCGACTGTGGACCATCTACTGCCGCCATTCAAAGATTCAGTGTGAGCTGGTCTCAACGTGTCTGGGACGCTGTGTTGAGGTGCCTTTAGAGTAACGAAGGGCTACAACTATGGTGCTGTGTGGCATCCCACAGGAGAATACTTCTTTGTCCTTTCCAAAGCCTATGGTGTGTGTAGTCTGTCATGCAAATGACATGTACTGACCGAGTGATTGGTAGGGGTTGTCACTGTTTCGAAGCGACTGGGCTGGAAGAAAGACAGAGAATTCTCGGGGTCAGACGGACCCACGACTGCCATCTCAGTGTCGCCAAATGGGTTGTATCTGGCATCTGCGTCCAAGAGCCAAGTGCAGATATGGGATATCAAGCAGGGCAAAGTCATCACATCGTCAGTGCGACGCTAGCGCCATTGCTATTCTGCACTCATGATTGGACAGGCATGGTAATCAGTGCGACGATGAGGATACGTCAGTCCCAGCGCTTGCCTTTTCCCCCACGGCCAATACAGTCGCTTGGACCACGACTGGTGGCAAATTGATGAGATGGACGGACGCTATTCCGCCAAGCTTCCCTGATCCATTCACGCATGTGGATGCAACGGCAGCTCTCACGGCGATCCTTCCACACAAAGAGGATGATCTGAACGATTTGCTTGGCGATAGTGGGTTCGAGGATCTGGACGTTGAAGAGCAGGAACAGCCGGAAGATGATGTCCACGGGTGGATAGACGAGGACGAAGATCTCGGGCAGGACAAAAACGATGGCATGGTGCGAGAGATGGGTGAGTGCTTGCTGTATCTCAGTTATGTGGGAGTCTAACCACTGGTAGTGAGTATCACCAAGGCACAACCGGCATTTCAGCCAGGAGCCGCTAATCTCTCCCCCACAAAACGTTTGCTGGGTAATGCACGCGTTTGTTGTCCGTGAGTATGACTCTAAATGACTCTACAGCCTATAACAAGATAGGATGGATCGAGGTCACTGTGATAGCGGACCAAGTTTACCATATGCTGGATGTCAAACTTCATGACAAGTCCAGGAGGGCGGACATGTCCTTCCGGGACGACTACAAGTATCATCTCGGTTATCTTGGTCAGTGGCAAATCATACGCATTCAGATTATCCACCATTGATCAAATCCTTTGCAGGCGAACGGGGAGCTCTATTGGGTTGTTCAGAGTCAGAAAGCAGTCCCGCACAAGTCCATTACCGGCCGTTCCATCCAAGCACCCAAATTCAATGGACATACAGCCTCCGTCCTCAGACCAGGGTTCTCGGCATCGCGGCTGGAGGCGTCCCGCCCACGACCGGATCAGATGATATGGATGAGACGGACCTGAATGGCTTTGGCAATGTCGTTGTCGCCACGTCTGAGGGCGACCTGACGTTTTTGAGCGGCACTGGCCGGGAAAGGCGTGTACTTGGACTGGGTGGTGACTTTGTGGCCATGGTCGCGGGTGACGAATGGGTGTTTGTTGTGCATCGAGCTGGCTCGACGACTATCGATGGTCTGTCTTCGGATCGAGAGGGCTGCAGTCGAGCTGATGCTTGGATACAGGTTCTCAGAATCTGTCTTACTCGCTGTTCAACTTTGAGGATTTCAGTGTGCGCCAGCGCGACTTTCTTCCGATTCCGAAAGGGCACCAATTAACCTGGGTTGGCGTGAGCGAGGAAGGGGTGCGTCAATTTGACTCGTTCTGATAATCGAGCTCAAGTTTTTTGCCAGGCGCCTTCCATGTTCGATACGACGGGGCGGCTCCATGTGCTGATGAAGCACCGAATACCTCATCATGCATCCTGGGTCAGGGTGATGGACACGAAGATCGCGAGCACTGAATTCAAGGGCACATATTGGCCGATTGCTGTCTACGGCACGACATTCATGTGTTTCCTTCTCGGTGTACGCTCTCTCTTGGCTCCGTCTGGAACCATCTGATTTCAGTCTAGGGGTCAAAAACGCTTGGGTATCCTCTGCCACCGTTCCAGGATATACCAATGCAGATGCCCTTCAGAAGCCAGGACCCGGCCGACGAGCGATTGGAAATGGACGCGCTCATGATCGAGCTGAAGAGAGACGCGTTGGACGAAGAATTGACGAGCGAGGATATCACCAAGAGGGAGCAGGCCATGGACAAACAGCTGGTGCTGCTGATCCAAAATGCCTGCAAGCTCAATCAGGTCCCTCGGGCGATCGAACTAGCCAAGTTGATTCAAAACCCTCGTTTCCTCGACATGGTGATCAAGGTGGCTGAGTTCTACCGCTTCACAGCTATGATAGAGAAAGTCCGTGTGCTCAAGACCGCCCGCGAGCAGAGTGAAGATCGCCTCGTTCTCGCTCGGGAGAAACGCAGACAGTGGACGCGGCCTGACCCGGTGCCCTACTATCTCGCCCCAAAAGCAGAGAGCGATCCCCCGCGGCCTAAGGCGTTCCAAGACTTTGGGCCGCCTCCGACTGTACCTCGACCCGGGCTGGCACCGGCTACAGTGGCGGTCGAAACGACACGCTACCCGTCAAGCTCAGAGCCGCGGATGCCGCCTCCCGCCATTCCGCCACCCGAAACCAAGCGCAAGAGAGATGAGAATGAGGAGGAGAGCTCCGCTTCCACCGATTTCATCGCTCCGCCTCCCAAACAGAGTGCGTTGTTACGACAATTGTGCTGGTATTCCGCTGACCTGTTTGAGCAGAAACGAATCCATTCGCCCGAAAATCGGGGCAAGAGGATGGCCGGAATCCGTTTGCGCGAAAGGGCGAAGCCGCCAAGACGATACGCAAGAGCGAGAGCTTCTTTGAGAAAGTAGATGCCGCGGAAGATGCACCGCGGACAAAGCGTGAGTTTGCTATCCATTCAGAGGATCGATCATTGAGATGTTTCCAGGGCCGCCGAAAGACAAGAAAGATGGACCCAAACAGGCGACGCTGTTCAGCATGATGGGAAGTTCTGCGAAAAAGAGCCGATTACCAGTGTCCAGCCAGGTGACCGAAAGCGACATCACAATGTCAGATGTCACGACGGTCGACAGCCAGACGGAGTTGCCAGAAGAGTGGGAAGAAACGCAACCGCTAGAAACACAGGTGGAACCAGTACGTCCGCGATGTGATGCATGTGCGCGAAGAATTGACCGATGAATAAAACAGATCTGATTACGTCTATCCTCCCCTCTCTTCGTCGAGTCCGAGTGCATCTGTAACTGAAAGATCCTGCAAACAAATGTGTGAGAGTTTGATGTTGGCCCAGAGACACGTACTTCAGGTGCAAACGGCCATTGATTGAAGGCATTTACAAGCACCTCCCATTCCTGCACAGTCAAATCCCGCACAGCCGTTTTTGGATCCACGCGCACGCTCAAGTCGGGAGAGGTTATTGATTTTAGAGGGACTTGGCTCCGGGCGCGAGATATCTAGAATCATCTTTGGCATAAGCAGTTTACTGGTACAAGGAATGACGGACCCTATCGCTTTTTCCAATGGCGTCGCCCGCTGGACATACAAGTGCCGCAAACAATAGTCCCACGCATTCATCAGACCCGGCTTGATGACCTAACGCTGCTCTCAACATCACCCAGCTCGGCATTCACCAGCGCACGAACCTGCTCTTCGTTGGGGACGATGTTGATGCCGACGAAGGGACTGCCGGGCCGCATGAGGTTCGCTTTCGTGTCCTTCTTCAGGACCGACGAGGCTCGGTTTGTAGGATGGAAGTGATCTCCGTACGGCTTCAGGATGTCGGCTTTGACGGCCATTGAGCTGAGCGATGTGGCTGCTGCAATCATGCTCAGTTTGCAGCGTATGCTTGCCTTAGTTCCTAGCATCCGCTGAACAGCCTTGAGAAAGCGAATCGGATGCCTTGTTTGGGAGAACACACGTTCCAGATGTATTCGTTCATAAGAAGGCTCATTGGCACGCGCCCGTACCGGAACAGCCAGTGCTTTTCTGGTATGTTGCGGAGAAGCTGGGAGATGAGCTGCTCTCCCGCGACGTTTGAGGTCAGATGCGAGACAAATTGCAGCTGGGGATGAACTGGTCGACCGGAAAAATGGTGAGATCAATCATAGGAATGCAGTCGACTCGCCTCCTTGATCCCATGGAACAATCGGGACGTCTTGGAGTACCCCCATCTCTTCAATCGCAGAATACGATGACCAGAGTTCTCCGGATAGTGGGTACACCTTGATTCGATCATCCACTTCCTCGAGAGGCTGGAAGCAGTGCGTTCAGTAAGCTCTGAAGGGGAGAAACGAGGTCGGCCTCACTTGCAGATATTTGAGATACATGTCCGCATTTTCCAACACGATAATCCTCTTGATCCTTGCCCGAGGAAGAGCGAGAAGGGCGCGCGTCAAAGTTCCCGGTCCAGGGAATGCTTCGATGATGATCTTGTCTCGAGAGTGGGCGGGCACGAACGCTTCGGCCAAGTGAGCAGCAGTCTTGGGATTGGCGAGGCAGACGCGGAATTGGAACGCCCTCGACGTGGCGGGGAAGTATTGGCGCCATAAAGGCAATGGGGGCAGGCTAGCTAGAACGGTTCAGAATAGACGGTGAGAGCAGTGAGGATGACGTGATTACTGCTTTCATCTGATTGATCATAGCCCGGTTTGGTAGAGTAGGCACGATATATATTTCTAGGAACCTTTCGACGCGCGTGTTGTCGAAATAGTCTGGGTAGCATGGGACCGCGTCAGGAGCAACTTGCAAAATGCGAAGCACAAGAGGGCGTGATCCCCGGGTTGATTGCCGGAGCTGCCTGCCAAATCCCTACCATGAGCCCGCGGAAGAGACTGCAACGGCGGTTCAGCTCGCCATCCTTCAAGGATAGCTGGTCGCGTTCAAAGTCAAAACCTAATTCTCGCCCCTCTCGAGATACCGCATCAGCGCATGTAGACGCAGATGCCGAGCGACCGCGACCTATCTATGCGTCACTTCCACCTTCGCCGATCCTTCCACCGTCACCTGTGTCCCCCTCACCCCCTTCCCGCTCTCTGTCTCCACCTGATCCTCCCTTATACGACAATATCGCTCCACCTCCCTTCTCTCTGTGGGACTATCTGCGCGAGGAACTGCTGGCGACGGACTTTGATTCGCATCAGGAACTCAAGTGGGATCGTGTCAGTAACTTCTTGAGCATCCCAGTGGCCATCGAGAAGGTGTGTTCTCTCCTCTGAGCCGCCAATAGCTCTAAACTGCGGACAAGATCATCATGTTCGGTTTCGTGCTTTGCCTGGACTCGTTCCTGCACACGTTCACGATCCTTCCCATCCGCTCGACGCTGGCGTTGATGCGGCTCGTATTCAATACGTGTTCCCGGACGGCTGTTTCGCTGCCTCCGGCCCAAAAAGCGGACATCTTGAAGATGCTGCTGCTGGTCGTCTCGATCCTTATACTATATCCGCTGGTGGATGCGAGTAAGATATACCACTCCATCAGGGGACAGGACACGATCAAACTGTATGTCATTTTCAATGCACTCGAAGTATGTAGTGTTTGTTGTGCCCGAAGTCGATCTCACACACATGTGCACAGATCGCAGACCGACTGTGTGCTTCGATAGGGCAGGATATCCTGGACTGTCTCTTCTCCCGGTCGACTCTCGAGCCTCTGTCGCATCGCATACCAGTGACAACGCACACCTTCCGCCCGCTGCTGTTTTTCGTGCTAGCAACTCTGTACGTAGGTCAGTGTCTGCTTCCGACTGCATAGTCGCCGCACGACTAATCGTTCGCCTCGGATCAAGTCGCGCACTCGCTGGTCATGGTCTACCAGCTATTGGCCCTGAATGTGGCTGTCAACTCGTACGACCACGCGCTGTTGACGCTGCTCGTCTCGAATCAGTTCGTGGAGATCAAGGGAAGCGTGTTCAAGAAGTTCGAGAAGGAGAACCTCTTCCAAATCACCTGCGCAGGTAGCCAGCCGTCTATGTTGTTGTCTGCGTCGGTGGCCTTGACTGTTGTCTAGATGTCGTGGAGCGGTTCACGCTGTCGCTGATGCTCTCTGTCGTGGCGTTCCGGAATCTCATCGAACTCAGTGGCTCTGAATTCGGATTCATCGAAGGTTTCATCCTGCCGAAGAGTTTCGGGTGGGTGGGGGGCAACAGTGTCTTCTGGACGATCTCCTATGTGAGCTACATTGGTGACATGTTGCTGAGAGTGCTCATCTCCTCCAGCCTGTTGTGACGGTCATGGTCTCGGAGATGCTCGTGGACTGGCTCAAGCATGCATTCATCACCAAGTTCAACCACATCCGACCGTCCGTGTACGAGCGATACACGGATGTCCTCTGCCGGGATCTAGCGAGCGGCAGTGCTGTCGGCCGGAGAGGTGCCCGAAAAGTAGGCTTTCACGCGTTAGCTGGGTCTGCGTCTGAGATCGTTCCAGCACACCTACGTGGATCAGTCTCCGTTAGTCGCACGCCGCTTGGGATTCGCAGCCCTGCCTTTGGCGGTGCTGGCTATCTTGATCGGGTCGCAGTCTATCAATCTGCTCTTTTCGATGCACGACGAGCATTCCTCGCCGTGGTCCGTGGCTTGTAATGCCGATTTGGTCCACTGTATCACGTGGGGTGCTATGGGTGTTCTCTTTTGGGTGTGGTCAGTGCGCCCCCTCATCTGCCCCGACACTGGCTGATCCACGTACAGCTTTGTGGTCGTGAAGGTGATACTGGGAGTGAACCTCATCAGCTATGCAACAAGACGGAAAACGGGAATGGAAGCCCGAGAGGCAGAGGATGTTATCAACGACTTTGGCCGGGATCCGATCGGGGAGGGGAAGGAAGAGCAGAGCTACAACCGGGAGCTGAAGACTCTTTTGGACAACAAGTCAGACGACGCGTCTGGTAAGACAAAGAAGGGCCGAGTGAAGCTGGAAGATCTCACGAGATTTACAATGGTTAAACAGATTTGGTAATGAGGGTGGTGAACATGCTATCTATTGCTACAAGTAATGACCGTTGGATGTGCAAGGAGAGATTTAATATGCGAATCTACCACTGTTCCCTGATGGCGGGCAGCGGACGCACGCCCTTGGTGGGGACAGATTGCAGGCGGTGGCGATGCACGTGAGCGGACTGGGAGTACTGGATTGGCCCGCGCCGTGAGGCAGTCGTGGCCATTCCGGCTCCGAGATCTGGCGAGGAGCGGTTGGCGCTACGATTGGCGTATATCGGCAGCATGGGCGGGAGGAGTTCGTCCTCGGGAATCCCCGAGGACTGCTCTGTGAGAGGAAACGGGGTAGGGGCTCGAGAACAATCTCGGGCTCTGCAGGGTTGATCAAGTGCCTCAGGAAATCAGCTACGACGGCTTCGTTGTAAGCACGGCGGTCCTGTTCGAGCAACACATTCCAGGCTTGGATCGGATCGAGCTTGGGCACTGTCCGGTAGCTGTGAATGTCGGAAATGCTGATTTTTCGACGAGGAGGCTCCGGAGAGTCTCTGTAGAAAATATTAGTCTTCCGTCTGTTTGCATGAAATGGCACTCACTTTCTGAAGATTTTAGAGAGCTTGCGAATCCGTTGCATCGCCTTATTCCAAGATACGGAATGCAGTTTGGAATTGCAGCTTCTGCACTAACATATCTCTATTTATGAGATTATCTGAGCACTCGAGACCATGGCTTGATATGGAACATTGTCTTCCTTTTTGGGAGACTGGGATTGATCCTCATTGTGGACCATGTATTGTGCTGTACAATGGCCAGGTATGGGCTCTTATCTGCAAAAATAGTTGGAACTCTGCGGAGTCTTTCACGGCGGAGATCTTGGTCTACGAAAACCTGCTGCCAATCTCCTTCTGAGAATGATATTCTACACTGTGCACTTTGCTTGTTCACGTGAGGACGCAGAAACCGCATGTCAAAATCAATGACATTGACAGGATCGTTGACGGTGTTGCCATGAGCCCACGTGTATGATGTGTCTTGTCACTCTTGTGACATCCGCGATCGGAACAACTTCAACTTTGATCAAAGCATGCTTGCTCGCCCTTCTTCAGGCCCTTGTTCTTGTTTCTCCTGGGTTTTGACTTCCTCATGCATATACCCGCTACGATACTAGGGCTGGCTCTGTGTGCGTCTGCTGCAGTCCTACTTGTTCGTCTGTTCTTCCTTCTCGCATCGAACCATCTGACCACAGCTCGAGGCTTTTGTTTCAATATCATCTCCCGTGTGGGTGGGTGAATACTGCTGACGCGTCACAGACGCGTTCTAACAGCCCTAAAGGACAAAATCTACTTTCTGAGCGCTGGATCTGGTACTGCTGGCTTCGTGCACTTTGGCATCTTTGGGTTCACGGGACAAAATGCAAGCTTGGGATATCGACTGAAGCCACCTACTTTCAACTTCAAGTTCGTTGTCGCGCTCTTCTTCGACTTCTCTTGTCATAATTTGTGCTCGAACTGAAGTGACGGGAATTTGAACACACCTGTGTTCTTGAATCTCACGCGCTCCCTGATCTTGCATCCCATCGGTAACCTAGTTCTTGTCATCTCCAACGCATGCTCTCAACTTCCATATGTAGCTGGAGTGATAGCGCTCCTGGCTACACTCAATGGACTTCTCGGCGTCACTTTCCTCCCTATAGGAACGGCTTTCATGGTGTGAGTGTATCTCGTTCATTCCTTTAAAGCAGATCATTCAACTCGTATCGTGCCAGTCCATTATCCGCCTTGGCCTCAATTGTTTGCCTGTTGGCTTTCCTGTTTGATATGGTCTTGTTCGGGATCGCTCGCAACAAATTTCGTAGTCAGGGCTTCTCTGCACAATATGGCAATGCATGCTGGATAACGTTGGGTGCTTTAGTGTCGCTGTTACTCGGCTTCACCCTGTCCGCGTGTGGTGCCTTTGGGCGCTATAGAAAGCGGACGAGGACGAACTTTCTCTCTTGATACCCCCACAGTACTTACCCGGATTATGATACCACGGTGTTCTCACGGATTAGCGAATCTGACGTGTATACCAAGTGATATGGCGGATTCAGTTACCTAGCTTATCAGGCGCTTCGAGTTGTGGGTGATGATGATTTAATAAGCGATCGTATTCATCTTGCTTCACCCGGTCATGACCATGTCGTTTGACATCACACACGCCATAGAACATCTCGCTCCTCCTATAAAAGCTCAACTGGAACGCCTGAATTCTCATGTTTGGAACCCTCCAGATCTGTTCGTCTTGTACAATACCAACCAGTAACTGCCAAGTCACCGTATATACTAGTGCAGCCTTTCCCCGCACTCCACTTGCCGCCGTGCTTGTGCTACTCTACGAGGAGGTCGGAGAGCTCCGTGTTCTTTTGACTACACGATCCAAAACCTTGAGAACGCATGCTGGACAGACGGCCTTTCCTGGAGGAAGGATGGATGAGTCGGACACGGATCTAGTATACACGGCGGTGAGTCTGGTCGGGTGCGCCACTCTTATGGGAAAGGTCTCTAATCATACAGTTTAGAGAAGCCTTTGAGGAAATCGGTTTGCCTATCGAGTCGCCTCATTTGCATGTCGTCGCGCTCGTTGACCCCTTCGTCTCGTTGCACAAGCTCGTGGTCACGCCTGTTGTCGCGCTTCTAACGGACACGTCGCTTTTATCTGATCTGAAGGCATCTCCGGACGAGGTCGCCCATATTTTCAGCCACCCGCTCGAAGCGGTCCTTGATCCCAGTCTCGCATCGATGGGGGAGCTTGTGGCCCCCAACACTGAGAACTGGATCTATCCGGAGGAACTCCACGTATAGAATTCGCTTCAGCTGCCTATCTACTGATGTTCGAACGCGGAACAGAACACCACCGACTCGCCCGTGCCCCACTTCGAACACGCCATGTACCGGATGCATCGCTTCCGCACCTCGGCTTCCCCTCTCAAAGGGCTGACCTGTGATATTTTGGTGTGCCCGCTCGTTTGCCGCGCGCCAACTGTCTGATTGCCGGCTCTAGATTCATGTCGCGCAAGTCGCGTTCGCCCGTGCACCTGTTTACGATAGGTGGGCTGAGGGTCAACCCCGTGATTTTGCAGACTATTCTCGTCTTCTGGGGTTGCCTTGATAGCACATCTTCTGGCTGTCGTAGTCGACAAATTGCCTAAATGCTTATTCTGACGCTCTCGCAGATATCGGTTTCAGCTACCTACCAATCCTGTTGAGATGTATCCTGTCTGTAGATTCTGCTCTTTGTACTCATCCGGTTCCCTCCTTCAGATCTACGATGAGGTCTGACATCACTGATTCGAAAGGACCTGGATCTCGTCTCTCTCTCACGCTTGTTAGCACGTAGCTGTCCCGGCTTACGATCAGACTACTTTGACAATTGAAACGATGATCAGATTCCCAAGCATCTTGCTCTTCTCCTCGTTACATTTCGTTCTGCCCGTGCCTTGGTGCACGCTGACCCTGTGGGTCTTGTCCGCCCGCACACCGTCGCTCATTCTTTCTATTTCTTCGTGCTGGGACCTCGATGCCACGATACAACACCACCATCGAAGACTTTTCGCCCGTCATCCGCTATTCGTCCGACTGGAGAGCGGGGAACAGCGCGGACTCTTCCGCGGATAAGTACAGCGACAGCTCCTTCACGCTCACGCAGACAGACGGCGGCACTGCGACCTTCCAATTCAACGGCACTTCGTTCACGATATTTGGTGCCAAGCGGGGAAATCACGGGTTTTACCAAGTGACGGGTGCGAGATATGCTGTCCCGCGCGAGCACTTTCTGAACTCTGGGGAGACAGTGGATGGCAATTCCTTCTCGCCAGCAACGGGCCAGTCGTCAACGGAGTGAGGCATGATCAGACATCCGTGGAATGGCGTATTGAATCCGAGGTTGCTACCCAGCCAGTTCCAGGTTCCCTTGTTCACCAGCCCAACCCTCACGGATGGTCTGCACACCGTTACTGTGGTGAACCAGGGTTCCACCTTCCTGGACATCGACTTTGTGTGTCATGTTTCGTGCAGCACAGCCGACCGCAGCGCTGATCTCCTCGAAATAGATCACGTTCGAAAGCTCTACGGGCCAAGACAACGAAGCGCTGGTGGTCAAAACTGTACAGGATTCGGACTGTGGGTTGGACAAGTCCCCTGTTTGCATTTACTTATCTCAATAGCTGCGTTCGTCTATACTCCGCCCACCAACTGGGGCGTCAATCCACCCAATGTTGGGACCTACTTTGGGAGTTCTGGACAGTAAGCATCGACGACCGTACAGCCTGATCTGCTCTGTCTTACGTATCTAGCGGGACTGCTACAGCCGGTGCTGTTATGACGTACACATTCCAGGTAAGCCTTTCCCGTGTGCTGCCGTGTGTGTTGTTGATTTTACGTTCAGGGAGATGCTGTCTGGCTGTATGGCCCCGTAGGCAAGTGAAACTCGTTGGAAAGACGCACGGATCTGATATTTCCAGGCCCGGCCCAATCTCCGTATTCCGTGTCCGTTGACGGTGGACCTGCCGTCCAATACACTGCGACGAAGCAATTCTACGAGCCGCAATCCTTGCTATTCCTTGCGACCAATCTCGGTGCTGGAGAACACGTGGCTCAAGTCACCTATCTTCCATCCCAGCCAGGCCAGATATTTGCCATTGATTACGCCAATGTCTATACGACACCATCCCTCGATCCAGGGTAAGCCCCATCAGCGCTTCATTCCAATTCTTCCAAACCTCTCTGTCTTTCCAGAAGCAGCAATGGAACGGGCAGCAAATTGTGAGCGAACCAGCACAGTGCATGTTTTACACGGAGATCTTATGTTGCGTCAAGGAGTTCGTTGCCCAGCGCAGCCATCGCCGGGATTGTCATCGCGCTTCTCTTCGTCTTGTTCATCGTGGGCGGGCTGCTGATTTTACTCCGGCGTCGGAAAGGGCGCAAAAACACCGCGTCTGTGGAAAGCTTCGTGGGTCGACAGTCCCCCAGCTTCCAGCAGCATCACTCCGTCTCTGCGTATCCGTCCGTCCAATCCGCTCCATCCCCCAACGACACACAGCACTATGTGCCATCTTTCGTCACAGTGAACCCCCGGCCGCAACGTGCCCCTCCATCCTCTGAATCGGATTTTTCGGCCGACCATTCTCACGTGGTCCGTTGCTTCCACAGTTGCCGAGATTTTGCTTATTTTTTTGCTTTACAGGGCGGGGTTTCTATATCGTCGCGATCCAGAAGCATCAGACTGCCTCTCAAAGGCAGATCTCCCGCTCTGCCCCCTTCAGCAGGTCAAAATCTGAACCATCTGCCTCGGCCCGAGCTGCAGGCAACTCGATTGGCCGTGGAAGGGCGATCACAGGATTTCGGGACGGCACCGCCGGACTACGTCCAAGCTACCGAACCTTACGGACTGGATCCAGGGCGAGAACCTGCTCAGCGTTAACTATTTGCACTTGTGCTATGTACATATATATGTAGGTAAATCGGGTCCAGGACAAAGTTGCTCTGGCATGCGATTATCATTATGTAAGGTGATTGTCCCTACATGAACTTTCACGACACCCCACATTGCTCCGCTCACCTCGCTTCAACCTGTTAGGCGTGCATTTTCCTGCCGCCCCTCGGTTTTCATGGCTACTTCCACCGCGGTGTCTCAGTCCACACCACAAACTACCCCACAAACATCTAGAAACTTTCTGTCTCCTGAGATCTCTTCCTACTTCATCGGTACAGCGCAGTTCATCAATGTGTGCGGCTTCTTAACTCACTTGAATCTTCGCGAATAAGCCGGTGGATTCGCTGGAGCAGCGAGCCGCACAGTAGTCAGCCCCCTAGAGCGATTGAAAATCATCCAGTCGGCCCAATTTCCCACCAACTCGCGACGCGTTTCTCAAGCTCTGTCAGGCAGGTTCAACCTCGTACCTCAGATCAACAGTACAAAGGCGTATGGCGAAGTCTAATCAGAATGTGGAAGGAGGAGGGTGTTCAAGGGTGAGCCAGAATCCAATCACTCCAAGTTTCCACCGGTTCCTTTCTCAAATACTACGCAGGTTCATGCGTGGAAACGGAATCAATTGCATACGAATCGTTCCGTACTCGTGAGTTCTCGTCTCTCCATTCATTCTCTTTTTCCCTCTCACAGTCGCTTAGAGCAGGTGAGCAACATTCGCCCAAAAAGGGATGGTCGAGTTCTTATTCCATCAAGTCCAGTTCACAACTTATGAACAATTGAAGCGGGTTCGGATCTCTGACTGCATGATTTTGCTCCTGTCTGATCATATCCAGTGGCTCACTGAACATGGGACAAAAGAGTTGGATACCCCGAAGCGGTTAGCAGCTGGTGCACTGGCCGGCATATGTTCTGTGTGTGCGTACCGCGTGCCTCCTGGCGTATCCGACGTCTGATATCTCACGCCAGGCACTACATATCCCCTCGACTTGGTCCGAGCCCGGCTGTCCATCGCGACTGCCTCGATACCGGTCACCAAAACAGCCTCGTCTCTCTCAGGAGTCGGCGCTGCATCTCTTGCACCCGGTCATCACACCGCATCAGCTTCCACTTCTCTGGGCGAACTGTCTATCATCGGCATGAGTCTCAAGATTGTGCGGGAGGAGGGTGGCGTACGAGGTCTCTATCGAGGGATGGTTGCCACCGCTTTCGGTGTGGCCCCCTACGTGGGCATCAATTTCGCGGCCTATGAAGCTCTCCGAGGCATCATTACCCCGCCGGGGAAAACCAATGTTGCTCGCAAGTTGGCTTGTGGGGCTCTGGCAGGTGGGTTGTTCCGGTACCGAGATCACGCACCTCTCAAACGACGTGCGCAGGATCTCTATCTCAAACGCTCACCTATCCTTTCGATGTTCTCCGACGCAAGATGCAAGTCACGGGCATGAAATCGTCAGGTTTAGACATCCAATACACTGGAGCCATTGATGCTCTGCGCGGGATCCTGCGAACAGAAGGCATTCGCGGACTATATCGCGGCTTGTGGCCTAATCTCCGTGAGTTCTACTGTTCGACCTGGATCTGTCACTGAAACTCCAGCTAGTCAAGGTCAGCCCAAGTGTGGCAACAAGCTTCTTTGCGTACGAACTGGTCAAAGATTACCTGGTCTCATTATGAGCCTAGATCTTTCAACCACACATCCAACATTCTCAACAGATCAAGGACTATCTCGTGTTTTTGATAAGGAGGACGGAATGACAAGCACATTAACTATCGTAATAATATACATACGTGAAACAAAGACATGGGACGCAACGGCCGGATTCGCACCATCGTGCAAAGAACAATTGATCATTGACCGGGACCCTAGTTTGATACATCATCTGCACCGGCGCTCAGGTCATTGCTTCTCAGACCTGAGACGGTTGGGATCCGTCAATGCCCTCCTCTCAGTCTGGTAGGACAAGGACCGCCCCATCGTCGACGCCGGCGTCATTTGGAGCTTCCCCCCTCTCCTCCGCCTCCCTCTCCTCAAGTTCGAGCCCATCTGATCACGTTGGCTCGTCATCGTCCGGCCACGCATCTGCCACCATGCACCCAGGCGCTGTCCGTTCCTCTTCTCTTCTTCATGCCCATCCCATGGGACAACCCCACAGCAAGCCGTCTCCAGATCAACTGAACTCACCGACATCGGGCGCTTCAGCGAGTTCAAAGCTTAAACGTGCCCTAGCTGGCAGGAGGAAGAAATCCGAGGACATAAATGTCGATAGTATTCAGATGAAAGGGCCTCGGCAGCTCACACTGCAGGTTTCTCAAGCGTTGGGTGTTGGGAAAAAGTCGAATATGTCACCGATCCCCCCTTCTCCACCTCCCAAACCTCCATCACTACAGGGTCCTTCCAAGCCCTTTCCTCCACCTCCTCCAATACCCCCATCTATCATTCCCGCCGGTCGAGGCTCCATAATGCCCATAACCCCTGGTGTATCGTCTGCCGTCAATTTCATGATAGGTCAGGAGAGGGCTTTGGATGCGATGAGGCACGAGAAGGATCGAGGGCCGGAGGAGGCTTGTGACGAGTCTAAAGAGACATGGCGCCGCAGCGATGCTACCATTACGCACCATTCCTCAGCTGCCGGGACCCGTCCGTCCCGTCCCGTCTCTGTCGCCGAGTCGCTTCAATCCAACCATACTATCGTGGCGCCCAACAAACGGCTGAGTGCGTTGGTGATGGATACAGATTTTGGTATGGTAGAGGAGGACGTCGATGAGCTGAGGCCTGCCGAGCCGGAGCAAGTAGTGCTTACTCGTACGAAGCCAAGATCCGCTTCCCTGAACGTGGGACCCTCGCAGCCGTTCGTTGCAGCGGACCCTGCGACCACGGTTTCCCCCAAGCTATCGTCGGAGACTGCGCCGCTTCTCACCCCGTCAATATCCAGAGAGACCCCGACGCTTACTCGAACGGCTGCAAATGGGTTTATTGCTCCGTCTAGCTCTGGTCTTCAGAGCACGGGGCACAATATCCGCGGCCGTCTCGCGGCGTGGACCGCAACCAACACTGCTCAGCGGGAAGTGCCTTCCGCCTCGCGGGCCTCGGCGTTGGCCCAGACCCATGCTCGCCAACCGACCCTGAGCATAAGCGGTGGCTTTGCACCGGCTGCGGGTTTGGCCAAGCGGGCCGTCGAGAAGATGGGCAGGGCTTGGGGCGGGTTGACTGCGGGCTCGAGTTCGGGGTATTCCTCCTCGTCTTCGAGTGCGCCGTCCTCATACACCAGTCACGAACACAGCCTGGCTCGCACGATCTCCAATCAATCAGGGTCGGGAGCGGTTCCTGGCAAAGCTCCCAAACACCGACGGACTCCGAATTCAGCATCCAGCGCCTGGAGCATCAACTCCTCGAGTCATTCCTCGTCTGTGTCAGATATGGATGCCTTTGCTGTTCCCGATGGACCTATTCTTGGCACATGCTTGCGACGACCGGCCCACGTCACCGGGAAGACGGCCGGCATTGTGTTCGGTGTGCAGCTCAAGTTTGCCGTCAGAATGGCCCCAATCGCGTCTGCAAGCCAGCTGGCGGAACGGGCGGACATCGACTCGGTTCTTGTCAAGGAACTGGAGAGTAGGGCATTGCCGGCACTAGTTGTTCGATGTGCCCAACATATCTTGATCTGGGGGGTCCAAGAGGAGGGATTGTTTCGGTGAGATCATCTCTTGGGACTGTGAAGGCGTTTCATATATTCACATCGTGTCAGGGTAACAGGGCGGCCGTCCCACACTTCCAAGTTGCGCAGCGAGTTTGACTGTGGTCAGTTCAATTACAAAATCTGTCGAACTGGGCGATTCATCTATCCTTCCAGGCGCCGACTTTGATATGACTAGCTGTACCCCTGGAGATTTAGATCCGCACTCTGTCTCTTCCGTCTTTAAGGCATTCTTGCGAGAATGTACGTATCTTCAGCACCGCCATTTGTCGTTCACTCACAAAGTTTCCATAGTGCCCGAGTCTATCCTGACCAAAGGACTGATACCCTACTTTGATGTCGCACTGGCCCAAGAGAACGCGCTCCAAGAGTCGCAGAACAGCTCCCGAGTAAAATCTGCTGCCGGACCGTCTCTTCCGTCTGGACCAAGGAGCGGACTTGCGCTGAGGAAGCCGCCTTCACTGTCGACTCTCGCCATGCCAAACATGGCGCTGATGCGACCGCCGTCACAGTCGCTGATCAAGGCACTCCGGTCCTTGATTGCTCAACTTCCGACCGAGAACAGAGATCTCTTGCGAACGGTGACAGATCTCATTCGTGCGACTGCCAAGCGCAGCCGGGAAACCAAGATGCCTCTGAGCAATCTTCTGCTCGTGTTTTGCCCCAGCCTCAACATGAATCCCCCGCTGCTACGAGCGTTGTGTGAAGCAGAAAGTGTTTGGACCGAAGAAACAGACTGTGTCGTTGATATTTGCAGCGAGCCTGCAGTGGACGTCCCAGCTCAAACTGATTCGCCTCGGCCCCGCTCTCCTGGTGCCAGAAGCAAACGAGCCCAGCACGCTGCATTCCACCTCGATCCCGATGACGATCCTCCCGCGGATGACGTGTCGTCCGTCTCGACAGATGATCGATCATCAGAGCCACGGATGTATGCGCCGTCACCCATGTTTTCTTCTTCCGTGGAATCGCTACAGACTCCCTCCAGTGGGCCCTCGCTGGAGCACCTTCCTCTCGAACGCAAATCTTTCGAGGCGCAGCCCGACATGCAACCCACTGCGCTGATCATCGCTGATCCGCCAGACCCACTATTCAATGTGTCCAGTGCCCATAACACCCCCGTCCAGTTCCCGACGATGCCTTCACCAGGAACTCCGTCGTCGTCCAAGCGCTTGTCTGCCGCTTTTTCGTTGCCCAGTCTAACACTCGGCAATTTTTCGAAACCGGATCTTCATTCAGCGGACTCGGCGCCTGCTTCACCGTTGAGGCGGCTGAAAAAACCGTCACTTCAGCTTCTGTTCTCTAAGCGCTCGGCTTCGCCGCTGACTTCGTCGTCCCACGGAGGACATCCTCTCATTTCCGCTCCTTATTTGCAGTCTCCTCGAGCAGCATCCGAGTCGTCGCTCTCGACACCTGTCACAGCTCTCGAGAGTCCCTCACCCAGTGAACCACCCGTTCTGGACACGGCCATCGAATCATCGTCTCTCCGCGCCGCACTGGGGATTCAAATCGACAGTCCTGAAGACCCCCCGGCTGTTGAACTGGAACAAGAGCAACCGGAGCCTGACTTGCTCCAGCCCGTGATTGGCCAGACGCCGATAGCTGACCATTACAAGCACGCGCTGCGGTCTACCCCAGCGCGTAAGATCTCTCAAACATCGATATCTTCGTCGACATCCTCTAACAGGCTGGGAGTGCTTGAGCCTGATGTTGCGGAGGAGAATTGGACTCAGAGTGTTCTGTTGGCTGCAGACATCGACTGGAGGGATCACAGCAACTGATTCGCATTTACTTATACCATTGTCAATTCTGCTTTCGGTTTCTCTAACATTCACTTGCACTCTTACATTGCTCACAAACTATGTATCTTATCTATTCGCCTCACTGCATTCGATCAAATTTTCAACACCGAGCGATGCCGCAGAGATGCCAAATCAAGCAAGTCCGTGGGAAGCACATGTGTAAGAATCCTCCACCGGTACATAAAGTCGCGGAGTCCCCCAAATCTGATTTCTGGAGGGATAGCGCCACTCCCGAGAGTGGAACAGAATTAAGTAAAAGATTACGTCATAGTGGCGGATCAAGGTGCGTGACCGCGATCGTCGACGTCATCGACGTGATCATGACCTGACGCGTGACAATTTAGACGCGTCTTCACTCTCTTCATCCACGTCCATGGCGTCAGACACGGTCAAGAAGATTCAAGACAAGCTCTTTCGCGGCTTAGATGGCGCCCCACTGCCCCAGGATCGCGACTCACCGCTCAGCATCGACATTCCCAAACTCAGACCTGCCCCCGCTCCTCCTCCCCAGTTCGCCAAGGCCAGCTTAAACTCGTCCAAAGCAGACGACCTCCCGCCATCATACCGCGAACGTCTTGCAGAGAAACTCGGTGACGATTATCAAGGCGCGGAGCGTTATCGACTCGTGCAAGATGGCAACAAGGAAAGACATTGGAAGCGGTGGGGACCGTATCTCAGCGACAGACAATGGGTGCGTCCCTCCTCCGAAGCCCATAAGCTTGTTGCATTAACCTTGCTTTAGGCTACTGTGCGCGAAGATTACTCGGACAACGGCGACGCATGGAGCCATTTCCCCCACGACCACGCGCGCTCTCGCGCATATCGATGGGGCGAGGATGGCATGGCTGGTATCTCAGACAATCACCAGCGACTTTGCCTCAGCTTGTCTCTGTGGAACGAGAAGGACCCGATCCTCAAGGAACGCTTGTTCGGTGTTACCGGCCACCAAGGCAATCACGGCGAGGACGTCAAAGAGCTTTACTATTATCTCGATTCGACCCCGACGCACTCATACATGAAGTTTCTTTACAAGTATCCTCAGCAACGCTACCCTTACGATGAACTAGTCACTGAAAACCAGAATCGGAGCCGTGATGTTACTGAATACGAAATCATGGATACAGGTGTTTTCGATGAAGACAAGTACTGGGACGTATTTGTTGAGGTTCGTTTCTTATTTATGAGGCGCATATAGGCACTGATTCACTGCAGTACGCCAAAGACGAAGATGATGCTGATAACGTTTACGTTCGTATCACCGCATACAATCGTGGTCCCGACTTGGCCTCGCTACACATCGTCCCCCAGTTCTGGTTCCCAAACACGTGGTCATGGAGCAAAGAAAAGCGAGTGAAGCCGACGATGACGGCGGCGACTCGAAACGACGTAAATTGCATCACGGCCAAGCATCCCACTCTCGGTAAAACTCATCTCTATTGCCTTCCATCGCCTCCCCCGACCGATAGCAACGGTGAATTTGAACCTGGAATGGAGGGGGCCGCGATCGACGCGCGTCTTTTGTTCACCGAGAACAATACTAACTTCCTGCGGTTGTACGGTGGTAAAAACGAGAGCAAGTATGTCAAGGACGCATTTCACGACCAGATTGTCCCGGAGCACCGTCCAATCGTCGAAGGACCCCATGGACCCCCTCCCGGCCCCATTGGCGATGGCGACGATTTCATACCGAACGACCATGTTCCTCGTCCCAACTTCATCAACCCTGAGCAGACGGGAACGAAGTCGGCGGCCCAGTACATCTTCCACGATGTTCCCGGTGGCGGAGGTTGCGCCGTTGTTCGATTGAAACTCACTCCCTCGAACCCCAAGAAGGACCCGACGCTAGTGGACGAAGGTTTATTCGATGACGCTGTAGAGTCGCGCCGTCTGGAAGCAGATGAGTTTTATGAGTCGCTTGTACTCGGTCCCACGAGCGAGGACCTACGGCAAGTTATGCGGCAGGCGTTTGGTGGTATGCTCTGGACAAAGCAACACTACACGTTCATCCAGAAGGAATGGATTGAGGGCGACTCGGGTCAGCCAGCGCCTCCTCCGCAACGCAAACACATCCGGAATCGGGTATGCTGCTGTCTATGTTGCATCGACGTTGATTTCAAACTCTGCATAGGAGTGGCCGCACATGCATATCTCGGATATCTTGTCGATGCCTGACAAGTGGGTGCTGTCTCCCTGAATCATATCCAACTGATCGGTGAACAGATGGGAATACCCGTTCTTCGCTGCGTGGGACACTGCATTCCACTGTATCCCACTCGCTGTGGTGGACCCAGCGTTTGCAAAGAAACAACTTGATTTGCTCACTCGAGAGTGGTACATGAAGCCGGATGGACAGATTCCGGCGTATGAATGGAATTTCAGCGACGTGAATCCACCCGTTCATGCGTGGGCGACATTCAGAGTGTTCAAGATCGAGCGCAAGATGACGGGGAAAGAGGACCTCGCCTTTTTGGAGCGTGTGTTCCAGAAGCTGCTGCTCAATTTTACGTGGTGGGTCAACCGGAAGGACAGGGGTGGCAACGGTGTGTTTGAGGGTGGATTTCTTGGCTTGGACAACATTGGCGCATTCAACCGCTCTGAGCCGCTGCCGACCGGAGGAGAGCTGCGCCAGGCTGATGGGACTGCTTGGATGGCATTTTATTGCTTGAATATGCTGAACATGGCGCTTGAGTTGGCTAAACACAATCCGGTATATGAGGATATTGCATCCAAGTTCTTTGAGGTGCGCAGTTTACTGTGATCACGACCGGGACTGACGGCGGGGCAGCATTTCATTTTTATTGCGGACGCGATGACTTTTAAAGTGGACGATGAGGAGCACAGTCTGTGGAATGACGAGGACGGGATGTATTATGACGCCATCCACTTTGGGCCGGGCAACTCGATGCAACTTCCGATCCGCAGCTTGGTGGGACTGATTCCGTTGTATGCTACACTTGTGCTGGAGCCCTCCACACTGAATCGGTTCCCTGGGTTCAAAAAACGGGTGGAGTGGTTCCTGGACAACCGCCCGGAAGAGTCTGCCCGTAACATGGCCAACATGCGAGGTGCGTGGTGTGCTCGACCTCATTTAGACGATGATTCAATCTATTTGTGGCAGACGGAGGAAAGGAACAACGTCGCTTGATGGCGCTTGCAGATAAAGACCGCCTGATCAAGATTCTAGAGAAGATGCTAGACGAGGACGAATTTTTGAGTGAGCACGGGATCCGGTCGTTGTCAAAGAGGCACAAAGATCATCCGTGGGGAATGGATGTCAACGGTCAACGCTACGAAGTGGGATACTGGCCTGGGGACTCCAGGTCTGGCATGTTCGGAGGCAACTCCAACTGGAGAGGACCTATTTGTGCGTCCTGGTCTGACATACCTGATCTAATCTAATCGGATCGGATCCAGGGCTCGCGACCAACTTTTTGCTGATCGAGAGTCTGCAACGCTTCTACCAGTATTACGGGGACCAGTTGCAAGTTGAATGTCCGACTGGCAGCGGGGACTACATGAACTTGGTCGGCGTCGCCGAAGAGATCCAGCACCGCATCATACACATCTTCGCGCGCGACATGGATGGCAGACGCGCTGCCAATGGTGGGATCCCCAAACTAGACCAGGACCCGCATTTCCGTGACTATGTCTGGTTCTATGAGGTGGGGGTGATTGTTTGTCTGATTCACGAAAGCTGACGCGCTCTTGTTCTAGTTTTTCCATGCAGACGATGGGCGTGGCCTAGGCGCATCGCATCAGACTGGCTGGTCCGGGCTTGTTGCGTACCATATCCTGCAGAGCGGGGTCAGCTGCCGGCTGCCCAAGACACCGCGCACGCCACGTGCCATTTTGCACCACTATTTTGATGTGTGTATTTCGCCTTTGCCCACTAATTATTTACTGATTTCCCGAAGGAAACGATGGATTCTCGGTCTGAGTTTGACGATACCCGCTCTGCGCGGTCTGCCTTCAGCATGGCGAGCGCATTTGACACGCACACTTTGGGCGATATTTCTCCGGACGCGCTGTAATAATAGAAGATAGCATTCCTGTCTAGTACATGATACAAATAAGAGAGTTGACAGAATTCCGGGGAGCAGACAGTAGGTTAGCAGCACCTAATAGATAATGTTAGAGAGAGAGAGCTTATGGTGGTACATCGCAATCACATGACTGTGTCACGTCAAGTCACGTAGAGGGTCACCTGACCGCCGGGACGATAGGCCTCGAATGCCATCTGCACGTCCTCAGTCGAGCCCAGGGAGACCATGTCTCCATCCTCGTCCTTGTATTTGACGCGGAGCGGCCCGTCCATCCGCCTTGGCCCACACAGCCGGATCTTGCGACCGACCTTCTCCACCAAATCGTCGTACTCGGTGATGCGCGGCACCTGGATGACGAAAATGTCTTCGTTGAAGTGCACCTTGACCTTGACGGGAGGAGCAGGCCGCATTCCCACGCCACCGAGCGAGGACTCGGTCGAATCGAACGGAGTGATCGGCGACGAGCTGTGCGGCGAGTAATCCTCGGAGCTGTCTCCTGTTGACTGACTCGATCCGCTCTCGCGCCGGCCTCTCCACTGTGGCGTCGGCATCGGCGGGGGCACGCTCTTGGGCACATAGGCCTGCGGTTGCTCGCACTCCGGGACCTGTTCATTACCGGCGCCAGAGGCAGCGCAGTGGTCGGCGGCGGCGCTGGCTGTGCCGGGAGTCCGGTCCGGTAGTCGCCATTCAGCTTCGTCGAACTGAACTGGCTTCGCAGAGGCGGTCTCGTGCGGGGCCCTGGTCCCATGCTATTGACCTCCGAAGCATAATTCGTCCCGCTCATCATGCTGGCATTCGAGTGCACACGTGACGTCCGCGTCCGACTGACTGCTGGGTTCATTGGCGGTGGCGCGTTCGTCCGCCATTGCGCCATCACCGGCCCGTTCGTGTCTTCAGTCATGGCTCGAGGACGGTCGTAGCCCGGAATCGACTCTCGTTCCGGTGGCATGCTCTGCGCGTTCATCCGTCGCGTTCCGACCGGTGTCCCACGCCCAGATGCGTAAGCTGACGGAGGGTATTCCTCTAGGTCGTCGTCGTCCAGATCAAAACCGTAGTTCTCGTCGATCGGATAGCCTTGCGGCCCACCGTACTGGCTCATCGTGTTGCCCGCCTGGTACACGCTCTCTCCCCTCGGCCGCTGAGCAAAATTTGGCCCTGGCATATATCCACCTGGCCCGCCCGGAACATACCCAACGGGCTGTCGCGGATTTGTACTGTTGGCAATCTTCGCCATGTTCCTCTCCGACACTCGTCGCTGCGCCGACTCCCTGATCAGTCGGTTGATCGCAGACTCCCATTGTCGCATCTGCGGCTCGTTTCGACACCGGAGCGTGAAGAACTCGAGGTCATCGTCGCCCTTCCACCAGACTGACAGTGGATACTGCAGCGGAATCCCAACTACTCGAGCGTCAGTAAATCAAGATGGGCCAGAGAGACAACACAGACCAGTCGAGTTTCTCGCGGCGACGGGCACAGCCTGGGTCACATTGCCCAGGAAAATCCGTCCCTTCAGTAGCAGCGGCGTGTTTCGTTTCACAGACTGGCCTGGCAGAGCATAGGGTGGAGCACCGGCCTTCTTGAGGATAGAGTTGCTCTTCGAGACCTTCTTGCCGTTGGGAGGCGCACCAATGGCCTCCTTGCAGCACAGGATGATCTTCTCGAACAGAAAGACATGATACTCCCGATCAATGTCAGACTTGGTAACCACAAATATATCATCGAGCAAAAGCTCGCCGAAGTTCTCCAGGTGATGGCCTTTCCAGTCGTCAACGCGACTCTGCAGATTTTTCACAGTCTGCTCGTTCTCGGCTCGCCGTTGTGCTTCGTTGATCTTGTCGGCGATCCGTTTCGCAGCCTCGGAGCCTTCCTTGAGCTCATCAAAGTACGGGTAAGCCGCAGGCGACGTGGCTTTGATCAATTCCTGGAAACCATCAGCACTTGTCACCGAGCGGCGTGCAGCGGACAACGTTACATTGAAAAGCAGAGGATACTTGCACACGCGCTGAATCGGCTTGATAAGGAAGGCCGGGAGCTCGCCCCTGATGTTGATCAAATGGTTGAGAGCCTGTTGACGCATGTTGAATGACCCGCGTTGTCAAGTCAACCGAATGTACCCACAGAAAGGTTCTGCTCATTAGCAAGCATGAGCTCAGAAGCGTTTGTGTAGTTTGCGCAATAGGGTTCGTAGACGCTGAACTCTTCCTCCTGCGGGACGGTGGTAGAACATAAATGAGAACAATGCACCAAGTCAGAAGCAGGTCCACTCACAGCCTGGACAAAGAGTTGTCCCCACCGCTGGTCGATCCACGGCAACTCGGCATTGCTCTCGAATCGGATGAGGAATTTGCGTTGGAAGTTGAGAAGCTTGTTCAAATTAGGGAATAGCAAATGAATGGTGTCTTGGTCAATGAGATTGCTTTGTGATAGAGCCGTCGCATATTTCTGCAGACAGGCATTGAGACAAGGCGGCTCAGAAAAAGGAGTTCCGGGGCGCACCTGCATGACCTCCAAGTCTTGTACATACTTCCGCTCCGTCTCGACCAACTCGCGCACAACGTTATTGCGAGCAGCTTCTTGGGCGTTCGCAGGCGGAGCAGGCATTGCGAATTCGGAACCGAAAGATTCGTAAGAGTCGGCAGAGGACATGAAAGCGGGTGATGGAGGAGACGTCTCAAACGCCTCGGGGGGAAGGTGTTTAACGATGGCAGTGACGGTCTCTACAACCTAATACCGCATTGGAGCCGGCTCGTGGACTAATTCAGCTATTACGCACCTTGACTAGCCCGTCTGTGGAGTCACGCTTCCAGAGGTCGGTGACTGTAAACAGCTCGCAACCAGGGATGTTCTCCGTCACTTTTTCCGTCCGAATCTGCATGGCAAACAGGGCAATAGCGTGCTTCTGTGCCCTGTCCGGCTGCGTCTCATACTGCTCTGGGTTGAACTCGGAGTGGTTGATTTTGTTGAATCCGCCTTCCTCAGGGAGTTGATCGAAGATATAGCAAAGGGATATGCCAAGAGCGAAGAGGTCCCATAGTTGAGTAACGGGATCGGTGGATTGGCGATTATCGGGAGAGGCGAGTGCGAAGTAGTTTGAGAAGCCGCGAATCTGCATGAGACGGGCGCGGAGTGCGGAGCATCGCTGGTAAAGGGAAACGGACTCGGAGGCGGCCTGATTAAGGAGGGTGTTGTTGGCTATTGGAATGTCGGAAAGACCAGCTGTGGAGACGATGGACTTTTTGCGCCCGGCAGAGGCCATGGTGGGATGAAGGTGGGGGGGACGGACGACAATCAGCCACAGCCGTAACTGTCACGGCTGTCACCTCGTCACAGTTTACCTGTCACATTTCCTTCCCTCATGCCAGGACCCGAGACACTGGGGGGTGTATTTATTGACAACTTTGGAAATCCTCTCTCGGTTTATATCGACCACGATATTGATAATCGAGACGACTTCATCGATCTTTTAAAGGTAGGTAATTTTTCTGATCACCTCCCTTGCTCATCTCGTAGAAACACGGTGGTATCTCTGCTCCAGGGTATAGCGGGGTCTCATACCTTCTCGGTCAATCAATACATCTCTTCCCACCTTACATACTGCTCATATTTCATCCAGTCGATCCGTGTAAGACCTCTGGGCAAAACCTTTTTCGCCTGTATGCAAACAAGAAGGATAAAATTGTTCTGGATGTTCGCTGGATTCAAGAGTGCGTGAAGGCCGATGGCTTGCGAACCTTCAGAAGCGATTGGGCCGGTTGCAAGGTCACAGGCAACGAAATGTTGGTGCTTGAATGTTTCGGACGCGTCGCACGTTCATCTTCTCGCGCAGAGTGGTTCAAGATCGGCCGGGTAGCACGCGTTCGCGCCCAGCCCAACAGCCACGATCAGAACACGCTGCCCAGGAGATACAGCAGCAGCAACCATTACAGCCTACACATCCTCAGATTGACCCGCTTGCACACGCGCATTACGCGTTTCCGGTGTATGCAACTCACCCACAATGGCAGACTGCGCCAATCGGTCCCGAACAAGCTCATATCCCCGCTGAGCATGTGCTACATCGAACATCCGAGTATCGCCAGGACGCGACTCAGTGGGTCCAATATCAGCAACCAGTCGCACCTGTCGCCACTTCGGCCGCCCCATATGATTACAGGTATAGGGACGACGGTCATGGATGGGTCGGTGCCGCGACCTCATATTACGATCCGTCAGTGAGTACTCTCTATTCTCCGCCTGGCAGCCGGCTTATCGCATCATAGTTCGTTCACTATCATCCTGGATACCTTCAGAACGGCGCATCCTCAGAAGCAGAACCGTCCAGTCTTGCCCCAGATCCATCGCCCACACCTGTCCCGGAGATCCCTCCGGCTTCGCCGCCTGAATCGTCATCGCCGGCAGAGGAGCCGACTCGCGGGCGGAAACGTACACGGCCACCGGTAAAAACGCTGCTATCTGCGCAACTTGAGATTGAGATGTGTTATCAGACGACCGCTACTCTAGGTGCCTCTACTTCGTCTTTAGTGACGACTGGAAGCAGGTCTGTGCGCTCGCCAACTCCACCGACCCGGGTGGTCAAAAGTACCTTCGGCGGTAACTTGTTTACTGCCGAGGATATCTTGTATCTCGAGAAGTACATTGCATATTGTCACGATCAAGGTCTAGTCCTCAGGTGTGTGCCGTTTGATCGGCGTCAATGTCTCCGTTGACTAGTCGACAGTCTTCGCGAAATATGCGAACGAATAGCAGTCAAGGTATGTACCCATCAAAAATATCGAGCGCGTTCTGGCTCAGCCGTATCCAGGCTCCGCATCACACGTAGGTGCCCGCAAGATGATTAGCCTTTAAAGCTCACGCGCTCTCAGATTCTATTCTTGGCGTCGCTACTGTAACAAGCACCAAATTCGTCTGGGCGGCTATGCCATGAAGGCCGACCGAGCTGCTTCGCCGGAGAACGCCAGCGAAGATGATGAAAACACAGACCATAATAGCGCGGTACCACCGAGTGCCAGCTCGCGGCCTCCCGGCGGATCGATCCACAACTTGGTCCATGAGATGGATTCGACCCCTCACGACCGGTCACCCAGTCCACCCCGTGCCTTGTTTCGAAGTACAACGGGCAAGGGAGTCGCGTTCACCGATGAGGACATCACATTCTTGGTCCGTTTCATGGAGTATCGCAAGTGCGTAACCATCAACCCTCGATGTGCATCCGTTTATGCCCCGCAACAGAAAGCAGGGTAAGCTTGACATGGTTGCATTTTGGAAGGACGTGGCAGTCAAGGTGCGTGCGCTCTCTGCCCGATCGCTATCCAGTCTCGAATCTGCTTAGGCACCGCATCATTCACGAGCCTCTTGGATGAAGTTCTGGAGGCGACATAAACACGAGCTTGAGCAGGGGTCAACTGACTCGCCTCTGCCCCACCCTCCAGAGAAGAAGATGCGGTACAGCCGGAACGATGATGTCCTGCTCGCCAAATACTTTGTCAATAAGGTCGAGGGGACGTCGGACAAGATCTTCCAAGCATTTGCCTGCCAACACCCGCATCATCCTTGGAAAGGTTGGCAGGAGCACCATCGGATTCATAAAGCCAAAATTGACGGATTCATTCAACGGTTATTGAGGGGGGAGACCTTGGAACAGGATGGTCTAGAGCAGTAGATATCTTATCTGGCGCATATCTTTATCTTTATCACCTGTGTTTGTATTCACTTGTCCTTTAACCATGTTGTCCCCAGAGCAGGTCGCACAGGCGAGTGACGCCGGCCACAGCCCAGTGTCACATTCTCACTCTGCTTCCTCATGTAGTTCCATCGCGACGGGTATGGGCCATGGTGCCACTCTAAACGCTCTGAGCATCAGCCGGCTGAGACCCCGATCAAGATATCTCATTCTCAAGGGTTTTGCCGCCGAGGAGGCACCTGCGATGCTGGCACGGTCGAAGGAGCTCTTACGCGAATTCGACATCGAAACGCACCCTCTCGTGAGTCATGGGCCCGCTTCCGCAGCCGTTTCTCACCGGGCATCAGACCCGTTTCACGACCGGTGACGAAGACGGGGACGGCCACATAGGAGACGACTATTTTCTCAGTTCTGGCGACAAGATGCACGTTGCCACCTCCGCGTGCAGTGCGACGTGCTTCTCAACTCAATCTCTAGCCGCTACTTCCTGGAGCCGGATGCCGTGGTCGATGGGAAACTCACCCGTGCGAAGGAGTTTGCCGTGAACAAGATCGGACATGGTGGGGGATCCCTCAACTGTCCTTGCGCGGCGGAGGCTTAATTCAGATCTCTGATGATCTCCAGGACTGCATGAATTGGATCCTGTCTTTCGCAAAGTCGGGCGCCGTGGGCAATTACCGCACGTCATCCATCCGGCTGATGTCCTCCTACTAGTTCACCCTCGAGAACCCGAAGATGCGGGAGGCTGTGGCCGATCTGAAATTCCACCAAGATCCGAGGGGTGCGTCTCGATGGTTTGGCGCCGAGAGTGTCTTCTCCCTGACATGCCTCCCCGCCAGCACTGCAATCCATGGTCATCTTCAAGCAGCCGCAAATAGGCAAGTCACAGAAACTTTTGACCACGGGAGGAAATATGCTGACTGTGCTGTCCAGGTGGACAAGGTTAGCGGCAATTGTGTATGCTCGATGCGCTTCGGCTGAGAATGTCTCGAGTCGGCGAACACAATGACTCGTGCGTGTTCTAGTCTCAGTGGCTGGCGCAGTGACACATAACCGGCCCAGAACCTTCTTGGTGCGACCCGCTGTGCCGCTCACGCCGCAACCCGTCTGATGATGAGATAGTACACGGATCCCCCGTCGGCTCTTGGATTCTGGATCGCGCTCGAACACTGCACGCCCACCAATGGTGCCCTCTCGTTTCTCCCCGGTTCGCACAAAATTGCGCCACTGACCAAGCGATTCGTGCGCCTACCCACGGGCGGCACGGGCTTCGAGCCTCTGGTCGAGCCAGAAGTTGCTGCGCAGGTGGCATCCTACAGTCGTGATTCAGCTGATTCCTACATTCTGGAATGCTGCGATCCAGGCCAGTTTGCCTCATCGGCATGTCAAAGCGCAACACAAACTCATGTGATTCTTAGGTGACCTGGTGCTGATCCACGGTTCTGTGCTCCACAAATCGGAAAGAAACACGTCGGACAAGACTCGCTTTGCATATACGTTCCACATGATCGAGGGCCAGGCTAAGTATGACGCGAAAAACTGGCTGCAGCCTACGCCAGACATGCCTTTTTCACGTGTCCTCGCCTAGTTACGAGGGCTGCACAATCTCAATCTTGGCTAAGCGCGTGATGTCCTCGGCACGGAGGGACGCGACCTGGTCTATCAGCGCAGCGAGGAAAGTTCCGCTGCCGTGCACCGTATCTTGTTGGACGGCCAGCTCGGCGGCAACAGTCAAGATCAGCACACTGTGTCTTACGTCAGCGTCGAGGTTTGGGCTGCGGGAAACGACTGACGCAGCGACGGCTGCTGTGAAAAAGTCCCCATCTCGCGTCAATGCAGCTGAATGCAGCTCGTGGGCGAGCATGTTTTCTGTCGCGCAACAGACAGCAATGAGCGATCCCAGCATGCAGCCTGATCCTGTGATCTGCCCCAGCAGCGGATCGCCGTTGTGAATCTTTGCAACACGAGTCCCGTCGGACACATAGTCTGTCTCGCCTGTCAGGACGACGATGCACCGTTCCTTGCGGGACAGCTTCTTCACAAAACCGACGGGATCCTGGAATGAGCCTGCCGTATCCACTCCTTTTGACCCGGCCTCGCTGGACCCAGCGAGAACGGCAAGTTCTCCAGCATTGCCCTTGATGACCGTAGGGTGCCAGACATCCAAGAGTTCTGAAGCCGTGAGGTTCCGCTGACAGAATGTTTACCATTTTCTCGAGTGGACTCACGGTTGACACTGGATTTCCTGAAAGAGGTGGCACCCACACCCACAGGATCAAACACGACCGGAATCTTGGCCGCATTTGCGCAGACCCCTGCCTTGAGCATGCCTTGAAATGTGCTGCCGACGAGGGTGCCGATGTTCACCAGCAACGCATTGCTCAGCTTCGCCAGGTCAGCCATTTCCTCTGCCGCCGTGGCCATGATGGGGCTGGCGCCAACTGCAAGAGTCATATTCGCTGACTGGGTGGCGACGACTGTATTCGTTATCTGAGACTGCAATCAGCGCCGAAACGGTCGGGGCAATCACTGACTTGGTGAACGAGAGGCTTTTGGCTGCTGATTTTCTCCATGATTTCCGATGAACGGGCGAGAAGATCCCCTGAAAAAGCCGGAGACAGGCCAGTGGCTTCTCGACATCCGCGAAAGATAGCTTTCAGCGCTTGCGCAGCCGCTTTGGGGGCCGCAGAGGCCATGATGTCTGAGACCACAGCCACGCCGTCGAGACTGCGACCGCTTTCGGATACAGATACAGACATCAGACGCGCCTGGACAAAGGCTGAGAACTCAGCAGCGCGCAAGTAGAGCGAAGTGCAAACCAGATTCGACGATTTGATACCGCCTAGGCTGTGTTCAGCTCTACTCCTGTGCTCTGGTGGCAAGCGCACCGATAGCCACAGCTTTCAGATTAGATCCATCTAGTGCATCTAGTAGCACACCGATGTTGCGAACTCCGATCGGTGTGCTGGTCAGCTTCTTGGTCTGAGTGTCCCACACGGCACCGAGGCCAACATAGTCAGCTCCAGAATCTCTCGCCCGCCGAACCTCCTCCAAAGTGTTGCAGGAGATGCCGATGATTGTTCCCTGAGGCAGAAGCTTGCGGGCAATATCGATAGGCATGTCCGTTTGGCCGAGGTGGACGCCGTCCGCTTCCACAGCGAGCGCGATGTCGATGCGGTCATTGATGATGAGGGGCACTCGGTAGCGCTGGCAGAGCGCTTTGGTTTCCCGAGCGATGGTCAAAAACTGGGTGCAGCGTCACGGTTCCGGTCGGGCAGAGAATATGTCGCACGGGCCTCCGATGTATCCGCAGTCTTTTCGCGCAGTTGCACAACGGTCACTCCACCGATCAAAGCCTGGATCAGATTAGATTACGATGGCCAATGGATGCCAGCCGCAACTTCTTCCAGGCTCTCAACATAGGTCTGATGATTGTTGAGTTCAGCCGTACATCAATATCGCGGGTAGAAGGACCTACTAGACCACGGGGGAGCAGTGCGCGGTCTGTAACCAGATAGAGAGAAAAGTCGATGCTGCTCATGGTGGTCAAGAGAGAGAGAGTTGCGCGCAGAACTTCGGTCCGACCCGATCATTTACAAGACCTCAAATGATGATTGCAAGGGTACAAAATTTAGCAATAAACACTACGACATTTATTGACCACGGCCCCGATCTCCGCCTCGATCTCCGCCGCGACCACGACCACGCCCCCCGCGTCGTTCGCCATCCGCTCCTCCGCGCCCTCGGAAACCAGACCCGCCGCCGCGTCCTCGGAATCCGCCACGGTCACCACCGCGGAATCCGCCACGGCCTCCTCCGCCCCGGTGCTCCCCGCCCCGGGACGGGCGAACCCGCCCGCGGCCCCCACGTGACTGAGTGATGAAGCCATCGTCTTCCGCGGGAGCGGCGACGTCTTCGACAACCTCTTCGACGACGTGTCCATTGGTTTGCAGCTCCGGCTCCACAACCGGAGTCACGGTCCCCGAGGTTCCGAACTTGGCATGCAGCCCCGCAATCGAAGGCAGGCCCTCGTCATCGTCGGCGGCCCAATCGAGCGCAGCGTTGCTCTGAAACTTGATTCAGATCAGGCCGCGGTGCGCTGAAAACGTGAAAAGAAACGAACCGTATCTGCGGCAGCTTCAGGGTCCACGATGTGGCCGTTGGCCTCGACAGGGATCTGATCACGTTCAACCCACTCGGCGTTCTCTTCGAATGGAGGTTCCAGCTCGCTGGCTTGCATGAAATCAAAGCTAGTCGACATGGATAGGCCCAGCGGTTGGCTGACAGCAGCCTCTTCCGTGGTGACTGCGCTGGCAGGCTCCTCCTCGACACTAGGGGCAGGGGGGCTCAGTCCAACTTGAACGATCTCAAGCAGTCGAATGTCTATATGGAGGATCATCGGAAAAATTCAAAGCTGGAGGGAAAAAAAACGAACAAGAGACACCAGCATGATCGCCTTGTCTGGACATGAGTCCTGAAACCACAGGTGACTCTGAATCCGTCAACAATGATTCAGCCGAGGAGAATAAGGCATTGGCCTCGACTTCGCTAACAGTGAGGGAGACCTCTCCCGCTGCTAGCAGCGAGCGCAATCGGAGCAGGTTCAAAATGTCAAAGACTCTAGAGGTCGCTTCGCGCTAGAGCCGACATTCAGCACTAGCCAGCTTCAGTGGTATAGGCTTGTCACCAACCTCTGCGCCGGCAACAGCGTCGGCAACTCGTGCATTTGCCGAGTGCTCTGCTTCCGCACGCGTTTGCGCAAGTTCGGCCGCAAGTTGAATCTCGTGGGTCTGTCCATTGGTTCGATGACGAGACAGCTGCGCTAGCAAAGACAACCAACCTCGACAGCTTTCTTAACTTCCCCGAGTTCCCTCTGAACAGCTTCCAGGGCAGGGAGTGACTTTAAGGCAGCCTTTTGGTCTTCATTCAGTTTTTCGGGGTCCGTAGCGGCATATGTTGATATTCGGCTCTGCCAGAGGTTGAGCAAAGTTAAGGAGAGCACGTGCAACGACGCACGATCTTTTTCGTTGTAGTTTTCAGTCGTTTTGCAACAAGATCGACGATGGGACTCAGTTTGGCTGTTGATTCATCGGCTGCAGGCGCCTCCGGCTCCGCAATCAGTTCGGCAGCAACAGCGCCCTCTTGGATGTCTGCAGCGTCGGGTGCCTTTTCAATAAGAGCAGCATTGGAGGCATCGATATCCTCAGCGGCTGTTTCGGCCTACGACGCGAAACTGAGTTGAATTACGCGTCAGAAAAAAGGATGTCATCACCTTCGACTTGTTCTTGCGCTTTTTACGCGACGACTTGGACACATCGCTCGGAGGAGGTGCTCCTGGAACGGTTCGGGGCAAAAGGGAGGGTGCAGATGGGACTTGCGGGGATGTTGAGGCCATTTTATATGCAACTTGAGATTCGGGTCGCTAAGGCTGGGGTAAAAGTTTGAAAACTGGAGTGCGCACGTGATTGTTCCTGCGCACAGCTTCAAATGAGGCTTCTAGTTCTTTCTTTCTACTACCCCTTAGTTTGTTCGCTCTCTCTCTCAATGGATGACTTCAGCACCAACAGGCACGAAACTCAGGCGGCATCTCTGCCCACTCGCTACTCGGATCTTTCTTTTCAAGATGGCAATGTCGCTGTTGTTGCTGGACTAGGCTACTTCCTCGTTCACAAAGGACTGCTATGCCGACACTCGATCCCGCTACAGCAAGCTACAAAGAACTTAGACTCGCGTGTTCAAATTGAAGGACGCCCCGTTCTCTATCTTGATGACTCCCCGCAAGATATGCAATACTTTCTCGCTGCACTTTACGATGGACTTGGACTGCAAGTCATCAGTGCGGTTCTCGCTGCTAATCTAACCATCAATCCAGCCTGGGAATCAATAATGACGTGCAGGGTTTCCCAAGAATAGACGCACTGCTGCGGCTCACCACCAAGTATCAAGTCAACAACATTCGATCTTGTCTCCTTCACGAGTTGCAGCGAACGCATTGGCCAACGCAACTCGCTCAGTGGGAAATTCGTGAAGCGGAAGCAACAGACCCCAACGGTCATTACGATGCGCGTCAATTCTATCCTCATCCCATGTCCGTGCTATGCTATTTGTGCATTGAATGATGTTTGAAGGAATGACATGCAGCTCAGTCATCAATCTTGCCCGCAAAATCAACGCACTCGAGCTTCTGCCTTCTGCCTTCTATGACCTCTCCCGATATACCGTCAGCGAAACAGCCTCAGGCTACACCGATGCATGCAACATTCACCACCGTCTGAGCCAATCGGACTTGATGCATCTGCTCAGAGGTCGCGAGCATGCTTCCCGATTCCTCTCTACTTTCATTGTCAACGAGCTCGAAGGCAGATCACCTGCGGCGAACTGTGTGCATGCGCACGGTGAAGATGGCGCCCACCGTAGGTCCTGCCAAGCTGCGTTCGAGAATATTACGTTTGAGATCTTACGCGACGTCAATGGCGTCACACATCGAAGCTCGGACCCTCTTTTCACCATCGTCGATGCCGAACTCATGCAAACACGGGAGGACAGTCACGGCCATTCTTCCGTCGTCAGGGCCTGCGAATTTTGCCGAACGGAGTTTGGACACGTCGTTGACCATGCGCGCGAGGAGTTCTGGAGCAAGCTGCCGGGATGGTTCGGTATAGAGCTGCCAGCGGATGTCTGGGTATGAGTAAATCATCTTCACCTACATCTGCGTATGTGCGTGTGTGTGTGTAACATCCACCGTCATCCAAGCGCGTTTCATCAGTCCTGGTTTCCCGTTTAGCCGTTGCATCTTGAGCACGTTATATCTGGACTCATACATGGCCACGTTGTATGCGGGTATCGCAGTTGCACAGGCCGTACAAGACTGTGCAATAGGCGGGTCGCGTGGTTCACATCTGTTCATAACTAGGAGACGACGCGCGGTAGCCAGCGACTGATCGCATGGCGGGGGTGAGCCGTACGTAAGCATCCCCCTAGCCCTGATCGTAACCTGCTCGACCGACCTCGCAACTTTCTGGTTTCTACCACGTTCCGCTCACACCATTGGCCGGTCATTCAAACCTGTGTTTCACATCTGGTCTCGGGCGATTCTCAACAATCCCGTATCTCGCGTATGCGCCATCACCATCAGTATAAAACTGCGACCATGGACGAGATGATTGATTCAACAACTTTCTCCTTCTTCTCCTCGAGATGTACGCGGCATATAGCGCACCGATAGTCAAGCCGACTCTTCCATCTATTGGGCGCATCTTTGGTAGCTTCGGTCCGCAGCCACCCGGTGCTCGAAACTTATCCTTCACTCTCAGATGACGCGCCTCCCCGTGTGGCACAGCATCCGCCGACAGCACAGCATGCATCCATGTATCAGCGGCCCTCGTTGACTCTTCCCCCGCTGGAAAACATCAGTTCATGGTACCCGGTATGCCATCATCTTCGAAAGCTACTTTTCTGTGTGGATCCTAAATCCTAAATAGGGCCGCCAATACGACTTCCAGGCTTCTGCAGTCAGAGAAGACATGTACAGAATGACCCCATCGCCCTACATGATGTCGTGTGAACGCGGCTCCCCGGACTCGGACCCTGGGCACGACGTACTGTCATCCGCGAGCAGTTACTCGAACTCTCCTTCGCCGTATAACTTGAGCCCCTACCGTGCGGGCAGTGCGCCTCTGATGGGTGCATACCGGAACACTCCAACATATCATCACGGCACAAACCACCCTTTCTACGCGGCGCGGCCAGTATCGGCAGCTGCACGTCATCAATGCACGTACTGCAACAAACGGTTCAATCGGCCGAGCGGCCTCAAGGTGCGTCGCACATGGGCCCGTGGAGCGTTTATCTAACGGAGAGCTCAGATCCACCTCACGACGCACACCGGAGACAAACGTGAGACTGCTGTTTATGTGTGGCACAATTACTGAGCGGACTGCAGCATACGTTTGTCCTGAGGAAAGCTGTGGACGGCGGTGCTTCTCCGTTCGAAGTAACCTCCGGCGTCACATTCGCATTGTTCACCAATCCACGCGCGAGGCGAGCGGAGAACCGCGTGCCCCATGCGAATCGCCATCGGAAGCCTAGAAATCGGACCCTGGCCTGAGACTTGACATTATTGTATCTGCTTACTTACTTACTACTCATCTGTTCCCACCCCTTGTAGCTCTACCCGCGTCTGTATCCCTGGCTGGCGTCTCTTACTCTTGTATCAATATCCATCTGGTCCCCGCGCATCGCCTGTTACATGTCCATCCACCATCGTCTTGTCTCAGAAGCATCGCGGGATCGGCAGACGCGGTCAAGACAGCCCAAATCTGCCCAACGGACTTTATCATCTTGCTTCGCCCTTGCTTCTTCGACTGGTCCTGATTTATGTAAAACACGTTCCTTGAGCTTGATGCTTTTGGACCGCAAGCAGCCCAATTGCCAGATCGACTAAAGCGGCGCCGCGGCTCTGCATGGGATGGTTAGGCTATATGGCGGCTCCTTAGGGTTCCTTACGCCGACTAACCTCTTCGGTTCTATCCCGCGACTGGCCTTGAAGAACTCCTGCCCTTCTCACTGCTCTTTTATTGCTCCAGCGCTCACGCCTTGGTTTTGGAGAATGGTCCGCATGCAGCGTCGCGTTGCCTCCCAAGATGTTAGCAGGTCCGACACACGCCATCGCATCTTGCTCTCGCCCACTTACGAATTTCTCTATAGCGCCTCCAGGCCCGCTGCGATCATTTCAACATCCCTCTCCGTTGCCTCCACTAGTCTGTGCCACATTCGTTTTTTCGGCCAATACTAAATCGCCGCGCGCCCTTAGCCTCTGTTTCCACTCCTTCCCCCGCAACAACAACATCTACCTCTAAACCTCTGCCCCCGCCTCCAGCCACGACAAGTGCGTCCTCGCGGGTTTCGTGATACTTTGGCGTTGACCGCGTCTGCAGTTGTGATCACGAGCACCTTGGCCGCATCTCCGCCACCGATCACCTCAAGCTCGACCCATACGCAGCAACAAGCCGCCACCACTTCTGCCAATGGTCCGTCTTGTACGGCCCTCGAAATGAATGAAAATCTTCATCACCTCTCTCGCAGCTGTTTATACCACGGTGACCACGCAAGTGTTAACGACGATACCATCTCCCTCACCGATCGAAACGCCCACGAGCACAACTGCGTCCGATTCCTCTTTCATTTTCTCAAGCGCCACCACCGTTCCGACCGCAAGCCCTTCCTTTGTTCCCGTCTATGGCACAACGAGAGACGCATCGTCTTTGCACGGATCTTCTACCCGATCCAGTGCTAGTGCCCGCGCCAGCAGCAGCAGCACTCCGTTGCCGAATTCTGCTCACAAGTCGAAATCCAACGTGGGAAAATATGTCGGATATGCTATCGGCGGAGGTACGCGACATCTCGGGTATGACTGAGATTTGCATAACTGATTCGGATGTAGTATTCCTCCTCTTGTTCATTTCCAGTTTCATTTCGGCCTACCGCAAGCACCGAAAGTACATTAAGAGACGGCCGAGGGGCACGGTCTTTGCCGACAAGCTCTCATCTGGCCAGGAAAAGCGCTCGATAGCCCAGGCCATCATGCACAGTGTATCTAACAGCTCGTTCGACGCGTACGCTCTCTGCACGACGCCACCCGCATCCCCGACCCCTGCTTTCGTCAACGGGAGACAGCAAGTGACGCGACCGGACATACTGCCGACCCACGTTCGGAGTATGTCGGGAAAAGACGTCCGGCCGCTTCCGGCGACGCCCACCAAGTACGAGGACCCGATCTTTTTCCCCCGTGCTCCCGTCGAACACTCCCGGTATTCGCCGTTCGGTCTCTCGTCGTCGGGCAGCAGTACAATCTGACTCGTACGTACTCATGTTCAGCCTCGTTTCAGTACAGTATATCCTTGAGCTGTTAATTTACCATGACGTTCGTCTGTCCCCCGTGGCCTTCTCGCTTCCTTGAAACAGACAGCCGCCGCGACATGAGATGACATTGTGTGCTCTAAAAGATGCGAAAAAAGAGCTATTTGATAAACCCCGCTCTCTCACCCAAGTCGGTTGTGTCCGCACGCCGAGAGACTCGGCGGAGGCAGAGACTGTCCAATTTGTGCGATCAGGTGACCGCGATGCTTTCGTGCCGCTGACGGACCGGGAGTCCCCGTAAGCTGCTTACCGGGGGGAGACGGAGGCTTCTTTGCACCAAACCCACATCCATGGCAAAGCTTGCTTCATTCGCGTCTTGCGAGATTTCCGACGCACTTGTCAAGCTCGGAGTTAAACATGGTGGTTTCATCCCCGGCATCAGCATGTTCTCCGCTGGAAAGATCTGCGCCCGGGCTTACACCGTCAAATTTGTCCTGGCAGCGGACCAATCTGCAACCAAGTTATCGGAGCACTTTGTGGACACGGCACCGGCTGGATCAGTCATCGTGATCGATGCACCTCATCGTCAGCGCGCCCGCTTCTTGCCCCTTGTTCCGTTAAACGATCTGGTTTGACCATTTTAGAAGCTCAGAATGCGGTGTGGGGCGGGCTGATGTCTGCGGGAGCTATCGCACGTTCAGCCGTCGGTGTTATCATATCTGGTCGATGCAGAGACCTCGCCGAGCATCGGTCACTTGGATTCCCCGTGTTTGCGAGATCGCATTCGACACTCGGACAGCAAACGTTTACACGGCCTTCAGCTATCAACGAACCCCTTGTCATCGCTCCAGGGGAGCTGTCGTTCCCGAGCGTCACTGTCGTGCCAGGGGATTGGATCATCGCAGACGAAGATGGAGTTGTTTGCGTTCCGCGGGACATGGAAGAGGCGGTGGCAGCGAAAGCTAGTCAAGGCCGTCAGATTGATGCACAGTGCCTCGCGGATATCCAGGCTGGTAAAGGCATACAGGCTACATTTGCAAAGTACAGAGGAAGTAAATAAGAATACGAGATCAGGTGGAGGGTGTATGCACGAGTCCGCTTACTGCTTCCTCGATCGGGGCTTGCTCGCCCATCTTTCCCAGATATCACCGTGTCCATCTTTCTTGGCCACTGGTGCAGACTCGGTCTGTGCTTGACGTATCGCTTCTCGGCTCAAACAGGAGTCGAGATGAGCGTTGAAGGCGTCGTTGCCCAGGCCTAGCTTCTTGCTACACACAGGACAGATCAAGCACTCCTGGTCCGATCTACATTCTGGCTTGGCAGAAGAGTCGTTCGCGTGGGACACAGACGCAATCACTGACTCTCGGGCAGTCGTGTCTGAATCTTCCGAGGCCTTCCGTTTCTTGCGAGGCGATTCCGACCCTGAAGCAGAGAAGAACTGCCGCAGATCGATCAACTGCAGGAAAAGCTCCTAGAACAAAGAGTCACATACTCGTTTGATGCCCACAGGGGAATCAGGCTCGCGCATGTCCTTCAACTTGGTCACTCGCAGTCCCAACAGCCGAATAGTCATCGGTAGCTCCAGAAGTAACAGTTCTTGCCCAATCTGGAGTTAGATTAGGAATGGATGGTGAGGATAAGCCCAAGCTTACGGCAAACAGTTCGTCTTTCTTGGACACCCAGCGATCGCAAGATTTGGCCCGAGTAAAGACTGCACGCAGAATCAGCGTTAGCCAGCAGATGTACGTACAGCAGCTGCATGCAGACCTTGGAAACTCTCTAACTTGTACTTGAGTGTTACGGTTCGGCCCGACCATTCCCCGGACTGCATGTCAGACTCTAGCTCGGTACAGACTTCGTCGAGCTTAGCAAAAATCTTCTGCTTATCGGCAAGCGGCGCAAAAGTTCTAGGCGCAGGAGTCAGTCCACAGCTTTCGGCCCTTTCACAGTACACGGACCGCTCTGCACCGATGCTTTTGCGTTCTTCTCTTTGCGGCGGCTGGACAGAGTTAGATGCGATGCCAAGATGTGTGCGAAGTAGATGGATAAGCCCGAAATGGTGGTCGAGCAATGAGCAAGTAGCACGGTGTATGAAAATGTCCCCGCAGTTCTAATCAAGGTTATTATCGGGAATGAACAGGTGAGCGAGACAGTAGTACCTTGATGCCGATGGACTCTAATAATCGTTCAGAAACTCGACCGATGCCCGGAATCCGTCTGATAGGAAGCTCGCGCATAAACAACAGGATGGCGTCCCGTTCGAAGGGAAGATGGAATTGCCCATTAGGTTTGTTCTGCGATAGAGTTAATATCAAGCGTTCATCAATCACAAACAGTCTTACTTACCTTGTCTGAGCATATCTTCGCCAACATGGTATTCGGTGCGATCCCAGCACTAACAGTCAGCTTGGTTTCTGCAAATACAGACTTTCGCATGTGCTGAACACAATCATCGGCACTCATATTGTTTTCTTGGCAGTATGCGGTGATGCTACGAATCATAAGTTTGAGAGTGACCTGAATGCAGTGAGGACAAACTTCAGATAGCCCTCATCGCATCCTGCAGGGCACATCTGAGGATCGTATCTCTTGCAGATGCCCATGACTTGGGATGAGACTTTGGAGTAGTCCGAGAATCCATGCGAGACCAAGATGAGCTGAGGGCAGAGTTTCTTGGCAATGAACGTGGCCATCCCAGAGCGAACCCCAAACTTGCGCGCTTCGTAGGAACTAGTGCTTATGACACTGTGCCCGACCTAGTCCTTTGAGTTGTGCTAATAGAAGGTCGATGAAGGACAGAAACTCACTGCAAATGCTTTCCCAGCAAGAGTTGGATCATTGAGAACCTCTACACTCGCGAAAAACGAGTCAAGATCAAAATGTACGATGATTTGCGTAAGATCCCGTTCAAGTTCCAGTTTCTGGATCTATGCAGGGAATTGGGTCTGTGACGAGTCATAAATTCAAGGGAAAAAGCGCACTATGTTATCCACACCCGCTTCCACCTTTCCGATATCTGCTTGTGCCACAAGATTATCTCGCTCGTTCAACAACTCCTCGATCTTCTTGGTAAGCTCCTTGTCTTTCCTTTTTTCATTCTCGTAGAATTTGGAGCCCCTGGACACGTCAGCGATAACCTGGTTGATCTGTGCTTGGTCTTTGGCTAGGCTACACGTGGGATGAGTTCAATACTGTCAGTAACGAGATGGATTGGCAAACCCCACCCCGCCTTTCCCGTCGAAGGACCCGCTAGACGATGCAAGAGACTAGTAGACTGTTGAGATGGCTTGGGTTCAGGCTCGCCCATGTCATTGGTTCTTCAAGTCCCTCGAGGAACTGCACGTCGACGCGTCGTCAGAAGGAAGAGCAGGATACTGATCACGGTCACAGCACCCACGTGATGAACGCGCTGCCGCTGCGTGCTTATCCCAATCCCATCAACTATGAGTCTTGTATGCCAGCAATGTAAGGAGCCGCTGGAGGTATAATCGACTGTGTCGTCTATACTTTCTACTCATCCGACTCGGTAGCTCGATGGGTCACTAGCCGATCTCGCACCCTCTGCCTACGACATGATCGTCTCTTCCCTGCCTCCCCCCTCCACCCGCATGAATGCGGATCCTGCATCTCAATCCAAAGCGACACAGGCATCGAGAATAGCCTGGGAGAAAGCTAACGCTACCTCATCTCCCTCTCATCGGCCTCAGGGGAAGCCACCACAACCCCTGCTGCCGAATGAGTCTTTTGTTCTACTCCAAGACAGTATAGTGCGTACAATCCCGTCTCCAGCGCCACCTGTCATATCCAAGAAAAGAGCATCATTTTCTCGAAACTCTTCGGACCCGGCCGCGGTGCCATTCAGGTCGGAAGATGCGGAACCACCGAACCCTTCCCCGTTGTCACATCACCTCCGCTCCTCTGCCCGCCTGTTTAATGCGCTCTCTTCACGCACGGAGATTGATCATCCGTTGTGTGCTGAATGCACCCAAATTCTTTTGGGGTCGTTACAGCGGCATCTTGACGAAACCAAGCGAGAGAGGGATGGGTACCTGGCGTTCGAGAAAGAAGTTCGCAAGGAGCGTGAAAGAGAATCACAGGGCATGTCTAAAGAAGAAGCAGAGAGGAAGATCGAGAGGCTCAAACATGATGAGCTCCTGACGATAGATCAGTTAAAAGCAGCCGAGCACGAACGCTTGGAGTTGGAGGAGGAACTACGTGTTCTAGAAGAGGAAGAGAAACTGGTTGAGGAAGAGGAGGCGCGGTATGTTGTTATCCATCTGTGAATCACATCCTAATCATCTATCTCAGTTTCTGGCATGCGCACAACGACCAGCTGATATCTGCAGAACAAGTGTCATCACAACTGGCTACCGTCAGAGCTGCATACGCAGCTGATTCAGCAACACTGGAGAAGCTAGAGCGGACGAACGTGTATAACGATGCCTTCTGTATTGGACATGATGGTGTATTTGGGACTATCAACGGCTTGCGATTGGGACGGGTGCCTACCGTTTCGGTGAGTGTCCTGCTCGTCCGACTTCTATAGCTCATCGGGCAACCTCCAGGTCGAATGGGCCGAAATCAATGCCGCATGGGGACAGTCTCTACTATTGCTGTACACTCTGGGTCGCAAATTGGATTGCACGTTCGAAAAGTAAGCTCTTCTGATGGTAAGGAGAGGGGGGTTCTTATCAATCTACTCCAGTTATCGACTAGTTCCCATGGGCTCATTCTCGCGCATCGAGAGAACGTCCGCAGACAAAGCGAGCTATGAACTGTACTCTTCGGGTAATCTTAATATGCTCCAGCTGTTGCATAATCGACGGTTCGATCTTGCCATGGTCGCTTTCTTGGAATGCCTCAAACAGATCATGGACTATATCAAGTCTCAAGATCCGAACGTAGAGTTTCCCCATCAGTACGTCCACCAGCTCGAAAGGCGGTAACTTTCCTGATATCGTAATCACAATAGGATTATCAAGGATAAAATCGGTGATGTCTCCGTGAAGCTGAAATTCAACCAAGACGAAGCGTGGACACGATCTCTGCGCCATGTCCTCCTGGCGTTGAAGATCTGCTTGAAATGGGCCACCAATGGGACGAACGGATAATTCATGTAGTAGTTGTCCTTTGTATAATATCCGGTGCGATTGTGTTTCGTAATCGCAAGAATTGTTTCTGCGTTGTAAGCAGACCCGACTCTCCTTACAAATACAAGTGTCAAGATGATGGCGCCGCTATCAGCTTGAACCGCAATTTTCAACTACACATTGCCCACTCAGCTCCGTTTCGACTCGCTTTCATTACGTTCTGATTGCATATCATGGGGTTGCTCTACCTGGGGACAGCTCTGACTTGGGAGGAGTCGAAGCAGTATGCCGATCATGTCCGATCCCATGGCATAACCCAGTTTCTGCATATCTGGGACAGGCTCAAGGACAGACACGGAGATGTGCTGCTGTGGGGAGATGAGGTACGTCATCCAGTAACGGATAAGATCTTGCTCCGAGCTATCAGGTCGAATACCTGGTCGTGGTGTTGGACGATGAGCGAAAGGACGCCAAGCTGTCGCTGAGGCAAACGGAGATCCTGGAGAAACTCGGTTCTGTCGTCAACGACATTTCCTCTAGTTCGGCCGACTCGTGAGCCTCTATTGCACCCCACATTGTAGAACCGTTCTCAACGACCCCGAGTGTTTCTGTGCCCACATTCCACCCCGAGTATGGTCGATATATGCTGGAGTCGACGCCAGGATCGCCATACACCGGATCTATCCCGGACTTGTTATCGGTCGAGGGGAACATGCGTTATCGGTAAGCACTACCACGTCGTGAGAATCTCCGTCGCCCATCATCAAACCTAAAATATAGGCGGGTGCTTGCACGAAAACACTTGAAGCCGAACGAGATTCCGCTGACACTCACTTCCTTCCCTCGTCTGGGTGTTCCTGGTCCCTTCACCGAGCCATACTTTGATCCTGCGGATGCCGTGTCCAGCCACAGTCTCTTCCTGCCAGAAGAAATAACCAATCCGCACGTTCGCTTCCCGTCAGTGCACTCCGTTTTTATCCGATGCCGACTTATCCGGGGGACAGGACATTAACTGCGAATATCAGACAGCGCCGGGGGTCGAAGGTGACAATCAACCTTCCTCTCTTCTTCGACACCGATACCCCGCGCCCGTTCATCGATCCTTCCATTCCATGGCACCGGTCAATCTACGCCGAAGACAAGGGTCAGTGAATGCGCTCATGGCCATGTGTTTAAGCTCATCGGCATTACAGAGGCCATAGAGGGCTCCGCGCTTCCGGATCACATCTACCTCGACGCGATGGGTTTCGGGATGGGCTGCTGTTGTTTGCAATTGACTTTCCAGGCTTGCAATGTCTCCGAGGCACGGCGCATGTATGATGGATTGATCCCCATTGGGCCAATACTGGTGCGCCGATTTCGACTGCTGAGACGACTGTGTTTGACTGAGTTTCAGCTGGCTTTGACTGCCGCCAGTCCGATCTGGCGAGGGTATCTCGCGGACGTAGATTGTCGATGGAACGTCATCGCGGGGAGTGTGGATGATCGAACTGAAGAGGAGCGTGGTCTGAAAGTGGGTTGCAATACACGTCGTTTGGCTGCACGAAAATATGAACTCCTTCGAAGCCACTGCAAGATTCGCGCTTCCAAATCCCTAAATCGCGCTACGACAGTGTGGACATGTACATTTCCACGGACCGCAGAAACCGCCCCGAGTACAACGATAACATGCTACCCTTCGACGAGCCTATCTATACTCGTTTACGTGACCATGGTGAGCTCCCCTGCCAGGATCACGTCCTAATATCTTATGCTTTGCGTTAAGGGCTCGATGACCTCCTTGCCAAACACGTTTCACACTTGTTCATTCGAGACCCATTGGTCATCTTCACCGAGACGCTCGACCAAGATGACGAGAAGAGCAGCGATCACTTCGAGGTGTGTCGTGATGTTTCCAGTCAGTCCCACGAGTTGACCGGAGGCGAAGAACATACAATCCACCAACTGGCAAACACTTCGATTCAAGCCTCCGCCGCCCAACTCTCCTATCGGCTGGAGAGTTGAGTTCCGGAGCATGGAGGTGCAGATGACCGATTTTGAGAATGCGGCCTTCGCTGTGTTTGTTGTCCTCTTGTCCCGAGCCATACTCAGCCTGCACGCCAATTTCTACATCCCGATTTCCAAGGTCAAATGCGCACTGCACTGACGTTCCTACGGACACTAAACTGGCGCAGGTGGATGAGAACATGGCGAGGGCCCAGAAACGGAATGCTGTGCATGCCGAGAAGTTTTTCTTCCGAAGAGATGTTGGTTCTCGAGCGTCTAGCGCAGCGTCATCCAGGGGTGATTCCGGGCTGAATTCTCCAACGGAAGGTCGAGTCAAGGAGAGGACGCTTCGGAACTGTTTCCCCGAGCCCCCACCGGAAGAAGATGGGCTTGCTTCCACTGTCGAAGACGAGTACGAGGAGATGACCATGAATGAGATCATTAACGGAAAGGTCCGTCGTGCCTCCAATGCTGGTACCACCGCCGGCTCAAATCGAACATCCGTGCAGGAACACGGATTCCCAGGACTTCTGGGGCTCGTAAATGCCTACCTGGATACTGTAGACATAGCGCCAGACGAGGCGCTGCGGATCCACGGCTATTTGGACGTTATTCGACGTCGGGCGAACGGTCTGTGTCCTGCGCCGTCTCCGGCAAGCCTGCTCACGTGCTCCAGGGACGCTCCTGACGCCAGCCACGTGGATGAGAGAATTTGTGCGGTCACATCCTGCATATAAACATGATTCAGTTGTCTCGGCAGAGATCAACTACGACTTGATTGTTGCAGTCGATGAAATGTTTGTGCTTTCCATGGTCAATTTGGATTTAATGACGACCATCTTCCAGCGAACGAGGCATTCGTCAGGCCGACAACTTGCTTCCTGCAGACTACACCGGGAGCAAAGAGTGCCCTGGAATGGAATAGAATTTTTTATCTAGCCTAAAATAAATTGTAATGGGTCACGCAGGGTACGATGGATAATGGCCGGTGGGCAGAGGCCGCTGTCCAGGACGCGTCGTCGGCTGATAGTGAGGAGGGCGCTGCTGCTTGGAGTAATACTGGAAGAGATCAGCGCGAACTTCCCGAGTCAGCTCAGTCTTGAGTTGTTCCACATGCACTAGCACTTGTCAGCTGCAACACAGTCACGTCATATTCTGGACCCACTTTGAACATTGATGGCAGTGGCCTCTTTCATGGCATCGACAAACCGAATGCGCTCCCCGCGAATTTCACTCGACAACTCTGTCAATATTTGAGCTGAGACCAGGCGTGATCGCGATGTGTTTTACCAGCGGCCAGAGATCGCAGCGATCCCTCTTGGGCCTGTCGATGTTGGTCGATGATGGCCATCAAGGCCTGGTTTGCTGCCCAGCTGTCAGCGAGGGTGCATGACTAGACTGTGCGTGCCTACTGTTCTGAGTATCAGAGGCAAAAGCCGCAGCGAGATTTTTCACGGTCAACTCGAGCGCGCTGGCTTGTTGCCTGCTAACGAGCAGTCCTTGTCGGATTTCTTCGCCGAGATCGCCATTGAGATTGGTTCCAGTTATCTGCTGACCGAGTTTCTCGACTCCAGTTGCGATAACTTGTATCTGTGATGTCCCTCCGCTCACGAAGGCTTCCAGCCACTGAGCGATACCATCACTTAGTGACATCCCTTAGCTGTGAGCCTTCACCTACAGAATTGAGTTCGTTGAGATATCTCACGCTGTCCCCCTGTTGCTGTGTCAGAACAGAGCGCTGAGAAGATTCTTCCTTGAGCAAGTGGAGGACTTGCTCCAACTGGCAACATAAACATACAATCGGGGCAAACTGAGTGTAATTACACATACCTTCTCCATAATTCCATTGGCGTGAGAGTCCAAATGCGATTTCGAGGCCATCTCTGTCGCCTGGCCTTGCACATCAGCGACTGAGTTCATGATGTGAGGTAGATCAGAGCGAAGCCGTTCCCGGATATCGCCCAGTGCATTTCTGACCGGTCCCAAGTCAACAGCCACAGGCTTGAGCTCCACGAGCCGAGAGCACTTGCTTTCAAGACTCCTAATAGCGGTCCTGGTCTCCTTGGTCTGCTCAATCAGACTCGTAAGGATGGAACGCATCTCGAGAACCATCGAATCGACATCATTCGCTGGCGTTGTAGGTGCACTGGACGGGAGAGCCGAGCTTTGTCCAGAGGGCGAATCCGGGTCTGCATACGAGTACAGTATGTTTGTCGGAGAGACAAGTGCACTGGGAATGGCCGAAGGGATCTGCAGGCGGAGCGAGCTTGTGTGCAATAGAGATGGACGGGTCGGAGAACAGGAGTCAGAGTCAAGCTCACGGCGGTCTTCCTCAATCTGGGCCAGACGAGGTGTGATTGCGGAAACATTCGAAAATTTCGAGACAGAAGGGCTTTCAGGTCGCCAAAGAGTGGGAGAACAGGTCGAATAGACGCTTGGAGACACGATTGGCGGCGAAGGAAGGCCATGTTCGATGGGAGATGGCGGCAGAGGGGGTAAAGCACGGTCGGAACATTCGCTGGCAGAAGGCTCTCCATTGAAGCTAGCAGCGAGAGCAATCCTTGAAGAACGCTCAGCATTAGACTGGACGACTGCGTCCCTGTGTTTGCGGTCAGAGACGACTCGACACCACGGCGGATCTCACGCACCAGATTGCGCTGACCCACATCGCGCGCTCCCTGACTGAGGTCGTCCCAAACTTCTCGCGACATCCATCGAACTCCAATTCGAAGATTTTCAAATCTCTCACGTCAGGAGCGAGCAACGCTTTTTCGTGATCGGCGAGGTCTTCCGGGGCAACAGAACGAACATCTGCACAGTTCTTGAGCGCGACCGAGTGCTTTGAAGGTGCAGTGGGCCATGTTAGATGAACCGTGTCGCCATCGAGAACTGCCGAACAAAAGATCCATGACTGTGCAGGCGACTGGCTCAGATAAAAGAGGGAACCAGCAAGCTTTGGGTCAGGGAAAGGCTTCGTTGATGCGGTGAAAGAATCGAGACTGAGTGGCTTGTCGATAGCCAGGGGAGCGAGCGCGGGAGGCTTGGCCATGATAACTTGTGATTCGACTTGCAGAGGTTCAATCTTGAGTTTGCTTGACCCAGCGCCCTTGCTCTTCTTAAAAACAGATAATAGATTGCGGAAGGACTGCCGGATGGGATTCTTGCTCCGATCTTTGAAGGTCTCCGCATGGCGAGTTGGATTCAATCCCTCGTAGTGGCGAATCAAGAGCGTGGCGGAAGTTTGATGCTGCAACGAAGGCCGCCCTGGTAATTCTGGATTCATATCCCTGGGGCCCATCATTTTGAAGAGAGCGTGTAGTCTGTACTGGAAAGGTGTGAGCTGTAATCAATGTGGGATTTGCGAGAGCGAGCAAGCTATTACTAGATGATTGGCGATTGACACGTAAACACAGTCAAACTTGGCATGAACGCTACACTCGACGCGTCCGCTTTGAAACGTGAGACGTGTCTTTGGGCGAAAACTTCGACCACTGAGCGTGGAAGTCAGCTTTTACTCGAGGGCTCGCATGTTTGGCGCGATACGGCGATGATCTCGCCATTTATGCCACCGAAGACAGCCTCTCCCTCTCGACTACAAATTCATCCAAGTCTGCATACGGTCGATTCAAGTACGGTCGGCAATTCTTCTCAAAATACTCGGTGGAATCTGCGGACTACACCCAGGCGGACGATGAAGAGGGCTTTGCCGTTACAGGTCAGATTTTGGCAAAGGTTAGCATTTCTTGACTGCTGTGTGAGTTGGAAGGGCTACTACTCCTCCAAGTCCTTACTGTCGATCCTCAAACATAGAACGATCGAGAAGAATGTTGAGCGGTGTGAAATGTCGATCGTCGAGGGCTCTCTCGACCGAACAGAAAGCGACGACAGCCTCGAGAGCAGGTTGATCATTCGCCTTCATTGCAAGCATGGGAAGTATACGCTCATTGCTAGGAAGTTAAAATATGCTCATTCCAAATTGTATTTAGGTGTCGTGAAGACACACAGACTTGTTCTCTTGAATCTGACATCGTTCCTTGCACCGGGGGTGCCCAATGCCCAGAACGAATCGCATCTTACTGTTGGGCCGCGAGCGATCAGAGACATGATTGAATACTTTCCCATGCCGAAAGGTACAAGATCTGACCCCCAGCTTGTGTGGAACTTCGGGGAATCTGAGGTCGAGGTCAAGAGTTACGAGTCGTCGCTGGATACTAAAGGTCTGCACCCCATCCGGTGCGCGATTGCTTGTCTGTTAACCTGCGTCAGGGAGAAATCAGCTTTCTACAGAATTATCCATCAGTGCGGACGAGTTCGACCTGTACGACTTGTGTCTGACCCCAACGTCCATTGCCTTCCATCTGCGAGAATTCAATGTACGCAAACGTGATGCATACAACTTGAATCCCCGTTGATTTGGAGCTCAGGCAACGATAGCATTCGCGGAATCCATGTCGCTCGCTCTGGAGCTGCGTTTCACCGACCCTGCGGCACCACTTTTCATTGACGTCGAGGGGGACAACGTCGACACCCTTTTCGTGATTTCGACCAGCCAAGTGCCAGGTGCTCCCGCTGCAAGTCAAGCTTCCACCAGCGTAAATCCCAGGAAGAGGGTTCGGGAAGAAACCCCTCGCGATCTCTCGCGTATCAAGAAGCCCATGAAGGCGGTTCAAAGGACAGACGCAGCAGCTCTTGCACACTCCGAGACAGACAGAGCCTCGCGATCTCAATCGACGATGCCAAGAGGTTCGATGCTTCCACCTGCTTCGATACCAGACACCCATCAGAATGCATCGATGAAACTGCCGGGCGGAGGACTACCGGAAGCTCAGAGTACCCCACGACAAGAGGAGGAACCACTATTCCTGCCGTTTTCGTCACAGCTCTCCATTGCAGAAACACAGGTCTTGAAGAACACAGGTCTCGGATTTGAAGATATGGATGTGAATGAATTGAGCATGTTGCTTGACGATGAAGGGTTGGAAGTAGGACAACCCGAGGACGAAGAGTTGGAATTCGCCGCAACCCAGCCAAATTTAGACACCTCGGTGCGTGTGCCGATTGCAGGACAGGACGTCCGCTGATCCACTACGAAGGGTTTCAACCCGTTATGGGAAGACTGACCTCACAAGAGTACTCCGCTGCTGCATCACATTGCTCAATAAACACATAGCAAAGCATTAGATTGAAGCTTGATGGTCGTTGTAGGCGTCGAGCAATTTTGTAGGCGTAATATATAAGGGGAGGGGGTGCTGATGATGATACAAATGGGCGCGTGCTCTAAGATAATCCAGGAATCGAGGGAGTAGGCTGAGGGGTCATCGAAGGCGGTACTGAATTCGGTGAGTATCGGGAAATGACATCAAGAACGACGGAACGCACATGGCGGGGCCTGAGGCCGTTGTCCCTCGCTGAACACTCTGCCGAGTAGCACTCCCACACCCTCGAAGACACCGAGAAGGATACCGCAAGCTACTGCAGAACTAAACGCTGACTTCGGCCCACCTGATGGAGAAAGTCAGTACAGTCACAGGCTCGGGCTCGGGAAACGCACTCCGCAGCGCTAGACAGCCACCGGTCATGAAACCTGAGATAATGGCATTCCAGGCATCCTCTTTCTGCCTGTATCCCTTCACTGCGCAGTCGAAAGTGGAAAACAATCCTCCCCAAATTCCGAAATTGCCTCCGACAACGGGTGCGCGAGCCTTCATGGAGGCAATAGCACCCACGAAACGTTCCCCCTGGACATGCTTAGAGACCGGAGCTCCTTCATGGTACGACTGCTTACTCGCGGAGAGTTTCTTGAGCCCTTAATGCCATACCATATCCCTCCACCAACTGCACCCATGGAAAAAGCGCCGCCGAAATCATTCAGGATGACCCATGGGCTAGACAAACGGAGATGAGACCAAGAAGGAATGGACTGCAGACACTGTGTACCAGGGATCGCGGGTGTGGTCAGCGTGGGCCATGAGAGGTCAAGCAAGAGAAATTTTAGAGATGTTTCTGCTTACGTGTGCAAACTTTGGGTCTGGATCACGTGTGGCGCGTTGTTGTGGACGTTAACGGTTTGTGGCCGACCTCAAGCTGCACTGTATGTTGCTCTCAACGACGCTCCGAACATGAACGTCTCCGTCTATCGCGACGTCTGGAGGCCATATATTGAAATCCCGCCCTCCCCGTATCGAATCCCTCGCGCCTCGCCACAGAATCACACTACTGTCAAAGAGAACGATCATTCAGCCATGTCCTATTCAACGTTCGATTCCGGAGTCTCGTCTTCCTCGACGCTGAAGCGAAAGCTCCCAAGCGAGTTTCCGATGCAACAGCTTCCTGCTCCCGCGGCATTTCTCAAGAAGGCTAGACTCGAGCCCGTTCTGCCATCAGTCACCCCGCCTGCTGAGGTGATCAAAGCCCATACATATTGCCACCAATGCAGCAAGAAACGCGACAAAGACGGTACTGTGCCTCGATTTCATCTGTTGTCGTTGTTAAATTCCAGCAGATTGCGCGCATTGCAACCATATCAAGGTCGACATGATCGCGAACGACAAACCATTCAAGACGCGTCGGTGTCACAACAAATATTGTCGGTCTTGTCTCAAGAACAGATACGATGAGGATTTGGATGCCATCAAGTCGCGCCTCGCGCCAGATGAATATGAAAGCAGCCGCATGGGAGAGGGCTACAACTACACGTTCGTTCAATGCTCTTCAAAGATCGTATCTCTGATAATCACAACCAGATGTCCGAGATGCCGTGACGCGTGTAATTGCTCTCGTTGTCGAAAGGCCAAGGGCTTGGAAGCCACAGGGTCTGCTCTGGTGCAAGTCCTCTATGAAGCGGCGCTCAATGCTTGTTAGGAAACTCGCGAATCCGGCGAATGCAGCCAATGGAACAAGAACACATTCTCAAGGCAAAGCGAGCAAGCTGCAAGGTAGCTCGAGGACCACAGCGAAAACGATCGGAGCTGTTCCAACACTGAAATGGACAAAGTTGCGAATGGAACTCTCAGTGGAGGAAGCCGAGTCTCGAATGCACATCCGTGAATTTGTTTTGCGATTCTTCTCAAAGTCGATGACAAAATCGCATCTCGAAGAGCTGGATTGCATCGGTGGGAATGGCCGAGCTCGATACGAGGACGGGGAACTGGTGCCCTGGATCAGTGAACCGTGTCTGAAGTCTGTGCTCATCGCCTTCCTGTCGGTGCTCCACGAAGAGGAGACGAACGCCGCCATCAAGAGGGTCTGTTACTTGACAGACAATCTGACTTGCGGGTCATCTGATACCATTTCACAGACGATTCACGTTGCCATCAAGGACTTGAAGGGGGCCGGTGTGGGCCTGGGCAAGATGTGGCAGATCCTTTCATCTACAAGGGATGCTCTCGATGCATCAGAGCCTGGCTCAGACGATGGGAACGAGTCGGACGAATCAGAAACGGTCCCCTCGTTCCCAGATCCTATGCCTTTGCCGGACTCCGCGATCAGCAACTCACGCCGCACTCGAAGTACGGGCTCGTTCATCGTTGACACCGTTCAGATGATCCCCGTGGTGCTGGGTCTGATAGATGCGGTCTTGGAGACGTCGGTGATCCGAACCGAGTTGGACAATGGCGCGAAAGAGAGCAAGGACGTGAGCCGCGATGTCAAAGATGCGATCAGACACGCCAATGACTTGTGGGACAAGTCGAGGAAGGATACGGACAATGTACAGGGTGGAGAGGTACGCAATCACCCATATCGTGCTGAGTCCGGGTCAAACAGCGTCTTAGTTCAAGGCAAAACGTGATGCTCATAGGCAGCTCCTGCTGGACATCGAAGGGGCCGGAAAGGTCGTGATGCATCGCTCCAACCCTCGATTTGCTCCCCTTGGCAGCGACCGAGACGGGCGAGTCTACTACGCCCTTTCGCCGAATGTGACCGATTCGGAATCTGCCCAAGAGTTCATTGGTCTCATGTCAGCTGACGATGACGATGCGGCCCGCAACGCGAAAAGCCGTCGTAAGAAGCGACCGAAACGCGAGGAAGAACGCAGCGCTCTTCGGGAGTGGTCGTGGCTGGTCGCGATCTACGGCAAAAAACCTCCAATACAACCAGGTCTGCTGCCCTTCAAACCACTGGCAGAGGACAGTCAAGACAATGATGACTCTGATGACGATGAGACGACGAACAAATGGTGGGCCATCTGGCAACCGGCTGAAGTCAGGAAATTGGCGACCTGGCTCACAATCACTTATCGTCTCGGCGACGACTCTATTTCCTCCCCCTCGACCAGTACCGCCAGTTCACCATCGTCGGACTCGTCTTTCAACGACCGGCCTATCCGTATGTCTCCACACGCCTCGCGATCTGAACTTCTCTCTCTGGTCTCTCAACTGCAGGATTATGCGATGTCCTTGGACTTCCGACTGCGAGAAGGTGATCTGGTGCCTGCCCTAAACACGGAGTCAGACCCAAAGGGGTAGTTGAAGGCCTAGCTCATCACACTCATTCATACCCACTGCTGTATCTTTCCTGTACGACTCTGTACAACTGCGAGCCTGTATCACTTAGACCGAGTATTCCTCCGTGAGGATGTCAGAGAGCTCGGTTGTGCTGAGCAGGCGGTCCAGGCATCGTCCCATTTGGGTCCCGATCCGCACAGCAAGAATGTGCTTGCACTACGAGCAGTTGAGAACGACTTCATCGGCCGAGGATCACCTTCACTAACCATGATATAAGTTTCTGAACTCAGAACGAGATGTGAGTAAGCAGGACAGGTGCAGTAGGTCGACAGTGGGCCCCCAAGATCGAGAAAGACATTGTACAGCGCGTTTGAGCCGAGGACTTGATAGAACGTTTGAGACGGAGTGGTACATTTGAAGACTGGATTCGGTCAGCGCTGATGCAGCAGGTTTCCAGCCACGCTAGGACCATTTTTTCTGTCCAAGAGATCCAGAGCAGCGAGGATTAAAGACCGCGGGAAAATGGATTGGAGGACGAGGAGGGATTCTTCGGTCACTGATCGAGCATGGGCACAGATTCGCTGGGAAATAGGTATTCCACGCACTTGGCTCCTCGATGGACCTGATCGCGGCATCTGCGAAACTATCAAGGTCGGACATATGATCGAGAGTGCCGGAAACTCAAATGAAGTCGCGTCGCGGTGGCACGTGACCCACGAGCGCAACCTGATTAGGAAAAGCCGGTTTCACCACCGCACCGAAAGATCTTCGCTTTTCTTTGCAAGCAAGTCACGAAGGAACAGACCCGATCCTCGATCTTGCCGCGAGATGCCCGTCTATCTCATCGTTTTTGCTCAGAGCCATCCCGATTTCCGAGTCCCAGAGCTCCAGTCTATTGCCGAGCTCTTTGGTTTCTCGATCGCCATACCAGAGCAATGCGATACATCACGACCTTTCCTGGTCATCGAAATCGACACAGAACAGCACGCGCGGATGCTAGCCAGCCGATGCATCTTGATCAAGTCAACCCGTGTCCTCTGGCGGGATGCGCCTTGCTGATCTACGCTCTCAGACACATCTACGAGTTTTATGCTCAAGGATCGAGCTACGACGAATTACACGCAGCTAATAAGCGGAATGGCGTACTATGGGAGCGCTATAAAGAGGACACATCGTTCAAATTCGTCGTCACCGGCTACAACCATACCATACCGGATGCCCGACAGCGGAGCGTCATGAATGATTTCAAGTACATGGAATTCAAGGGGACCATCGACCTCAAGCACCCAGAACTCATCCTAGGCTGCTTTGAAGAATGTACATTCGAGCTTGTTTGATGTCTGCGTTGGTGATGATTCGGCAGACGACACTCGCGAAACATCGGGGCCTCCGGCTACCAGGGGCGAACGCGATGGTCAATTTCGCCAGGTGTACTTCGGGAGATGGGTGATTCTCGTCAAAGCTGCCGGATGAATCCGTTTTGATAGAGATAGGTGGTGGATGGAACAGCGCGGCCACTGGTGAAGACCTTTGATGTAAAGAAGCGCCACTACTTTGGCAACACAAGCATGGAGTCGGAGGTGCGCTGCCCGCTGTGGAAGGTCTCTTGTCCATCCGTTTATCATGCCCGCAGATATCGCTGATCATGGCGAACCAAGCGTTGGTGCGTTCAGCGATGCATGGAGAACTTGACGTCGAGATCTTGCCCAGGCCGGACCGTCAAAGCTCGTGTACGACCCATTCTGTGGCACTGGGAGCATGGCATATGCATGTACAGAGCGGACTTTATGATGGCTGGCTAACGAAGTCACAGCCCGCTGCGTATTTCGGAGCACTGGTGTTCGGTTCTGACATCGACGGCCGCCAGATGAGAGGCAAGACTGGTCAAGGTCTGTCGAGGAAGGAGCTGAATGGCACTGGTCATCTGACGCCCGTGGCCTGTCTTTCCAGGTGAACCTCCGGGTGTGATCAAAGCCGCAAAGCAATACGGAGTGGCTGACCATATCATCGACCTCTGCACCTTCGATGTGACTCGCAATCCGTGGCGGTGCGGGGTCTGTGAGATTGGCCTGATCTGCGCGCACCCACTGACCCTGCCTAGGATCTTTTCGATACTATCGTGACAGATCCACCGTGTGCGCCGTCTCGTCTGCTGTGCCCCCTATCTCTAATCGCGCTATGTAGATGGAGTGCGCGCTGGCGCCAAGAGATTAGGCCGGAAGAAGGAGCTGAGTGAAGTCAAGAAAGCGATGTGCCTGGCTGCTCGAGAGTGCGCGTGTCCCCCCGCAATCTGTGATCACCGCTAAGCCTCAGCCGAAGCAACGATCAACCATACATCCCGCCAACAAAGCCTTATGAGCTATCGCACCTGGCAGTCGATCTAGTCCTCTTGGCGCGTTATCTGCTCAAACCAGGAGGGAGACTCGTGTTCTTCTTGCCGACCGTCAACGAGAACTACGAGGAAATTGACGTCCAATCCATGTTATGTGAAGGAATGGAGCTCGTCGCCAATTCGTTGCAAGACTTGGATCGTGGGGGAGAAGGGTGCGAGGACTGCTGCTCTGACTGAGTGGAGTGAAGGCTGACCCTGGGCCAGCTTGTGACCGTTCGCAAAACTTCACACGCGACATTCCCTCCGCCGACATTGGCCGAAAGAACGGATGACAGCGAGCACGTCCCCGCACACAAGAACTTTCGAGAACAATATTTCCGGGGTTTCAAGTAAACACGTGCTGTACATACATCGTTGGTAAAATAATCATGGCTGGTCCTCCAGAGGGTGGGTGGTAGCGCGTTGCTGCTGTTTCTCGCGGTCCATCGATTTCCTTGTTTGCTTGCCCTGGATAAAGAACACCCCAAGAGAGGAGCCAAGCACGAGAACTCCGTTGAAGATGAGGGCCCGTTTCATGTTCTGAGGTGGATTGGCGGTTGGACTTGCTCGCAAGGCACCCTCCACTAAGATGGAATGAGCGGCACACGTGATATGTATATGGGCATGACTTGCCGAGGATCATGATAGTGGCCCACAGATTACAGCTGAACCACATTAGAGCCGAGCTGCCATCTGAGTTGCGCGTGACTTCGCAGGCCAACTCAAGGGAGACTGGGAGCATGACAACGGACAGAACACCGATCAAGGCACAGATTGTATACAATCCGGCAGTGAAGTTGGGTTTGACTAGCAAGGCACGGAATCAGCATGCGAAAGATGGGCGGTAAGTTTCGGAGGATTTACCTGCCCAGACAAGAGATAACCTGCTGAATCAGCGCTTGTACCATTGCTATCAGGTAAAGAACATTACCAGAAGGCACCCAAAACGGGGACGAAGATCTTGGTTGTGATCGCCAGGTGATTGGTGAACACCCGGTCAAACAGCGGGGCGGTGACGATAGCCGCCACGATCCCGCTGAGAAGCAACACGGCTCCCATAAATCCAGCAGTGGCAGCAGAGTATCCGACTGGTTGCTGTAAATGATATCAGTGGGACAGCGGCTCATTACATAACAGACACACGCACCAATATTTCGCCTGTGAGAACACCGAATATGTTCGTCGCGGCGGAAAGAATGCCAAAAACGACGAAGAGAATGATCTGTCGACGAGTCAGTTGTGATAGCGGACAGATTGAACACCATACAAAATCAATTCGTTCGCGTAATGACATCGGAGGATCCCCCACCTGAGGCCGGTCACCCACGACTCTCAGCAAAGATAGCATTCCAGGAGATTTCTTGGACGCCGAATAAGCTGCACATGATTTAGGTAATCATTCAGATGTAAAAGTGCCACGCACTGGGCGGAGTCGGCGGTGCTGATGCAACCAAGAACACAAATGGGGAGGCCACAGTCGCCATGATGGCAAGCACAAGGATGGATTGCCGAGTATCACCGACAATGGGGCTAATTAGCTGTCCGAGCGCGCCTCCAATCGGATTGGAGATGGAAAGGACCATGGTTGCAGTCGTCCGGCCTTGCAGATCGAACCAAGTTTCTGAGTATTTCGGTCCGATCACTTGGTAGATGGGCTGGGCAACGGCGGCGAAGAACTGAACGACGTCACTGGAGCCCGGGATTCTCGAATTCGGAACACACACCTGACCAACCAACAGCAGAGCATATGCTCCCTTGGGAGAGAGGGATCTTGGGGTCGCCGCGTACCGGATCCACGCGGATATGAGCATGGCGACAGCTCCGATATCACACTACCAGGGTTCTCAGACTCGTGATGAGACAACACGCCTCTACTCACACATCTTCGGATGCCGTACCGACGGATGATATCAGGAATAAGTAAGGCGACCGGGAGATACATGATCGCCATGACGTTGCCCAGCCAGTTGACCTGGGCGGTGTGAATTTCCAATCGACTTGAACCTGCATTGTACCCACTTGATCCAGAGTGATTCCAAATTCATCGACCACTGAAAGAGATTCAGCCACGCGTAAGCAGACGTAGAAAGCGTGCGTACTGTTGTTGGAAATGGGACCAAACCAGGGCCAAGCCATGGCGGCTATCAAGTTGAGGACAACCTGCGCCAGTCCTGTTCGGATAGCGCCAGGCTTTTAGAAACAGGACACTCACCAGCCCGACCATCCCCACGAATCTCCTTCGATAAAGTCGGTACTCCGTCGACGAATGCACGCTAATGACCTCGGCCATCTGCCCGGAGGCTCCGTCTTTCATGTCCTCCTGGAGCTGCTGACTGTCGGTGGAGTCACTCGTCTTCATATCGAGGGAGGCAGAGCGGGCTTCCTGGAGTTCGGGCATGGCATGGGGTTGTCCAGTCACGGTGGGTCCCTCAGCGAAGATAGAGGCGCTGAATAAATATCATCACCGGATGTATTTGTGATGGATCTTGCTAGTGCACATCAGATCGACCTTCGAAGGTCGATCGTAATCTGCTTACCCTTATTGTGATCCGATACGGTCCTCTGAGGTAGTAAGTTTTGCAGTCGTCAGCATTCGAATCTGGCGATCTCAGCGGTGTCATCGAGCAGATGTCATTCAAGAGGCTCACTGCAGGCTGGACCGACGCCAGCCGCTTTCTGTGGCATCTGCACGTGGGTATACCGAACAGTCGTCCTATAGCGATCTGCGGAAGATCAGATGCCGTTGCCCTACTCGCGTGGCTTGTTGCTGTGAGAGAACAGAGCTGTATTTGCGTGTAAGGTCGCACGTCGAATAACGTCGATAAGATAAGGACTCGAACAGTGCTTGATGATTGGGCTTGTCTGATGGGTTTGGCACAAACTTTGACTGAACGTCAAACCCGGTGTCAACCCGCACACTGTTGGGATCTTTACGCGTGCATCTCTCTCTCGTTCTGGTATCTCTTAGGGGTAACAGCACACTCAGTTGTCAATTCCCCTGCCTCTCTCTCGATGAGTGAATACTGGGTCTCCAAGAAGAAGTACTTTTGCAAGTACTGTGAAATCTACATCAGCGACGATGCACCGTCACGGCAGCAGCACGAAAACGGTCTCCGGCACAAGGGCAACACGGAAAGATTCATTCGGAGCATTTACAAGGCCGGAGAGAAGAAGAAGAAGGATGAGGAGGAAGAGAGACGTGAGATGGCGCGGGTAGAGCAGGTGCGTCCACCTACAAATCGCTGTAGTTCCTGAATCCGACTTCTTTAGGCTGCTCAGATTGCTTTTGCGCAAGACGTCGGCGCAGGACGAGCGAAGCTGGCGGGATCCTCATCCTCCGCGCCACCCGCTCCTCCACCCCAGCGTAAACCACCTACGAAACCATCCAATCCCTGGGCTAATTATTCGACGGCACAGTCACTGGGCTACGAGGATCCCGATGCAGAGAGAATTGCCATCGCCAAAACCCAGGGCACAGCCGGCGCATGGGAAGTGGTGGCACCTGAGGCTCCGGCTGCCGTCGCCGCTGACGCCGGGACAAAACGCAGTGCGGAGGAGTTGGGCGAGGAAGAAGCCCGGGAGTTCAAACTCAGGAAACGAACTATAACAACTGGTTTGGGAGAAATTTACGACCCTGGCGCTATCACTATAAAGCTCAAGAAGAGAGAGGAAACGTCTGAAGAGTCTCGCTTCACTCCTGCAGGTGTCGTTCTTCCCACTACTGAACCAGCACCGCCGGCAATCAAGTGGGAGAAACGACAGTGGAAAAAGGTATCGGAACCGAGCGTACTACCCAATCAGAGCCCCCACCCGCAGTGAAGTCAGAGTCTGACTCTATCAAGACGGAACCAGACTCGATTAAGGTGGATTCTAACTCAGTGAAGCCAGAGCCCGAATCAACAGAGACAACGTCTACGGAACTGCAGTCGATAAAAGCTGAGCCCATGGACAATCTGCCTGTTGGCGACACACCAGCCCCAACGGTATTCAAAAAGCGGAAGATTCCGACAGGCGGTAGAGGCCGGCGAACAGATGCTTGAGAAGAGTGTAAAGATACATTGGGATGGTAGATGCTGTATAATAGTCATAATCAGACCGGCACGGTCACCTTTGCGCGCGTCAGCAGATTGTCACGAGTCAAAGTGACCACAACACTTACGATGAGAACTCCTGCGTTGTCGCCTTTTATTCGACAGGATATACCCTGCCTGCATAATCGTCAGTCTCGAACGGAACGGTTGGATCTGTGACCACTGACTTCCTCAAGGCTGCCATTATTTCAGGCCGTAATTTGGGTATTCCATCCTTGGAGTTATGACCCTGCCCAACAATGACGTCAATCTCCTGCGAGCCATCTCCGATGGCGGATTCCAGGGCTTCCTCGACGGTCTTGATGGCCTCCGCCACGAACAGCCCATGGACATCGATCCTGATTCTTGACCCGGAGGCATTACGAGCTGCAGATGTGTCATGCAGACCCAGTAGGCCGGGAAGTAGCCCGACTCACCATGAAAGTGCCGGCGGGCGGCCTGTCCATGCAACTTGTCGATGCGCTGATGGGACGCAGCGATTTCTCGTCGCAGCAGGAAGGCGTCCTTGATCTTGCGGTCCGCCCAAGCAGCTTTCAGCCGTTCTTGCAGCTCCTTCCGATGTGTTTCCTCTGCCCAAGCCGCTTTGCGCAGTGCCTCGGCCTTCGCAACTTGCCGTTTGGCATCTCCGTCTGAAATGTTGCTTACGTCTGTCTGGAAAGAGAACACCGAGGCCGAGTCTTCGGCCAAAAGGGCCGACGTGAGTGGCACTGATATTCTGGCTGCTACAGGTAGACCTTTCAGGGTCATGCCGAGAGGCGTCTGCAGAAGATCCGAGCCCGACTCGTAATCATCGTCCGGTTCCGGATCTAGGGTGTTCACTGCTGGCCTTGATTCTAGCAAGGGTGCTGCTTGAAGCACCGGCTGTCGTTGCAGCACTGGCGCCGGTTGTGGTAATGGCTGAGTGGGCGGCTGCGGTATTGGCTGAGTGGGCGGCTGCGGTATTGGCTGAGTGGGCGGCTGCGGTATTGGCTCAGCGGGTGGCTGCGATATTGGCTCAGCGGGTGGCTGAGACAGCAGTGGTGCCGGTTCCAGTTCCAGTTCCGGCTCCGGCTCCGGTTTAAGTTCAAGCTCTGGCTCCGGCTCTGCTAATGTCAGCATCGAATGCTGGGTGGGAACAGGTTCCGGAGTTGGCGAGTCAAATGCTTCCAGTTCTGCTGGTGCTAGCAGAAGGGGCGTTTCGTCAATGGAACAGTCACTGGACTCGGGCCACGGGCTTCCGGGTGTTGCCGGAGGTGTGATGGGACCCAATTGAAGTGGGACCGGCTGTGCGGACAATGTCTGTGCCGAGTGCACTGGAGGAGGAGAATGGCTACAAGTAGACGCATTCGGCACTTCTTCTGCGAGAAGCAGTGAATGATGGTAATGGAGTGAGATAGGGCTCGAAGAGAGAGCGGATATCGGGGGGTTGGAAGAGCTGGCCTGCGAAGTCACTGTCTCTGGGGGACTGGACACGCTCAGGATCGTCGAAGGTGGCACCGTGAATGTCGTTTGAGTCATGTGCGGGGAGGACTCAAGAGGGCGGCTTCGAGTTCGGCTTCGGGATCGGGAAGATGGAATCGATCGTCGGGAAACACTGTCTCGACTGGAATCCCAGCTTATGACGTCGCATAAGACTGTGGAAAGTCCCATGGCAATGACGATGAGGACCATCGTGTTTGCTGTCTCCGTGAACAGCCAGTCAAACACGAGATGCAATATGCCTGGCAGATACATTTGTGGGAAGGTCGGGGGAGCGCCAAATTTCGGTAGAGGGCTACACCCTCCCATGTGCCCAATAAGATTGGACGGAGGAATAGTTCTCGGTTGTCGAATAGCAGAAGGAGTGTGGCTCGCAGGGCGAAGCCGATACAGAGTGAAAGAGAGATTTCGGTGTCCATTTGGCAAATGGATCGTCATACACGTTCCTTGCGCATGGATGCGCCAGCGCTGCCCGAGTTTGCGGGTGCTTGGTGGACAATGAGAGATCAAGTATTGATCCGGTCACAATGGGTGTGATGTGCCGTTACCCAACGCGTTCCGTTTCCACGTGATCGCGCCGACAACCGCAGTTTACTGTCAGGCACCTTTCGAACAAGACTGCCTCATCTGCGCGCTATGTATCATCCCTCAGTCGATTTTACAGCCCTCGACCCGCGTGACGAAGCTCACGACGATTACGACTATGACTACGACTATGACTACGACGAGTCACACGAGAAAGGAGATTTTGCCACTAGCGACGATGCCTCAGACCCACATTACTACGAACAGGGGGAGGAGGAAAATGCTCTCCCCGATCATGAATACCCCACACCGCAATATCGGCCGTATTCTCGATGGCCATACCTCGAACCTATCACGACGGGAGAAACGCTGCAATTGGCGGAGGATACAGGCCGCGATTCGGACCAGACCGGCAGTCATATCGTCGGGAATCCATTCCTGGATTCCAACATCCCAGTCACTCCCCCCACGGTTCACTACCTTGACCATTCACCTATACACACTGTTGATCATTTCCAATACGATTCCGAGTCGTACGCGTCCGGGATTTACTCTGGCTTGAATCACCGTGCTCTGCGGTCGCGCTCACCTACTCCGGCCGCTGAAGATGAGGGAAACACGAGTTTCCAGTCTACAGCCTCCGCTCCGGACGCTGAGAAAGGAACTTTCCACGGTGGCTACCGTGGATCATATACTTCGTATGGCTCAGGCCCAGCGCCCAGTTACGGCTCAGATCCGGAGTCGCCCCCACCTTCAAAGGAAGAGCAGCCTGTGGAGACGCGACATTTTGGCCCTGCACCTGTGGGGCGCATCGTACGCCGCAACAATTCCAAGAAACGCGTTCGCTTGGTCGACGGGAAGCTTGTAGTAGAGCTGCCCATACCCCCGAAACTGGCTCTTCCTCACCGAGGATCTTATGAAACGCGCAAAACGCGATACCAAGCCATTACGTGCGGACCTGACGAGTTTGAGCAGAAAGGATTCACCCTACGACAAAACCTGATGCACCGGCGGACCGAGCTCTTCATTGTGGTGACGATGTACAATGTGAGAGTCAGTCTCGAACGGGACCGGTCGCGTTGACACAGAGTTAGGAAGATGAGGTTCTTTTTTGTCGGACCATGCATGCCGTTATGCGGAACATCGCGCATCTTTGTACCAGAAAGAAGTCGCAAACCTGGGGTCCTGAAGCATGGAAGAAGGTGCGAGATCGCGGGCAGGGCAATCTTCAGTGCTGACCTTACGATAGGTTGTAGTATGTATCGTGGCTGATGGTCGTCGCAAAGTTCACCCTCGTGTGCTGGATTGTCTTACTCTCCTGGGAGTATATCAGCCTGGTGGACCACTCGTTAATTCAGTCGATAAAAAGGACGTCCAGGCGCATCTGCAAGTGTTCCTTTGCTTTTCGCAAAGCTTGGCAGCTGACATTCCCAGATTCGAATATACAACATCGTTTTCAATCGATTCGAACCTCAAGTTCCGATACCCTGATGTATGTCTTGTCCCTTCCATGTCTGGATTTAGTTGTGACGGTATCTAGAAAGGGATCGTGCCAACACAAATAATCTTTTGCATGAAGGAGAAGAACCAGAAGAAAATCAACAGTCACCGGTGGTTTTTCAACGCGTTCGCTCCGTTGCTACAGGTAGGTTCTAGGTTGACTGAGAGGGGGGTGTATTTGATGGTTCGTTTCCAGCCCAATGTCTGTGTTCTCCTGGATGTAGGCACGGTGCGGGACATTGATTGTTTGCTCTGACAACAAGTATCGACCGTGAAGCACAGGTTCCAGGACCCACATCAATCTATCGACTGTGGAAGACATTTGATCTCAATTCGAGGGTCGCAGGCGCTTGTGGAGAGATCTGTGCCTACAAGGGGAAAAATTGGTCGTTACTCCTCAATCCGCTTGGTAAGGCTCGGAGCTGCAAGCATCTTATCCACCTGCTCATTGTTGGCAGTTGCGGCTCAGAATTTTGAGTACAAGATGTCCAACATTCTCGAAAAGCCTGTCGAGGATATTTTCGGTTACATCAGCGTTCTGGTAAGCCACTCACCAGGTTGGGGAAGTGATCCTGATGGTCCGATAGCCTGGAGCATTCTCTGCTTACCGGTGTGTTCGCCTTGATATCTCATTTGCGCAAATTTTCCTCAACGGGCGTGTAAGCTACATCGCAATACAGAACAACAAACACGGACTCGGCCCACTAGCCAGCTATTTCAAGGGAGAGGTCTTGCATGGGCATGATACGGACATCTTCACTTCGAACATGTACCTGGCAGAGGATGTGATTATGTCTTTGACCTCGCCGAGACAAGGAACTCACGTGACACAGCGAATTCTGTGCTTCGAGCTCGTCGCAAAAGCCAACAGCGACTGGATTCTCAAATTCGTCAAGAATGCAGTTGCAGAGACCGATGTTCCTGACGGGCTCCCCGAATTTATCAGTCAGCGTCGACGGTGGCTCAATGGATCATTCTTTGCCGCGACATATGCCATCGCCCATGTCGGTCAAATCCTGCGCTCTGGACATAGCAAGACGCGCAAGACATTCTTGATGATTGAGACGGGCTATACAGCCATCAACCTGTTGTTCTCGTGGTTCAGTCTGGTACGAGTGCCACGAAATACGTGTTCTGTTATCACACGACAACTCTGACACAGGCCAACTTCTTTATTTTCTTTGTGGTGCTCACATCGTCACTTGAAGACCCATACTTCAAGATGCCCGCTATCAAGTATGCCAACACTGTTGTGCAGTACACTCTGATTGCTGTCATCATTGCCTGTTTCCTACTTGCGATGGGGAACAAGCCACGGGCGTGCGTGATTCATGGCATCTGCCGTCTCATCCATTCTCACGGACACCAGCGCTAAATGGAAGTACCAGACGGCTTCGATTCTGTTTGCGGTCTTGATGATGTACATGATCTTTGCGTCGGTTCTCTGTGCTCTAGCAGCTGCACATCAAGGGGGACAAGCGAACTCAGTCATGCTCTTCAGCTTGGTCATCACCTACGGCTGTGGGTCCAAGCATTCTCCGGCATTCTGGGCCTCACTCTGACTTGCCTGCCAGTGTATGCAAGCAGCAGCATCCTGGCATTCGACCCATGGCATATGGTCACCAGCTTCCTTCCGTATCTGCTATTATCTCCCACCTACATCAACATCCTCAACATGTAAGCCCAGTCTTGGAGTCCACATTCCTGTTCTGATCGGATTCCCAGTTATGCCTTCTCCAATCTCGACGATGTACCAAATTTCCCTGTTACACACTCCTTCCACTCATCACGCGCAGATATCGTGGGGCACAAAACAAGACTCGGTCGTCGAACCCGACCTCGGCGCTGTTGTGCAGAACATCCACGCGCAGGTTGATGTCGAGATGGCAACGAATCAGGCGGATAAAAACTTGATCTACGAGGAGGCATTGTCCAACATAAAGAACAGGAAACCTGCCTTCTCCAACTCATCAGGTCTCTCCCACGCAGAAAGAGATCAGGCGGCTAAGGATTACTATGCCAAGGTCAGGACGATTGTTTTGTTGGCTTGGGTTTTGTCGAATGTGCGCCTCTCTGTTTTATGTTACCAGCATGTGTTGATGGCTTCCTGCAGGGCGCGCTTCTCGCTGGGGTGCTCGGTGGAGGCGCTGAGCCTGCCGCTGCGTTCAGCGGTCAAACCGTGGTCGGCCGCACCAAGGGTTATCTTATCTTTATCCTCGTATTTACTACTCTGCAGAGTCTGATAGTGAGTCTATTTCATCGCCGATTCAACCACACTAGTGATAACTTATGCCTCCAGCGATTTATGGGCTCAACGACCTACTTGCTTATTCGTTTAATTACAGGAAACTGAATACATGGGATATACTTTCAATGCTATGCTTTCAAGGGAACAAGAAATCGTAGAAAAGTGCCGCCCGCTGCGCTGCCGGCACAGGCCGAGCTGGGCGACGGACAGGGGCTCGGACTGGCGACCGTGATGGAGAGGAACTTGAGCGCACATGCTCCCATGTCGTTCTGGTTCGCAAGGACAGACGCGTCATCCGGTGTTGCAATACGCTGCTCTCGTCTCGAATGGTTTCATTCGCGCCATCTTCACCGTTGACCACAGACCAGGCGTCGTCTGTCGCCGGTGAGGGAGATCTTGAAGCAGGAGTCTCCTCGATAGTAGACATCGCAAAGTCAGACTGCCCGTCAAAGTCGCTGGCAAATTCCGAGTCACTGTGCTGGGATGAAAGCTCGGCATCCGTCGCTGGAGGCGTGTCCAGTCCCGAGGCGGCATGATAGCCCGGATGCACAACATTGGGCCGCAGGAGATAGGTCAGTCGCTGAGAATCGCCTGCTGCGTTCGAAACCTCTTTGCCTGTGTCTCGCTGTCAGTTGCCACGTAGATCTGCTGGGAAGAAAACGACGGACTGAAGCTGACAATATTGTGATATCTGGCCGTGCAGTGCACAACGTATCTCGCAAAAGGATCGTCTGATATTCGCCACACTAATTGCAGCGGCGTCCGCGTCAACTCGAGTACCGAGCCCGTTTCTCCGACAGGTCTCCCCACAGCATCGAGTATATCGGTTTGGATACCCCCCTCTGGATCCAGCACAACGCCACCTTCGAGCCAGCACAAGATTTCCGTTTCGATCTCTCGCACAAGGATCCGGGAGCGGAAACCCATCTTTCGTAGATCTCGGCGCATGCCCTTCAGGCTCAACGAGAACCGACCGCAGTCGGTCGATTTAGGATCTTGCATGGGGGGTTGACTGGGCAGCAGCTTATTGTCGCGCGTGAGGTAGGCAGGGAGAGGCTCCGGGAAGGTAGAGCGCGCATTCGGGAGAGGGGGATGCAAGTCGGCTTTCCCCGGCTGGACGACATAAGCATTACCCGCGAAACGTGCTGCGCGGACATGTCATCCTCGACCATCACCCTCTCAACAAGTATGCGCACCGTTCTCTTGGCGCCGAATCCAACGCTTGCCCTCATTGTCGCTGCGACGTAGCGACTTGAGCTTCTTAGGAGCGGGTTTGGGCTTGGGAGCGGCAGATTCACTGAGATGTGCGAATCGAGATTGGAGGCCTGAGTTACGGAGTATTGCAGGGAATGATAGAGGAATGGGTGCTGCGCTATCTGGTAACGCTGCGTCTGGGACTTGTGCGCTCATTGTAGAGGTTAAAACCGCGTTCGAGATAAGAGTAGTTTGGGGCTGTGCCGAGTGACGGTACCGAGGATGATGGATTCTGGTCCCGATGTGACTATGTGGCGCTACCAACATGCGTAGACTACTGCTCGGAGGAACTCAATCCGCCCGTTTCAATATATACACGATCGGCTTCAGAGACCTGTGCAGACTGCACTGGCGCCGAATTTGCGTGCTGGAGTCGTGAGCGATATTTGTTGTCAAAGTCTGGACGTATGCGGTAGCCGCACTGCTTCATCTCGTCCAACGCAATTTGGTACCGGGCATCCCCGTGCGATGCACATTTGAGCACCAGCGCCTCATACAATTCCTGCGCCAGAGTGAATCCGGCTGCTTGAAGTTGTTCGAGGTAGTGGAATGCATCATCGTATGTCTCCTGGGTCAGATGCAGAGCGATCATTTTCCCGTACACATCGTGGTCCGGTGTGGCTCCCGCATTGATCAGCTGGCGGAACGCTAGTTCTCCGAAAGCGGCATTCTTGGCGGAGATGCAAGCGTTGATAAAAATGTGGAATATTTCAGTTCCCAGCTCTACACCGAACAGCTTGGTCTTGGTGTAATGCCCCAAAGCCTGGGCCAAAGGCTCCGTGGTCAACGACGCCTGAAGTAGACTGCTGAAAACAGCTGGGTCGATGGTCTTGCCATTTTCCTTCATCTTCTCGAGCAAAGTCCACAGCTCTGCCACTTTCGTCGGGTCTGCTCTCGTTACCTCCAGTACAAAGGCGGCAGACAGCGCTGTCGGAATAATGCCGTTTGCTCGCATGACGGATAGTGATTCGAAGGCATCCTCGAAACGACCCACGCGACAATATGCCTCGAAGAGTGGGCCAAGATGATACTCCTGCCAAGGTACCGACAATGTCTGCAGAGCGTGCAGAGCGCCTCCTGCCAGGTCTGGAAGGCCATTCCGAGCAGCTGTATGCAGTACAAGCATACACATCCCTTCGTCCAGAGAAACACCGAGTGCATTCAGCTGATCCCAGGATTTTTGTACACCTTCAGCCTGGGTTCATATGAGCACCGTCGCACAGAGATCGATGCTGGTCTCACGTATAAGTCTGAAGCCGAGGCTTGAAGGCAGGCGAGCCATACGGAAACATCGACCTTACGGACACCCTCGGTCTCGAAAGCTGCTGCCAGGTCCACTGCGAGCCGCGGATGTCCTGAGTTCGCGGCCAGAACAATAAGCGCTTGTGCGACGGAGACCTCCGCCGCTACCCCGTGATTCTTCATGATCCAGTAATAGCGCAGCGCAGTCTCCAGATTGTTTTCGGAAACGAAGCGCGTGATTATTAGCGTGAAGGTCTTCGTATTTGGCGTCACTTGCAGCTGCTCCATCCGCCGTAAGATGGGGGGAAGAAATGATGTGATTTGAGTACGATGAGCCTGCGGGACATGAGAACAAGTATGGTGACGAGAAGAGCTTAAGTACATCGATTATATGGTTGAACGAGGTTGTGTCGGGTGAAATTCCCACTGTTATCATGTCCTCGAGGACTGCCAGCGTTGGTTCCGCATAGCCGCCGTGAGCAAGCGCGCGGAGAAGGGTGTTATAAGTGAGGATATCGGGTTTAGAGCCATGTCGCTTCATCTCGACGGCAACATCGAAGCAGCTATGGAACTGAGAGGTGTCGGCTTTCGAACCCATTTCGAAGTTGAAGCGTGTAGTTGAGGTCCCATGGCTTTTGCGCAACGGTGCATCCTCGAATGGAAAAGACCAAGGTTTGGCGCGGAGTGTCGAATCGTTCGTAGAATGCCGCTGGACGCTGTACACAGGCCTTCGAACAGAGACGCAATTTTGGCGGACGAAACGCTTCAGCATCAAATGAGACGACAAACAGTGAGCAAACAAACGGTATCGGTCAACAGTGACAAGCACCGTGACCTTGACCTTGTGCCACAACCATGGTAAGTTCTATGCCCAGAACTCTGTATAAGACTGCTCATTCTACTCCTAGTTCTACTCGGAAACAGTGTTGTCGCGTCGAGGTCCGCTTGGGAGAGTATGGATCGCGGCCCATATGGAGAGGAAGCTCTCCAAAGCCCAGACGCTGCAGACTGATATAGAGCACTCAGTCGGTACGCGTAAGCTCGCTGGTACATTGGTCTGATTACTCACTGCCGCCAGGCGTAATCATTGGGGATGAAATAAAGGTCATGGCGCTGCGTTTGAGCGGGCAATTACTCCTCGGTGTCGTCCGTATCTACAGTCGGAAAGCGAGATATCTTTTGGAGGATTGCAACGAAGCTCTTCTCAAGATCAAAATGGTATTGGACCTCCTTCTCCAGTCGTTGGGTCGCTCAATTATCATAGGCTTTCCGCCCGGGTATGGTCGACATGACCGAAGATCAACTCGCTGTAAACAAGAACGCAATCACGCTCCAGGGAAACGCCGTTGATCTCGATTTACTCATACCGGACATTGACTGGTAAGTCGACACTGCATAGTTGCGATTGGAGCGTCATGGGTTACAGGCATGCTAATTTCGGTCGACCTCAACCCGCTCAGAGCAATCATCAGGCCCATATAGATGACATCACTCTACGAACTGCAGCGGACCCTTTCTCAAATTTCGATCTCAACGACCCGTTCGACATCGGACCTTTGGATGGGGGAATAGGGTCTCAAGATTTTTTGGATACTGGTTTGGATTTTGGAGACAGCGAGAAGCCAGATGAAGATGACGGAATGAGTGTAAACGACAGCATCGGTGTCGGCCGTGATCTTGTCGCTGGCGATGAATCATTCGGTCTGAATCGAGATGAAAACATGGATCTCGACATTTTCTCTCAGCACAGCAGAGCTGGATCGGAACATCCTTTCGGCATGGACATGGAGATGGACGTTCCTGAGTTTGACCTGGGAATAAATTTCGGCGACGTAGATGAGCGAGAGAAGACTCCCGAACAGACTAGATCGTCGCGAGGATGTGAGTTCAGCTATACTCAGCACTGCGTTTAACTCAAAGACCACAATAGCATCTCCCCTATCTGACGTGCCTCAGACACCTCCGGATGAGCCGATCGCTCTTCCTGACATTGAGGTAGACGCGGACAAGACACCCAAGGCTAAACGCAAGGTCAAGCCCAAGAAACAAGTGATCGACACTGTGACAGAACTTGATGGAGGGCCAGGTGCGAAGGTGGGAAAACGAAACGGAGGTCTCGGACCGTCAGTCAATGTGGATGTCAGCGGGATCTTGAGCGAGCAACAATTCCTTCCGCGCACATCAATGATGATTCGACTACTCGAAATCCGCGACGATCCCATCTCGCACTTTCTGCCGACGAAAGTGGCTGCAGACGGCACCTTCTTCTGTGCAGCTCCGTCAGGCCTGACCGCCGAGCTCACAGACCTCTTTATGCGACCGGCCGGTTTCTCAGCTCTCAAACGCCGTGGGACGTCGCCGAAAGGTTCAAACAAGCGACAGAAAACGGAGGAAGTGATTGTCCCCGTAGAAGATGAAGTTGAACAAGGCCGTCGGGAAGCCAGTATTGCACCTAGCATCGGAGGGCGCAGTGATCTCCGCGCTGTCAGTGGTGGGCCGGATGGCACGTTCGACTTTGGTGACCAGGGTGTCGTTCCGTTGGACGATTTCCAGCTGGACATTCCTGAGATGGATGTCAACCTTCCTGAAATGGATGCTAATCTTCGTGGTAAATCTGCAGTGCCATCGGATCGAAGCAGACTATCGACCCCAGCACCGGATGGAATCTTTGATGACAGTCTGGAAACATACGCAGACGCGGCCTGCCCTATTGTCATGTTCGACTCAAAAACCCAGACTCAGACTGTTGAAAAAGAGGACGAGCCCACCGAACACAATGCCAAGGGATATAGCAAGAACACCGTCAAAGCGCTTGGACTGATCCGGCAAGAATTGAAGCCGATAGACGACGAAGAGGAAGAGAGGGTACTCAGTTTCCGCAAAATGGCCGACAAGGTTTGTGCAACTGTCCGTCTCCTGTCCGGTGCTGATCTCCTTCAGGCCTCGCGTCGTGCTGCAGCTTCCTTCTTCTTTGAGCTGCTTGTTTTGAGCACCCGAGACTGTGTGAGCGTGGAACAGAGTGCCCCGTTCGAAAACATCCAAGTCCGGGCGAAGGACAAGCTATGGGATCGTCAGGCCCATGCCTCACCTGGGTCGCGGGCCGGCTCAGTTGCGCGTTCCCTCGGTTCTGCGTTGGGTCTCTGAATGGATCGTATCTATATGGTCATGATTTATGGACGATATACCTACTATCTGCACATGTCTACTATACCTGTGTTGTCTTTTATCTGGCTTTGTCCGTACTGTTTGTATGTAGCTTGTAATTAGTACCCGGCTTGTAATCGAAATTTTTCGAGGGTTGACGTGATGCAACTCGCCGATCAGTTTCCGAAATGTCATCTTCCTCGCCTTCCTTCAAGTCTTTGGGCTTGATAGACCCATTACTCGAAGCCCTCCAGCAAGTCAACTTCACCACTCCCACCGATATCCAAGTCGAGGCTTTACCGCACGCATTAGAGGGACGAGATATCATTGGTGTCGCATCTACGGGATCTGGCAAAACCGCTGCTTTCGCTCTACCGATCCTGCAGAAGCTATGGGAGGACCCGAAAGGCTTATTCTCATGCGTTCTCGCACCAACGCGCGAACTTGCGTTCCAAATCTCCCAGCAGTTTGAATCATTAGGCTCAGCTATGGGCGTTCGGTGTGCCGTCATTGTCGGTGGTGTCGAAACCATCGCCCAGTCTGTGGCTCTTGCAAAGCGACCGCATGTTGTCGTTGCAACACCGGGACGACTTCTATGGCATCTCGAAAATACCAAGGGCTTCAGTTTGAAGGGGATCAAGTTTTGGTGCGGTGTACCACCCATCTCCACATTTCCCTCTATATAGACTGTTATCCAGGTTCTGGACGAGGCTGATCGGCTTCTCGACATGGATTTCGGTCCAGTGATTGATAAAATATTGAAGCTCGTGCCGACAGAGAGGACCACATACCTGTTCTCGGCTACCATGACTTCCAAGGTCGCCAAGTTGCAGCGAGCGAGTCTGTCCAACCCGGTCAAAGTCGAGGTTTCGTCAAAGTCTGTCCTGTTTATCGTTTTACGATTGCCCCAGGACCGATCTTCTTGCCTAGATACCAAACAGTGTCGACATTGTTGCAGTACTACCTGTTCATGCCTCTGCAGGACAAGGACACGTACCTCGTGGCCATCGCCAACTCTATGGCCCAGAGCTCCATGATCATCTTCACGAGGACAGTGCACGACGCAGGCCGGTATGCATAATCTGTGCATCCCATCTTCTGATGACTGAACTGACCTTGCAGAATTTGTATAATATTGCGAACACTGGGTTTGCCTGCTGTTCCCCTTCACGGACAACTCTCGCAGAGTCAGCGATTGGGTGCATTGGGCAAGTTCAAAAGTGGAAGCAGGAAAGTGCTGGTGGCCACGGACGTAGCTAGCCGGTGGGTCTGGTACACTTGCATGAAAGCGACCTGACGTTCTATTGCCAGAGGGTTGGATATACCATCGGTGGACGTTGTCATCAACTTTGATATTCCGACGCACTCAAAAGATTATATCCATCGAGTCGGACGAACAGCCCGCGCAGGCAGGGCAGGGAAATCGATCACCCTGGTGACTCAGTACGACGTCGAACTGGTGCAGCGCATAGAGAAGACGATCGGGAAACAGATGGAACTCTGGGCAACTGATCCCGAAGAAATCGCACTTCTCAAGGAACGAGTGAACGAGGCGGGGCGGCTAGCAACGGTCGAATTAAAAGATCAGGCAGCCAATGGAAAGTCTGGAAAAAAGCATCCTCGAGATAGCGGCAAAACACGGGCCGATGATCAGGACCGAGACGACGACGAAGTCGAAGCTGGGATGCCATCCAGGAAAAAGAAAATGAAGCGTAGATAGACATGTCGTAGTTTGTGCTCTACATCGGTTGGTACGCTCGCAGAGATAGGATTTCCCAGTACGCCTCATTGAAGGCGGCAGGATTGTTGTCGACGACTCCAGCAGACAATCAGCAATTAAGTCCCGCGGCCGGTGGGGTGGAATGCGACGTACATTGTTGACAGGTCATGTTCGTCGAGCATCCAGACGTGCCAAACACAGATCCAGCCCAGTCGCCCTTGAAACCGGAAGCGTGAGTATGGACTGATGTCGAAAACTATCATAAGACGTACGCAAAATGTGAGGTCGAAGACCATGATATGTGCATCGAAATGTGACATATAATCACAGCTGTCTGCAGTCGGGAAGGACGCTCCGGGGATCCCCAGAAATCCGGGTTCAGTGTGTCGAGCCCTTGAGCCACTTCGTCCGGGACATCGGGATTGCCACGAGACCAGAACCAGATACTGATTCCGGACGCAGCGGAGCGGTGAAGGACGTACCACCCTCCTCCGTTGTCATTGAAATCTGTACTGTAAGAGTTTGGTTCACTGAAGGCGACGCCACAGCCCTGATTGTAGTTGAATGAAGCGTCACAGTTGGTCGACGCCGTGTCTCCTGTTTGCCTAGCGCACGAATGATTATCATGACACATCGGATGAGGAGGTTAGCACACCCGCGTTGGTACTTGTCCATGGGCATCGTGCAGTTCTCCGTGTATGCAACGAAGCGAGATTGCTGTTGGCCAGGTTCACGCCTGGCCAGCGAAGTTAACCTGACAGACATCTGACCCTGGGGCGTAATCGAACACACCCTCGATGATATCGATTTCTCCTCCGTGCGGCCACGGGCCAGCCTTCGACAACGTCCACCACGCCGGCCAGGTTGCGCAACCAGCCGGCATGTGAAGCAGATCGAGGACGAGCACCGAATCTGCGTAAGCCTTGGGCGATGTTATGCGCACGCTTTTCCGACCTCGCTCGGCGGGAGGGACCATATGGATGTTGTCGGCTCGCATCAAAAACGACGCGTTGGACGCTGGTGGGCATAAGTTCAGGTTACGGCCCAGGACGACTTTACTCGCCCACAGTTAAATTCAAAGCGATTGCCGTTGACTGGTCGACGTAGTCTACTCTTCCGTGAGTTGGGTCTGAGAATGACTCCCATGTCCACTGGTAGAATTCGTCGCCAGCATAAGAATCCGAAAGTGAGTAGGAGGTGAGGACGCCAGCCACCAGAGACAGAACGAAGAAGAGGCAAAGCATGGAGGCGGGAAAAAGAGGGGTGCCGACCCTGGCGAGGAACACGGCTTATTAGTAGGCTCCCCCAGCATAGTCAAGTGCTTGAAGTAATTCGCGTGGCGCTTGAGTCTGAGCGTGACAGCGGATGTGACCAGCGCGTTGGCCTGATTGCGACACACTCTGGGACGGTGTCAGATTCATTCCGTGTGTAAGATTCTCTACTCCCAACCCATCCATCGCATCTATTCACCCTGAAAATCTGAATTGCCCGCTAGCATCCGCTGAACGTTTCAGTTTCTTCGATGCCGAGAGCGGAACCATTTGTTACAATGGCTCTTCTAGTACTCGAATGGATGTCTGAATGATAGATGGAACTACATCGCTCACCGGTTTTCTATTGATGAAACATCCACGCGTGTTTTCGTGCGGTGGACACCTCTCTATGTACGCTCAATACCGTCCTTCATTGCATGTTACACACCATGACGCGTGATGTCATAACGCGTGACCGTGTCTAGTCCTTGCCTCTTACTTTCGTCATGTTTCTTCTTTCCGTCCCTCATCTTGTTCTTCTATGTTCTGTCTTTACTGCAGCAAATCCTCTTCAATACAACTACCCTCGCGCCGTTCCTATCAACCGCTCGTTTCGCCACCGCCCGCCCACGCATATCTTGTCTGTCTTCCAGCCTGGGATGATTGTATGCAACATACTTGCTTGCAATTTCTGATCTCTAAGAGTATGCGGGTAGAAATGGGAAATACAGAGCCTACCTTTCAAGTACCGCAATGTCCAGGGGTATCTCCGCGATATCTCCAGCTTCGATGGTGTCTTGAACCACATCGCAGTAGAAGAAGAGATCGCCGAACACCCGATTTCCCTTCCGCCAGTTCCCGCCCCTCGTTCGATGCCGCTAGAAGACTACATCTCAGATAACATGGACGTCATGTACTATGGGCTTCTCGGCGTTGGCACACCATCGCAATCTCTGTCCGTAGATATCGACACTGGAAGCGCAGACTTTTGGCTCCCTGTCAAATGTACCAACTGCTATAATCGCCAATTTGACGACGCTCAGAGCTCTACCTGCCGATCCAGTGACGAGTCTTTCTCTGTTTATTATGTACTACTCTTAGCCTTGTGCTTGCTTTGACAAACACTCAATCTTCGAAGGGATCTGGGTCGGTTTTCGGCACGATTATGCAAGACACGATAACTCTGGACGGGCTTCAAGTTTCTGATGTCTATTTCGGTGCGGCATCAGCTGTGTACGGCGACTTCGTTGAGCTCCCCAATGATGGTCTGCTCGGGATGGCCTTCAGCAACATCTCACAGTCAAAGAAGCCGACTCTCTTCGAGACTCTTGTCAACAAACAACTAATCCCTGCCTCAATGTTCTCTCTTCATCTCGCCCGCAATCAAGCAAAAGGCTCTGAATTGTACCTCGGTGGAATAGATCCATTCAAGGTGACTGGTCCTGTGACCTGGATCCCGCTTCTGAGCAAGGTGTGCATCGTTGAGACGGCATTTGTCTTACTAACGTCTGCAGGCATACTGGTCCGTATCTATGGACGCGATTACGATCAACGCGCACACCGTCCTGCCCACATTGGGGACATGCGCAATCGTTGATTCTGGGACAACTTTAGTTCGTAGGATCCAGTAAAACAAACATCTAAAAGAGGATCTAATTTTTTCAGATCTATCTACCGGCTTCTCATGCATCGGCGTTCTATGCGATGGTATGATACTGTGTCCTTGAATGACTCCCCCTTATATCAAGACGCAGATCCCTAGCGCGAAACCAGCACCGGATTACGGACCTGGTGATTGCAAGTCAGTATGGGATCCCGATGTGCTCATTTTACACAGAATTCTACTCGTACCGTTGCTCCGACGTCCTCGACATTGCCTTCTCGTTTGGAGGGCACTCATTTTCGATAAACCAAGCTGATTTCAACCTCGGCCGAACCAGCCAAGGCTCATCGGACTGCGTTGGTGGAATCTTGGCTCTCGGTGACGGCTTTCCTTCCGACATTGCCATTATTGGCGACGAGTTTCTCAAATCCTGTGCGAGTCTCTTCTCCCAACAAGACCAGAACTAACGCAATAATTCAGGGTATTCGACATACGATTCGTCTGGTGTTGGGAGAGTGGGATTTTCGCCCGATATAAACAATACCTAGATGTCTAGTATAAGACCGTTTGGGCCCTCCAATACATACACGAGTTTAGTTCGTCTTTGACTTGGAGCGAGGGCCATAGGTTTTCCGTCTCTGAGCCATCATGTAAGTGTACAGTTGGTACAGTGCTGTGAAGCGGTCAGAAAACATGCGAAGCGCCGACGTCGAAAAAACGCACCGGGCCACCAGATAAGAAAAAGAATTCCGCGAGCATATTCTGGTGCCGACCATCCACGCAATGCTGACGGACGAGGGATCCCAGAAGGCACAGGCAGTGTTGCGTAGCTCAGGAATGCCTCTGAGCCTGCTCCGATCGGGTACAAGATATAGAACAAGGTGTAGCGCAGGTACAACAGTACAGGGGGCTCACGACCCAGAAGGTTGCTGGCGTAGAAAGAATAGCGGACGACTTCGGTTATCGACCATGCAACCACAGCCGAGGTGTACAGAGGGTTGGCTTGCGCCTTGGAAGTTATAAGACAGACGGCACCGGAGACAAGGTCAGGACGACGCACCACCCCAAACTGTTGCATGATACCCCAAACGATCCACAACCGACTGGCGACCTGCATAGCAGTGGTCTGCAAGGGGCTCCGGACCCAGCCCAACAACGAATGTACGACCTCCAACAGAGCACACGTTTGCACCACTGCGACAGTCCCACTGACTCGGGTGTATGTGGTCAGAGACCGCAAATAGACTGGCGCTAGGAATCCTGGAATACGGGTCGGGATTTTCATCGGCGCAGCAGCCGTTGGGGCATTGAAGAACGGCAATGCCGAAAGAAGTCGAGAGATTGTAGACACTGGTGCCTTGGATGCCGCTGAGAATGGGACCTCAGAGGATCGACCATCGAGGTTCAGAAGGTGTACAAGTGTCAAAATGAGGATATAACCCCATCCGGCAGCAGAGAGGACATTGTACGCTAGCAAATAGTGCTTGACAAGAGGGGCATTGCCTGGATTGTGAGTGTCAGACTGACCACATCGGCGAGTCAACGACGGAACACGCCTGCTTTCGTTTTTTTCGGTTTCAGAGGAACTTCCGGTGCCGTGACTACAGGATTCGGGGCAGACGCTGTCTTTGACTTGGCCATGAATAGAGGAATGAGACGCTGATGTGTGACGGTTGAGTGTCACTGCCGAAAGTGTAATTGTCAGCCTTCTCTCGGCCCGAGAGGCGGGCCGCTGAGATCTTATCGTGTCGGTACATGATTGCTATTTACGTGCTGCCTTCAAATCTGAACACTTCCTCTGTCTCCTAGGATTTGAAATCAGTAGATTGTTCGAGGAGATGGGGAGAAATAACCCACGGCCCACCACGGAATGTCCTTTCCGCTCCCTTGCGCGCCTTCAATCAGACTCTCCTGCATGAGATCTGTCACCTTCCACCACCGCTGCGTTTCTGGATCTTCAGCGACCTGCTTCATATCCCCTCGTAGTCTGTGCCGATGTATTTGAACGTCGCAATGAGGAGGTCGAAGGGGGCGTAATAATGGATCGAATAGTCAACTATGTGGGCTCGTTCGAGCGCTGCAAGCACTCCCGGCCAAACGTTCGCATGTATTTCCTTGTATTCTTCCAGAGCCGACGGCTTGACCTGTCCTGGGCCGTCACGTCTGTGATTGGTCGCAGAGAGATGTGTACTCACTTTGATCAGCTGGCAGACACGTTTGGGAGACATGGTGGTTGGAAGAGAGAACTCCAGGTTGCTGGCAGTCAGCTGAGCGTGCGCCGGTCCGAGCAGATCACCTGGTCGTGTCGAATGCAATGTAGCACCAGATGTATATGATTATATATATGATACAGCAGATTGCAGAGCAGTAGATAAATGATGAAAGCAGTCTGACTGTAGATTGCGTATATGACTAGGAGATGGAGGTAAATGAGTGTGGAGCGACGGCTGGATACATCAGAGAACGAATGAGCCGTGTGACGAGGAATGTGGTATCAGGTTGGATAGGGTACAGGGTATACCACCGAAAATAGGAATAATAACATGTCCTGGTTATATCCCCAGGTTGAGGATGCCCCTGACGTCGGACACTCCAGATAGATCGGAGAGGAAGGGCACGAGATCGGTCAATTCGACGTCGTGCGGATCGTTGAACCAGGAAGATACTGGTACCGCATTGTTAGGATGAAAGATGTACGACGCCGGGGAGTTGTCCAGGATGATGGTGTCCCCGATGGGCCGGCCCAGCTGGGATAGGTCCTGTTGACCAGTATTCTAAATGACAACACAAGTGCATAGCTGTTAACGGACCTTGACATAGTTCCCCTTGTGGCTGAAGCAACTCTCTCGGTACAAGCGATGAGCAACCACCCGGTGCGTATCGAGTTTGTCCAAGACGGGGTCGGCATACTTTTCGGTCATCAATGTCAATTCCCGGTCCAGAAAAGTCGGAGAATACTCACCTTGTTTAAGCTAGCGGTGAACACGACCACTTCATACAATTCTCCCATCTGCCTCAAAAACTCTTCGACGCCTGGTCGCTTTAGAACGTGGAAATGATGCCAGTGCATCTCAATTTCAACGGGAACGATGAAATCAGGCTGTGCGATGGGTTTAAAGCTGCTGTGCACCAGTGTTTCATCCAGATCCAGAACAAGACACTTCCGACCTGCATGTTCCGGAGCCAAGGGAGGGAGAAGAGGTTTGGGTTCACCGTCCTAGCAAGCTCAGACTGGCAAGGTGGAACAGATTGAAATATCCTCACCATCCCTATCAGGATCCCTGTGCCACCGTTTCTGATTAATCGTTCTTCTTGGGATTGTTCGTCGAGTGCGCGATGGTCGATAGCCTCATCGTCTGTGAAGCTCGTGCCGTCAGATCCGTCGGATGAATCGCGAGTGTGTGTTCGAGCAATCAGCTCGCCAGTCGATCCGGGGGGCTGAACAGCCCCGGACGTGACACCGTCCGTCTCATCCTCTGGCAGTAGCTGAGGCGGTGGAACAACGATTTCGGAATCCGCTCGTGACGGAGGCCGCTCGATATTAATCGTCGGGGGGGTCAACAATGCAGCGTCCAGGCTTGTCGGCACTTGCGAATCTCTGAGGGGATTCTGACGGCCAGCATCAGACTGCCGCTCTGCCATTTGAGGACCCTCGTCCACGTCCTTCATCGCCGAATCTGGGCCGACGCAAGGAACAAGTTTGGAAACAAAGCGCGCAAATGAAGGCTTCGGGCGGTTCCGGCGTGAAGATGGCTTTGAGCTGGAGTGGGAGGCGGCGGCTTGAGACGTAGAGGACTTGTTCCCCGCACGATGATAGAACATATTACGCGGATTGGTGCCGGTCAATGTAGTATTCAGCGAGCCTTGCTCCTTATCATCTGACGCCCCCGCGGGCGCAGAGCTTGTTAATGAGACATTAACAGGTGCGGTAGCCGAGGACGGGTCCTGCCCTTGGTCACCGATAGCCGTTGTGCTGGCTGATGAATCGACAGGTTCAGTTGATGGAGCGGCTTCCAGATGAGAAGAAAGCCTCAATATGCGCAGAAATGATATAACGGAAGGTAACAGCATGCGTACCATTGGCACTCTCCAAGTTCTCGGCTATGACGCCGACATTCTCCTTCGACTTTTCATGAGTCGTCCCTTTCTGTTGGTGCTTTTTCCGAGACAAAGAAAAAAGACGTTGGCGAAGGCCTTGATCGTCGGTAGAGGGATGAGCGGAGGCGCTGGAGCCCACAGAAGGCGCCGGAGCCATAGGCACAGAGAACGGAAGGCAGAGCGAAGGAATGCTCTAATGTCTCTCACGCCTTGTGCCTTGTTGTTCTCCATTTGCATCTTGATGCCCATCATCACGCACTGCAATTACTGACAGTCGACCTTGCGCATCCTCAACTAAATGACCGCAAGTATGTCTATTGAATCGCTCAAGAGTTCTTTGAACTCAACTGGGTACAGAAAACTCGCGGAAACAGGGTGTTCCAGTCAAATCTAGTGCGGCACTGATTCCTTGCAACGACATATGCAGCTGTCTGATTGTTTTAGAGCTTAAGAAAGATCCTGGAATTCCTAGACTCCCAGATATCAAGGTCAAGAATGCGGAGAAGCAGAGGGCCCGCGTTGTAGGACTGTTTCTCTCAAATGGATCACGTCTTGACATGCAACAATAGCCTTTGCCCTCCAGGCCGGATCCCGACAGGATCATGGCTTCCGAGCCCAGTCTATTCACCCTGAAAAACACACTAGAGAACGAGCCTTTGTCATCTGAAAAAATCAAAGAACAAGCTCGGCGGCACTACATCAGAGCACTACACAAAGTGATCGACCAAAGCGACATCGTGATCCTCGTGTTGGACGCTCGAGATCCAGAAGGATGCAGGAGCCGTCTAGTTGAGGAAGAGGTCCTGCGACGGGAGAGCGAAGGCAAAAAGCTGATATTTGTCTTGAATAAAGTGGGTTCGTGATCGTGCTATCCATGTCCATTTCGGCAGCCGACTCAGATGCACCTGTAGACTTGGTCCCTCACGCTAATGCCCAAGCTTGGTTGAAACATCTCCGGCACTCTACTCCTACTCTACCATTTCGGTCACCGTCTTCTGCACAGCATCAGCGCACCAATATCTCGTCATCCACCGCCCCCGCCCTTGTCAAGCTGCTCAAAGCATACAAGCCCTCGGCAGGAAGCGTCACTGTCGGAGTCGTTGGCTATCCTAACGTGGGGAAAAGCAGTTTAATCAACTGCTTGAAGAGAAGCAAAGCAAGTTCGATGATCCCCTCCGATAGACAGAGTCCTCATCTCTCGCAGGTGTGTGCTGTAGCAGCCCAGGCAGGTCACACGAAAGACCTTCAATCTGTGCAATTAGAACGTGGCATGCGCATAATCGATTCCCCTGGAGTTGTTTTCGATGACGACGACCAGAAAGCAGGGAATGTTCTACTTCGAAACGTCGTAAAAGTGGAGGACATTGACGATCCGATTGCAGTCGGTATGTCGGCCTGATTGTCCTATTCTCGAATCTCATGCACTTGTTAGTGGAGGAGATCGTATCTCGGACACCTTCAGAAACATTGCAGAAAATATACAACCTCCCCGAGTTCACGTCGACGCTTGAATTTCTTACCATGACTGCTCTGAGTAGTGGTAGATTATTGAAGGTAAGAGATCATATGTCTGGAAGTCGCACAGTTCTTTGATTAGACAGGGCGGGACACCTGACTTGACTGCAACTGCAAAGCATGTCTTGAACGACTGGAACCACCAGAAGATCCCTTATCATTCAAATCCTCCAGAGATACATCCATCCATGATACCTTCAACTGGTAAGCACGGCTTTTTGAGACGGCGTGCGCTTCACTGAAGTCTTTCTTCTAGTGGGATCTGGCAGCACGGCCATGGTTGCTCCTGGTGCTGAAAATGTTGGCCAGGCGCAGATCATCAGCCAGTTCTCCGCTCCGTTTTCACTACCGGGCCTTTTCGGAGACGCAGACGCCGGAGCATTCGGCAGCGATGTTAACATGGAAGCCGACGAAGACGGCGATGTGTTTGTCGACGCGATGGACGAAGACGAGTAAGTGGTAATTCTATCCTGGAGCCTCTATACTGAGGCGTTTCGCAGATACGCGATGCAGGCCCAGGCCGAAGCACCGACTGTTACTTCGAAAAAGCGTGCCAGATCGCCATCGCCATCGCCCTTTCCCTTCCAATCGGCAGAAATCATGGGACAAATAAATGAGAGATATTCGCATCGTCAACCCAAGCGGATGAGGAAAAATTTCTCTGCATTACCCGAGCAGGAACAAAATCCTCTCGGCCGTGCTGCACTCAAAAAGGAAGCGAAACGCAATCGTAAGGCTGCGCGTCAAGCAGCTCGATTAGTGGATGGAGAGATGCAGATAGATGCCGACAATGCCGAGTTGTTGTAGCTAATGATGTCTTATTTGTGTCCGTGACAAACAGTCGCAGTGGCGGTGACCCGTAGACCTGACTCAGCTGATTACCAAAGGTTCCAGGAAGGCCCAGGATTCAAATGGCGCTGTGGGCATTCATCTAACGCGATGCACAGATGCAAAGCAACCCCCAAATTCAGAACATTCCTCAAATCCAGGCCGTTCCTAATCCATCACCAACCCGAACATCACGCAAACGAAAGTCGCCTCCCGTTAACATTGAGCCGGAACCGCATACCCTGCAGCACATGGTCCCAATGAGCGCCATTCCACCTCAATACCAATACAATACGGACTTCAGCCCAGCAGGAATGCCACCGCCCCCAAATATGGAGATGCCGCAGAATGACGCCGAGTCCGCGGCAGGAGGACGAGTCCTGAGCACCAGTAAGCGTGCAGAACAGAATCGGAAAGCCCAAAGAGCATTCCGAGAGCGTCGTGACCAGTGAGCTGCCGTTGCGCCGTATTCCTGTGTCAGGTCGATTGACGACGGTCAACTTTACCAGGCATGTTAAGAATCTTGAATCCCGCTCGTTACTCCTCGAAGCCGCTCTTGCTTCCGCCGATGAAGCCAACCGACGCTGGGAAGAGTGCCGTGCCCTTCTCGACCAACTTCGCGTAGAAAACGCTGCGTTGCGTGCTGCGCTAACTCAGCAAGCCCAGCTCCCTATCGCCCCTCCTCCACCTGCGCACACAATCGACGACACGGGCGCTGACCACGCAGCTGCAGAGGCCAAACACCACTTGGGTGATATCCTGAAGGAGCAGTGAGGGCTCCGATAGGTCAGATTCTTTTAGCGGAGGCTGGCGGTCCATCACGCCGTCGACAACTCTTGAGCACTTTTGTATAATTAGCAACGCATGTCTTGAACTCGATACTGTGGTCTGGTAACTGGAATGTAGTCGTGGTGTAAATGAAAAGCTGGTGAGGTTTATGTAAGGTGATTCTTTGTCACCCGTCCTCTGCAGCATGCATAAGTAAGCTGGGAGAACAGCCTGGAACTTGCATAATTTCCGTCTTGTTCGTGGCCGACTGGTAGCACTCGCCATCACCGGGTTTACTTATGAATCTTCTTCGCCGAGGCTCTAGCTCCAGGACTGACGGACCACGTCCGTAAGGCGATTGCGATTCTTGACGAATGTGTATGATGCATCATCTGTGTAGAACGCTCATGGACAGAGCACGGCCTCACGTCCTCGACTTGAACCACCATCATGTCTCAATCGGCATATGTGAAGCATCATGTCCTTGTCACCGGCTTCGGGGTGGGGTGAAACTCCAGCTTTCGAAGTGTTCTCAAATTCCTCTGCCTAGCCGTTCGGAACATTCAAGGAAAATCCATCCTGGCTGGCGGTTAGCATGTTACACGATACCTTGATCACAAGTGCTCCTGAACGGGGAGCTTCCTCGAAAAATACCAAACGGCCGATGATCCATCTGACCTGCGTGAACGTCTCAACCGTATATTCTACAGTTCTCGACACAGTCCCTGGTTTCCATGCTCAGCCACCGATACTTCCCGATGACCGTATTCCTACCGGCCGGGCGCTCCCAGAAAACGGTTTCGATCTCATCATTCACGTCGGTGTGGGCGACCCTGGTGGCCTGTGTGCGGAACGTCTGGCGCGCAAGTCTGGATACCGACTGGCGGATCACGAACAGCGCCGCCCACCTCTGGCTGATGGCAAAGGGCCCTCGCGGGGCTTTGGAGCTCCCAGATACGGGAAGGCCTTTCCGGAAGAACTCTATCCTCTTGTCGATGTTGACGGACTTGCCGAGGAGATGAGCGCTGGGCCGGACCCCGTCGTGAGTGATTCCTAACCTCCCAGTCAGTTTCCTGCTGGAACTGGCCAGATGCTTCAACCCTCCGACGATGCCGGACTGTTTCTCTGCGAATTCATATACTACTGCTCTTTGGCGGAATCGCAGAGAGCGGGACGGAGTACACGAGTCCTATTTGTCCATTGTCCGCCTGTGAAGGACAAACTGTCCAGTGAGGAGGTTGCTCATGGACTGCGCAGGATTATACAGCATATATGTAGTCGGAGCTGAGATTGTTTTAACGTGATCACACGATCGGCCATTTTTACACGTATTTCTTGAACCGCGGAGTCGATATCGCAGTCCGAGTGCTGATGAGACGGAAACTGCTGGCCTTGCACACGATAGTCACGTCTCACGTGAAGTGACGATCGCGTCCCATCCTCCTCACCACTCATGTCACCAGAGAACCAATGGTTGAAGAACTACCTTCTTGAGATCGCTGAATCTTACGGTGCCAATTCTTTCGCTGCGCCGCGTCATGAGAAAGGGAAGAGAGTACGGGTATCTGAGGTCGGTGACGAATGTCATGGCTGACATTGGACTGAACGTAGTTCTGCAGTTTCTGACGCTGGATTCCGAAAACAAGGTATTCATCATATGCACAAGTGTTTCATGTATTTGATGTCTGCTAGAATGCGACCGTGTGGGCTCATGTACACGACGAAGAGCTAGGCATCCCCATCAAGTTCTCTAAGGAATCCGTGGCTTTGTGTGCCCAGAGCGGTCGCCGCCTCACTGCCACTAGGAACCCGCTGCTGACTATCAAGGCATTCAAGCCTTTCTGTGCTCGTATTCCTCTGGGTCGGGATGGAGGAATGTCGATCGAGTCACGCGTGGCTTTGGAATGTGGGTTTGTGTCCGTAGCAGATAGTCTAGGGGGTGCGCCGAGTGCATTCCAGCCGATCGAGTCTATCGAGCCATTGCGTGCATGGCAGCGGGGTTTGAGAGAGGACGGCGGAGCTGGGTACGATCTGTTCATGCTTCACGAACTTTTGTGATCATATTGAATCCACCGTCCGCAGCAACATACTCAAAGAACGGAAGAAGACAAACGAAAGAACTACAAATTTGGGTCTCATTAAACGCCCACCAAACGCAGAGCCTGGAGCCCTGGACTTGTCCAAGAAACGGGGAGACTCCATGAAGAATTACAACGAAATATGGCGAGAGGCCAGTATCCACGGGTCGATTGCAAGTGTCGTATCGTCTGAATCTCATTTAGGAGAACGAAGATATCGTTTCTTGGATGCGGCCTCAAGTCAAGTCAGCAGATATGTTCTCTGTCGCTGCCGGTAAACTTCCTTAGCGAGACTTGAACTTTCAGAGCTGAGAAAGCCGTATAGAAGATGCTCGCGCGCTGGGTTCTTCTCCCAGCCCATCACAGCAATACTCCGTTCCATCATCACCCATCAGCAACTGGTCTCTATCCGACCACGAAAGAGCTTCTCCGTTTCCCGATGCGCCGGCCCATTTCGTTCCATCATCATCATTGTCAAAAGATGCTTCTTACCTCTCTGCACCAACTCCAGCTCAACGTCCTGTGACGGATCACACTCTTATTCTGCGGAGAGTGGCACGACCACCTTCTCCGCTGCCTGTCGGCTTGGGTCCATCTGAGGTCCTGGTTCCTGACTCGGACGCGTCTCAGTCGCAGTCGCAGTCGCAGTCGCAATTGCCGTCGCAGTCGCGGTCATATCCAGAGTCACAACCCTGCTCTCAAAACCAGCCGCAGCCGAAGTCGCAGCTCCCTGCAAGTCCGCAGTTTCCTATCGCGGCGGGACTTGTCGAGGTCGAGATGATCGATGCAGACGATGCACGAACCCAGGAATCTCTCTTCGGTCACCTGTCCGAGGAGAAGCTCCGGAAACAAGATGATGATCCGGGAATCAACATGGCCCGGTCTTCAACTTCGACTTTTTTGGTGTCTTTCGATGCACTGACGAAGACGGCTGCGACAATAGGATGGGAGCAGCTTTATACTGTTTATGCACGAATCTGACGCTTGCGATCCTACCAGTAGATTTTATAGATCACTTGAGCTTGTGCTCAGAGCATCTTTGATAAATTTGAGTGCTTCTATGTTTGCGACTGTTTCCATCATCCTTAACCGCTGACACCCAGTATTCCTGCCACTCGCAACGCTGTTCTCTCAGCTCCAATCAGCCAGTTCGCTCGCAGTCTGGGGCCTTGCCGCACTCCTTTCTAGAGGGCTCTCACTTCCTCTATTTTTGAGCGTCTCCCTAGGTGGTCTGAGCCTCATGTCGCTCAGAAAACCACTGGTCGAGTGGGCAGGGTTTCTGTATGCGAAGGGCGACTTTAGATCTGTCTTGTGCATGCTGGTCTGCTCTATAGTCCTCATAGTGCTCGGTGCGTTCACATCGTCCGCTTCACTTTCCTTTTGCCCGCATCGTCTGCGCAAAAAGGACTTCTTTTTCTCATCTCATCTTTATCCCGTGTCCCGACCTCTGCCGGCGGTTGAAGATTTCAGCCTCCTTTCGTCTCCCTCCATCCCAATTCTCATGTGTTATTGTCTGTCGATGTGCTAACACCCGCTTCCAGCCTATCTCACGAACCCATCGGAAAACTCGTTTCGGGCCTATCTTACTGAACAATCTTTTCGCTACCATCTGAGCCGTCTCGACGATACTGCAGACGATCCGGACGGGCGTGACAAGTCGAGCTCATCTCAGAGGCGAGACCACTCGACTTCTTCTCTCACAGTTCCTTTCGATCATGATTCCCCCTTTCACTTCGCCAATCGCGCATCAGTTTCGCTCCGCACTCCCAAGCATGTGTTCCACAGCTTCGGTATCTTCACCGTTGCTGCGATTGTTCCTTCGCGCGCGGATCGCTCGCGAAATGACAGGGATCCCAGCGCCGTTATGCAATCCTGGTTCTTTGGGGCTTTCGGTAAATGGTATCGAGGTGGCGTCTTGGATGCATGGTATCAGGACGTGGTTGCACGTTCGACGGATGAAGAGAGCTGGACTTCAGGGATCTGGGAATGAAGGCCATGGATAAACTAAACGAATATGAAGGTGATACTAATGCAAGTCTCCATGAAAACTTGTGCTCATCCATCTTTCAGGTCTTCCATTCTCTACCAAAGGTCTTCCCGTCTCCCGGTCACCTCCAAAGCTGAGAAACCGAGACAAATTGTCTCAGCGTTTACCTGCTCGCAGCTCGACACCGCCACCGCTCCCGAAATCGGCTTCTTTACCACTGCACACACCCCGACTCAGTCCCTCAGACCGCCAGAACCTGTCACAAGTGACCTTGTCGCCTGATCAGAAGCGAGTGGGGGCTCCCTCTTTGTCACGGTCGCCTTCTACTCTGTTCGACCAGTCTCCCCTCATTGCGGAGGTGCTACAACAGATCACGACATCGAAAGCATCCGTTCTTGAACTCCGTACACAACTAGCCGACTTCCAAGTCAGTGCGACTACCTCGCATTCTGCTCTTCAAGCAGAAGTCGATTCCTTTCGCGATAGAAAACGGCAGGAAGATGCCTCTCGTCTGGAACTCAAACTACGGACGAAGACGTTGGACGACTCGAAGCGGGCGGCCGAGAGTGTCAAACGAGAAGCTGACAAACGATACAAGGCGGCGGAAGCTGCTCGGGATGAAGCAAACCGGCGAATGGACTTTTTGGATAACGAAATTGCGCTTCTCACGAAACGTTTGGCTGAGGATCAATGCTTGATCTCGCAAAGCGATCCAGTCTCCGAGGCCGAACCTGGTATCGTCGGTGCATTAGAGGAACAGCGGCAGGAAATCAAGGTTGCCGAAGATGTTTTATCCGCACTCAATCTCAAGGCTCGTGAGTTGGAGGACAAGCTATCCAGCGAGCAGGAGCGTCTCAAGCTTGCTCGCGAAAGAGCTGAGCTCAGAAAGCAAGATCGCTCCTTCCAGCCGCATCACGCGCCGTCTTCCGGTCCTTGGCCGACTGTTCCACGTAATTTCTACGACTCCAGCATACTGAACAAGGAGAAGGGCGATAGTCCCGCTATGGAATCGCCAGCACGGCGTTCCTCTGACCCTAATGCTCTGCCGACGTCACCAAGACCAGCCAAGTTGGCGTTGGACAGCATTTCCAATCTCAACAGCAGACACACCGTTCATTCCTGGGCGAGAGCTTCTCGGTATTCCCACTTCGACGATACATTCTTGAACCAGCACTTGCCGCATGCTTTCAGCAACTTCTCTCCCTTTGGTGACTCGCACTCCCCGGCATTGATGTCACCGACCAGTCAATCTTTGATACCGTCCAGTCTGATCTCTTCGTTAGACAGCAGCGACGGGATTTCACGCTCGTTCCACTCCGACAGCGATCCCATTGTCGAGATGGAAGGCCGTCAGCTCGCTATCGACACCAGGAGCAGTCCCATCTTCGGACCATTGACTATGTCTCCTACGGCGCTGACTGGCCCGTCATTGGCCTCGCCCGAGGCTGCCATCAATTTGCCGCCGATCGCAATCGAGAAGCCCACCGGACGGCGGTGGTTCAGTGCACGGGATAAGGCTAAGAAGGGTCTGAACCCTGACGCGAAGGAGTTCAGTCTGCCGAGCAAAGCAGCGACGTTCGATGCACTAAATCCCAATGGACTTTCTGGGGCGAACATGATCGCACCCGCCTCGGCCACCCATTCCCTTATTCGTGCATTTGCGCCTTCGCCAGCCGAGCGTGAGGCTCTGCAACGGGCGTTGGGCGGGTCGACGAACACGAGTTTGGAGCGTTTGCCGAGTCTGGGGAGCATACCAGCTTCGCCAGCCCATGTGCCCGCCGTTGCAGCTGGTGGCGATGGTTTCCGGGCTCTTCCCTCGTGGCTGACATCCTTGCCTCGTATTCGCAAGCCCAATTTTAGTCCGTGGGACGATGAAGAAGTGAAAGAATAGTTGCTAGTTGCTAGTTGCAAGTAGCCCGTGTATTTGAGTGCTGTGGTGTGGGCACGTCTTGAAATGTAATCACAGAGTCCATGAAAAGTCGTAATCTTGATTGCAGGGTATGACTGATGCGTGATGTAAGTACTAAACTAACGAGGTAAAACCGCAAAGCGAAGACGGTGCCCGCTACTGGCCCCCGTCGAGAACCATTCGAACATCGGCAACCTCCGCAAGGTCAGCCAAGAACGGCACAAGGTCCGTCAATTCAGTGTCGTGGGGGTCAGTGAACCACGACGAGACTGGCACAGAATTATTAGGGTGGAAAATATACGACGCAGGCGAGTTGTCGATTATTATCGTGTCACCGATGGGTCTTCCAAGCTGCGACAGATCCTGTGAGATAAAACCGACTGGAATCAGCTGCGGGATCTTATCAAGCAGCAAAGCTCTGACCTTGACATAGTTACCCTTGTGGTTGTAACAGCTTTCACGGAACAATCGGTGAGACACGACTTGGTGAATGTCCAATTTGTCGAGCACGGGATCAGCGTACTGAACAATAGATCAGACGCGTTCATCCTGTCAGAAGCTGCTGCTCACCTTGCTCAAACTGGCTGTAAAGACTACGACCTCGTAGATTTCACCCATTTTCTTCAAAAAGTTGTCCACCCCGGGACGTTTAATCACGTAGACATTGTGCCAGTTGAATTCAATTTCAACAGGGACCACATAATCAGCTTGTTGTATGGACTGTGGACGGTATCAACGAGATGGCGGGTTATTCAAACCCAGCGACAGACCTTGAAGCTGCTGTGCACGAGCGTCTCATCCAAGTCCAGCACAAGGCATTTTCTGCCTACATGCTGCGGGGAAATGGGTGGCAGTAAAGGTTTAGGCATGCCATCCTGCTTAGATGAGCGGAGAACAAGGAAAGACGTGAAATATAGACGGACCGGTCCTATCGGAATACCCGCTCCTCCATTCAGAATTAGTCTGTCCTCTTCATCCTGTTCGTTCTCCAAAGCGTTCAAGTCGTCCAACTCCTCTTCATCGGTGAAACTAGTGTCTGTGTCTTCATCGCCAGTACATGTACCACAGAGTCACGTTTGCTTGGGGTATGGGGGTGATGGGGATGAAGAGCGGATTCACCGGTGCTGCCTGGAGCTTGTACGGAGCCAGACGTCAGGCCTTCCGTCTCATCCTGGGGTAAAAGAGAAACAGGCGTGGGAGGCGTCATGAGCTCGTCAACCGCTACCCCGGGGACAGTGATACTGAGCCTATTGGTGTCAGACTCGGGCTTAGTGTCTACAGCACTGGCAACAGGCTCGGGCGAAGCGGCAGATGTGGGTGGAGGTTCAACTGCCGGTAGCTTTTCATTTGGCTGTGACTCGAGTAGCTCGATTGGATGCGCCCGTGTCGACGGAGTAACACATGGTATTAATTTGAGAAGTTTCGACAAGAACGAAGACTTCGGTGGGGACGGCTTGGGAGTTCCATTCGAGGTTGCGGTCGGTGGCGATGACACGGGTGACGGTGCCCTGTCAGCCTTGTTTTCTGGGGGGTCGAGCGCTGACCCAGCAGACATTCCTCTAAGATATTTTGGTGGCACGACCAAGGAGAGTGGTACGTGTCGCCGAAGGGCGACGAGGAGGAAGAGAAAGAGTTGCTTGCGTCTTGTAGGGAGTCTGTACAACGTGCTGAATCAATCATCAACAAATAACATGTACAAATCGTGGTATCGTGATATCTTATTCCCTCTCCCGCCTCAAGTTTCCTTCTTAATCTCATATTCGTCGCCACCTCTGTTTCTGCTCCCCGTCTTCTCCGAATCTCTTATACGTGTTCCCCCACGGCCACCACCCATCATTCCCAACCACTCGCTTGTTGAACCAGAAGATTCTGTCGCACTTGTCGCTGGCTCCCTGTTAGTGTTTCTGTCAAACATGGAGGGCAGAGACACACGACGCATGCCGCCAACTCCTGTGCTATTGCCATGACTGCCGCTGTGCACAGGCCACTCTATGCCACCAAAAGAGCCTGTGATCTGTCTCTCGTCTTGATCGACGAGCGCAAAAGGATGTTCGCCTCCACGGTGTGGGGTCGGCCTTGACGAGGACGATGAACCTATTCCGCCATACTCCCCGTATCCAGGCGCTATGCTGCGCTGAGATGTGCTGCGCTGGTATGAATCGAACGATGAAGAGCTGCCGTACGCGGCGGATTGAGCCTGGGCGGACATCGGTGGATAATACGGTGCAGTGCTGGGGTATGTTGGACTGCTGACAGAAATACTTCGCAGCGGTGATGCGTACGAGTATGTGCCAGGTGACATCTCTGCAGGTGCGCGCCCTGTGGGCATCTGAGCGATGCGAGGTTTTTTGCTCGACGGCGAATGCCGGTCGTTCGAGAGAGGCAGCGAAGAAGACTGCGGCCGCTGATGCTGCCCGCTGCGTCTGTAGTCAATCTATCGTCTCGCTATCAGTCCGGATCGACCGCAGATGCGGGGCCAGCTCACATCAATATTGAGCGCGAGATCGCTACCTGCTTTGGAGCCGTCGCTTCGTCTCTTCGTTCCCAATCTGATGCCTTGGTCGTCGTCGTCGTCCTGGTCGTCGTCATCTCCATCTGCTGGGTCTTCTAGCTTTGCAGCTGCGTTGCCCGAAAAGTCAACCGGGCCGCGGGTATCTTTTTCGCCTTCAAACCGGACATGGCGCTGAACGACGTCGTGCACGTCCCCAGAGCAGTACTGATACAGTTTTACGTTGTGTCCCGGTCGTTGTTCTGCCAATACATCATGAATCTTATCATCTACCAATAAACAAGGACACACCGAATATAATGACGGCAACGTCAACTGAACACAGGACACCGCTAGACGCAATGAGCACTAGGGCTTATGGAACTGTCTGGGCTCGTACAGCTCATATGCCTTCTTGAAAAGTCCGTTTTTGCGCTGATGTGTCTAAAGTAAGCGAGCGAGACGGATGACCCATATATTTGGCATTCACTTTCAAAAAGGTAACCGACCGGTTGCGCTCATGCTTGATTTGCTCAGGTCAGCAGAGTGTACGAACTGGACCCGAGCACGCACAGTGATTGGGATTATCTCGATTTTTCGTCTGCCCATCGGGAGAGATGAAGGTGGAAGACAAGGGAAGAGAGTCGAAACGCCCGTTTACAGACTTGATCCCGGCGCACCTGCCGATGACATTATGACTACGCAGCACCGTGTTACTCTCCGCACACTACTGCCGCTGAAGTTTCCCATCTGCTGTGACGGGACTTCATATCCTCTCCGGACCTTCTGCGGTGAACTTAATGTTCTCCGTGGTCTAGATTCCAAATCTGAAGGCTCCCCGCAGTGCTAGTTCGTCCTTGCAGCAGGCTACGTTTCCTTCGGTCCTCGATCAGAGTTGCTGGAAGTGGTATGTTTGTTCCCATGTCTGTCGCAAAGGATCTACCCAGACCATGAACTTTCCCAGGCCCGGGTATTAGAGCGGCAAGTTGCATAGCACCTCGTGAACTGCCTTGCCCGTGGGATAAGACGCCAGCGCTGGTTATGTGCCGCTGATCTGCTGTCATGTTGCAGTACGATCCCCGTCCTGTGTTGCTTGCTTTGATCTTTTCCTAGCATGGCAGAGAAAGCGCGGTCTTCCTGCTGGCTCTGAGGCGACGGACTACACTTCTGGTCCTGCACACCTCACATAAGGCAAGTTTCTGCTTTGGGAGGCCCTCGACGGCTTGGCAAACGTATCACTTGACCAGCATGACAGACATGAGACTGCTACCGCCTACTCTTGCCGTCAGCCGGGTGCTTTCCTCCCCGCGGCGGAGTCCAAGGTGCGGGGCAAACTCTAGTCATGGTCAAAGCGTGCCCAGAGTATCCGGAAATGGCAATGCAATGATTTGCTTCCGCTGTCGATCGGCTCAGATTTAGACTGTTACCCGAGACACTGGCCAACATCTTGGCGCTCATTATAGCACCGATGATCGGTACCAGGATATCAGATTCGCCAGCAAGCAACAACTCTGAATTCCGTCGGCATTCATTCTAATACAGCGTACTTCTTCAAGTGTTCGGGAATAGCACTCTCCAGTCCTTTGGATTGCAACCAGGCTCTTGAGAACAACCGACTCTGATACCTGTAGGCACCGTCGCATAAAATGGTCACCACTGTCGAACCTTGCAAAGCCAATCAGACCACTGAGCAGATGACTGCGACGATCACACCTTTCCCTAGTTTCTGGGCGAGCTCGATAGCGGCAACGACGTTGAGCGCCGAGCTGGCACCAACATATATCCCCTCGGTGTCAAGCAGACTGTACACCATTGCAATGGACTGCTCGTCTGGAATAGTCATGGCGCCAGTGATGTCATTCACAAACGTCCCCAAGTTGTCGGTGATGCGTCCTTGACCGATTCCTGTTCGAAGATGAGCGCAACATCGGCAAATGTCCGCAGCGACGGACCTTCCGTAATCGAGCTCCCACTGCGCTCATTCAAGGTTCCTTTGCTCGAGATGTAGCTGGTCAAAACGCTGCCTGGGGGATCAGCCAGCCAGATCTGCGTCTTCCCAGCACTCTTCTCCTTCAAGTATCTCCCTACACCGGCAAGTGTGCCTCCGGTCCCCGTCGCACAAATGAATGCGTCCACATTGCCCGCAGTCTGTTCCCAGATTTCGGGACCGGTCGAAACATAGTGTGCGCCGGCGTTGGCGGTGTTGTCGAACTGGTCAGTCCAGATGGCGTTCGGAAGCGATTTCGCGTGGTCGCGCGCCTGATGATTATAGTTCGCGGGATTCTCGAACGCGACAGCCGGGACAGGATAGACTTCGGCACCCAGCATGCGCAACAGGTCGATCTTTTCCTGACTTTGAGTGTTGGGCATGTAGATGACACATTTGTAGCCCCTTGCCCGGCAAACATGTGCCAGACCGATCCCGGTGTTCCCCGCCGTGCCCTCTACGACTGTTCCGCCAGGTTTGAGACTGTATGCAGCGTGAGCTCGTACTCTGGCTGAAGAACACTGGCGGCGTACAGTCCCAAGTCTTCGGCATTTTTTACAAGGCCCAGTGCAGCACGATCTTTCACACTGCCCCCCGGATTCTGGAATTCGGCCTTTCCAAAGATTCGGGAGCCAGTTTGCTCTGAAAGGTGTTTAAGATAAACCTAAAAACAGCAATGGATGGAAGCAGTAGAGTGTGTGCACGAGAACGGTACGAACAAGTGGTGTATTTCCCACGGCACCAGTGAAGCCGTCCACGGTCGAGTGCGTCGCAAATGAGCGCCTCGTCGCGGAACGAAGCGCTGAGAACATGGAAAAGAATGACTAAGGAAGGGTGTCGGGTTCTAGAATGCGAAATTACCCTGAGCACGCAATCCGCTTGCGACAGTATCACGATCAGACTCGGTCTCCTCGGCTTGTGACAGAGGCGAATCGGCCAAATATGTATGTACGAATGAGTGGAAAAATGAATGCAGACCCCATCGAATGGGCAACAAGACAACGCCAGGGCGAGATAGACGGATGTAGCGAAGGCAGGATGTAGTTTGGAGGAGGCTAGTGGCAAATCGTTCGTACGCGTCATGTGGGCCGTGATATGAGTAGGAGACAAGGCGGGTAGTACCAGAGGGAGGGTATAGAAAAAGCCCTAAATAGAGAGAAGGGATTGCAATGCTGAATAACATCCAACTACTGCGGTCGCTTCTTCACATTCTGCGACAGCCACTGCAGTCCCTCGAACAATCCCTCGCCTGTCGTCGCACAGCTGTAGGAGAGTTGAACGGGGTAACGGAAACGCGGGGATAAAGGGGCGCACCTCGGGTGAACATACCACGAACGATCCTTCATCTTGTGTAGTCCCAGTTTCTCCGTTACTTCTGCTGGGGACATCGCTGTGGGTCATATTAGACGGGGAAATTGCGAATGACATTTTGACACACCTCCAGGCAGATCCTGCTTATTGGCAAAGACCAACAATAGACACTCCTTCATTTCTCGATCACTCAATATGCGATGCAATTCTTGCTTTGCCTCGTCGAGACGTTCGCGGTCCTGGCTATCTACCACAAACACCAGGCCCTGAGTCCCCGTGTAGTAGTGTCGCCAGAGGGGACGGATCTTGTCCTGGCCACCCACGTCCCAGACATTGAATTTCACGTTCTTGTACGTGACTGTCTCGACATTGAATCCAACTGAACAAAGAGGGCGTGAGTGAGGGTAGTGGAGAACAAATACGGTTCTACTTGCCAGTGGGGATTGTGGTGACGGATTGGTTCAGCTTCAGTTTGTAGAGGATGGCTGAGATAGATGTGTGAGTAGAGAGGCGATACGTGGCGACGCGTTCACGGACTGGTCTTTCCAGCTGCGTCCAGTCCTAGCATGAGGAGTCTCATCTCCTTGTTCCCAAATATCTTGCCTTGCCCTGATGAGAATGTGGTACGACGGCGACAGAGAACGAGAAAGTACCAAGAGCCTTGGACAGATTAGCACCCATTGTGAGTTGGTTTTCTGTAATAAAATGCGGGTGGGCGGAGGCGATAAAGGAGCGACGTGAGCGGTTATGCGCCGGGCGAGAATGTGGTTAGGAAATCGAAAGGGACAGGCTAAACAAGTACAAATTTGCATTTCATAGTCAATCGTGTTTGCTCTCAAAGACCTCGTCGAGTGTCAAATCAGAATGAAAGCTGTAAGTAGTCACCATCCGAATGGAAATATACGAGCATATAGTAGTTTATATCATGAACTCTGGCGAAAAACCTTGAGCCATCCGTCACCCATGTCCTTCTTGAGAGCCTCAATCCGCTGTCGGTAGAGCTCAACGCTGTCCTCGGGTTCGCCTTCGCCTTCCGGAAGAGTAGTCCCTGGCTCGAACACGGAGGCTGTGACTCTCTTCCGTCGAGCAGCACTCTTCGACGAGAGGGTGGCAGAATTGCGCGTCTGTCGGTAGGAGGATGGGGCCATCGGGGAATCGACAGCGGGCTCAATCGCGGTCGGTGATGCCTCAGTTTGATGGCGGGTGTGACGTGGCCTGCGAGGCATTGTTCCAACATTGGATGACGCAGACAGATGTGCGCCTTCTTCAGCAAGAGCACCGAACTGAGACCAACCGCTGTTACTCGGGATTTGTAATGAAACCGGATCTACCGCTTGGACCTTGACCCGGCTACTCGAGCCATCGGACTGCGTTCGAATGTGTGACGTGCCACGAGACAAGCCGCCGCCGCCGTCGCTGTCCCCCGCATCCAGATCCACGATCCGCTTGAGCTTACGGCGAGGCTTCGAAGTGACCACACCCACAGCAGCGAGGTTAGGTGAGGCCTCGGACGAATGCGAAGCTGGAGAGGTGCTGCCATGAGCATGGGCGTGGCCGACTGCAACGACCGGAGGTGAGTACGCTGCCGAAACAGGCCGCGAGGAAAACATTTGGGCTGGTGGCGGAACGCTTAGATTTCGTTTCTCGTAGAAACCAGGTGCAGAGCCATCAAGGGAGACGGTCTTGCCCTCCTTCTGGAAGTATTCAAAGCATGTAACGCGGTAGCCTTCCTCAAACTCCACCAACGGATTCCCGTCAACCCAAATCTCCTGAATGTTTGGAAGAGCAGCGAGACGCCCTATTTCGGCAGATTCATCGATCAAATTATGCCGCAGGTCGATGCGTTCCAATGCTGAAAGTCTCTCCAGACCACATAGCGATTCCAGTCGGTTCCGCGCCAGGTTCACGTACAGGACCTGGCCGAGCTGCTGATAAATGCCCAAGACAGAGTCGATCATGTTATCCGAAAGATTCAGGGAAACCAGATGGTATAGAGCTGAAAGATTGGGAGGCACCGAGACGAGAAGATTGGAAGACAGATCGAGGTGTGTTATGGATGTTAGATACGGAATGCATGTCGAAGGGAAGAACGTGAGGCTGTTGTCAGACAGGGAAAGATGCCTCAGAAAGGCCCATTTGAGCGCGGACAGTTCTGTTGGTGGGGGAGGTGAGTGGGATCCGCTCTCTCCATCCGCGGTTTCCATATCTTCTTCCGGAACTGTATCCGGCAATCGAGCTGAATACATCGACGGAGCACGAGCTGAACTACTGGGAATCCGCCGCCGCCGTTGTCGGCTTGTACTGCCAGAACGCCTCGCTTGATCATCGAGGACAGCTCCGATAAAGATATCAGATACGTCCTCCAGTCCACTCTTCCGGATCTTGAGAGAACGCAGACTCTCGGCAAGCCGGTCCCATCCTAGCAAAGCTCGCGGATCTATATCCACGCACTCCAGGCTTGGAGGTTGCGAAAAACGTCCAAGGGCAGTGCATTCTCATTTGGGGTTCCGACTCGAGCTCGGCGATGAGCTTGCTAGTCGGTGGTGTGACTGAGAGCGCCGGCAGCTTCGTGAAGCTACTGAACAGATATTTGAGCTCGGATTCCAGACTAGGTGGCTCCGGCCTTCCCCACCAACCGCTGCCGAGAGACAGACCGGAGACTGCCGAGAGACTGGACCTGAATGACGCCAAGGACAACGTTTCCGACTTGTCAGGATGAGCATTAGGAAAGAGGTTGATGAAGCTCATAGGACGCGAGGGATTGTCGATGCGGACATCAAGGGTGCCCACATCAAGACCCTGCCCTTCGATGCGCATGAGGATATAGAATAGATGGTGGGTATCGATGGAAAGAACGAGGGGTGCCGGCTGGGCGGGACCCTGTTCGCCGAACCAGGAGAAAGGGTTGTAGAATGTCATAGTTTGTTCCAAATGTAGTGAGCGACGACGCCGCGATGGAGCAGCTGCAGCGGCCAGAGACTGTTCATTGGTCCTGATATACGTTGCAAGCCAACGGACGTAGTCGTCGCCCTTCATTCTTCGAGAGAGCGTGAAGATAGGGAGGCGGAAAGGGATGAAGGCTTGGGTCTGGGCGTTCCAAAGACCCCAGTGAGCGAACTTCGCGTTGCTGGTAGTAGTTGTGCGTAGATGTAGTGGAAAGCACCGTAACTGCACTGTTAGCGCCTGTTAGCTCACTTTGATGTGTGATGGGGATCACGTAAGTGACCCACATACGCGTCTCTCTCTTTTCATCTCCCCCACATTCACGCCACTGGAAACTGAAATCACAGCGTCCAATGAAGATCACGATCAAGACCACTCAACAGAAGGTCTTTCAGCTCGATGCCGAGCCGACGGACACTGTCGCCGATCTCAAGGCTCGCATCCAGGAAGCTCATGGACATCCCACCGCGTCCCAGAAGGTCATCTACTCTGGAAAGATTCTGGCCGACGACAAGACTGTTGAATCATGTGGCATAAAAGAGAAAGATTTCCTTGTTCTTATGGTCTCCAAGGTCCGCGATCATTACATCTTCTCATCGTGGCAGGTAATAATTAACTGTTGCATTAGCCCAAACCAACTCCCACTCCGATGCCCGCTGCATCAACAAGTACGCCTGAGGTCACAGCCCCGGCGCAACCTGCTCCTGCCACTGCTGCTGCTCCCGCTGCGCCCACCACGGCAGAAACCGCTGCCGCCCCTGCGCCCGCTGCCGCTTTCGGCACTGACTCGTCATTCTTGTCCGGCGACGCCCTTCAATCCACGATTGCCAACATGATGGAGATGGGATTCACACGAGAAGAGGTGACTCGTGCCATGCGCGCTAGCTATAACAACCCCGATCGTGCTGCCGAATATTTGATGACCGTAAGTCTCCCTTCTGTTTTTGATGAAGAGACTCTCAAGCTAATCATCTCGCAGGGAATCCCTGCTCACCTTGAAACCACGACCGCTGGCGGACCTCCTGCTGCTCCTGCTGCTGCTCCTGCTGCACCGGCTGCAGCTGCTCCCACTACTGCTGCACCTTCTGGACCTCAAAACCTCTTCCAGGTATGTTTTCTTCTCGACTACGATTCTTCGACACTAAAATGCTTGATTCACAGCTTGCACAGCAACAGCAGCAGCAGCAGGCCACTGTCGGCGCTGGTGCCGGTGCCGGTGCTGGTGGTGCTGGTGCTGCAGCGGCTCAACTTGATCTCGCCGCATTGCAGAACAATCCTCAGATTCAGCAGTTGCGAGAATTGATGGCGCAAAATCCGGCACTCATCCAGCCGCTCATCCAGCAGTTGGGCTCCCAGAACCCCGCCCTGCTGCAGATCATTCAAGAGAACCCTGCCGCAGTGGCAAGGTTATTCGGCGTTGATAATAATGAGGGTGACGACGACGATCTGCCCCCTGGCGCACAGGTTGTCAGTGTGACGGAGGAAGAACGGGCCGCGATCCAACGTGTACGTCACTCAAAACTGATCCAAGAATCTTCCTGACGGCCTACTTTGTAGCTTGAGGGCTTGGGCTTCTCAAGAGAGGCTGTCGTTGAAGCTTATTTCGCCTGCGACAAGAACGAGGAGCTTGCCGCCAACTTTCTTTTTGAAGGTGGCTTTGAAGAATAAGGAGACGACATCTGTACACACTGTATTTGCTACTTCCTGATCTGATAAATCCCACTCTCCCCTATTATTTCAAATTGCTCGAGTTTGTCCGAGGACTGCCAAAATTCAATTGTTCAATCGGTCCTGACTCCTCGGGTTCCCATGGCCGGATCACATAGTTTGGCATGCTGTGCTAAAGCGGTGATCAAGCCTCTGCTGGAATAATGATGGTTGTCCGTTCACCGCCTCGTGTGTCTCTTCCAACCCTCTCCGTCTCGTCGTTGTCTGTCCTGGTGAAATCTTAGATGACCAAAAGCCGCCCTGTCTGGAGATGCGTCGGTCTGGCACTTCTCTTAACCTCGACAAGCGCGCAGATCACGCTTCCTTCTCAAGACAATGTGACTGACTACGCGCCGAGCGTAAACGTGCAATGCCCCGATTTCTCGACGACCAACCTAGTTCGCGAATTTACGCCACAAAACCAGACGCTCCATCCGGCAGAGATCGAATTTGTCAACAAGCGTCTGAACACGACTGTGCAGGACGCTTGGTACGCGTGGCTGAACGGAAGCGCACTTGGCTACAACATCTCGGCTTTCACGGTAACTTTCCGAAAGTTGGTATTGCGATACCCGGCGGTGGTTTGAGAGCGGCTCAGTACGGGGCCGGATGTTTGAGCGGTGCGCACCGGAGATCGGCGTGGTGGGGGTGATCCTGATATAATGCCAGCTCTCGATGCAAGGAACGAATCTTCGAAAGCTGCTGGAACAGGTGGACTGCTTCAGGCTGCATCCTACATCACCGGTCTCTCAGGTGTGCATTATTCCTCATATCGACTGTGACTATTGAACTTGGTAGGTGGTTCGTGGGTTACGGGGTCATTGCTTTTCAACAACTGGCCGACCATCAAGGACCTCATCTACGGCAACGACAGCCTGGGTCTAGACGGATGGAAACTGGACTTGCCCTTCGCCTCGCCGGATGGGCTCGATGTCTTTTCTCAGAACAATCAATACTTTTATGGCAGTATCTTGTGGAGTGTATTCTCCAAGGCCGCCACTGGAGTGTTCGTCCTCTCCTATCTCTTGTCTTCTCCGTCGGCACCGACTGATTCATTACACCTACAGCGACACGAGCATCTCGGATCCCTGGTCGAGAATGATTTCGTATCACTTCCTCAACCAAACCACGCGGTCGAATTTCTTCACGAACAAAACTGCGCACGGTGCTGGGCAATTGTGGTCCGACATTCCCAATATTCCTGCTGTCCAGCAGGGTTTGGCCCCGTTTCCCATCCTGGTCACGGATTCGCGTCCTGCGTCGCTGAACACCACCGTCGCACTGACTTTGGACCCCACCGTTTATGAGGTGAGGTTCTGCGGCCACGTCCTTCTGCAGGGGCTGAGCCGGTGACAGATCTCGCCTTTCGAATTTGCCTCTTACGACCCAAACCTGTCTGCGGGAATGAATCTCACCTACGCAGGGACTCATCTGACAAACGGCAAGGCAGCTAACGGCTCAGCCTGTGTCACAGGCTTCGATCAGGCTGGGTTCATGATGGGAACCAGCGCCAGTTTATTCAATGTGTGTCACATTTTCAGGTTATGTTTTGTCAGATCGGTCCTTGAATGAAACATATCCCACAGCAAATATTCGACTTTGCAAATAACGAACTGCAAGGCTTTGACTCAGCGGACAGCCACACATTCATCTATCTGCTACAGAGACAACTGCGATCTGTACGGACCAGACAAGATGATGTTGCCAATTGGCCGAATCCATTCAACGGCCTCAAAAGTGCTACGTACGACGATAGCAGCTCCACTTGGCTGTCTCTCATTGACGGGGCATCCAATGGGGAGAACATCCCATACGGTCCCCTGTTTGTCAAGGCACGTGCTCTCGACGTTATCGTTACTTTGGAGAACAGTGCCGACGACCCGAATACCTGGCCCAAGTATGTATCATCACTCAAATGTCTCGTCTTGTCTTATGAGCCTGGCAGTGGGTCGAGCGTGCTTACAACCAGTCAGCGGCTATCGACTATTTTGCGGGCATCTCATCAGCAATTTCCTCCGATTCCTCAGAGTGCGAATGATTTCATCTCCACGGGAGTCCGCCAGCGTCCGACTTTCTTCGGCTGTGATCCAAGTCAGACTCCACCAGAATATCCCTTGGTCATTTATCTGCCCAATTCCCCTCCGATTACGGGCGACGACCCAGTTACCAAGTAGGCCACATGTTTGGGGCATGGATGCCGCTGATTCTGTATAGTTCTGCAACTTTCAAGCTGAGCTATCCGAGTTTGCACACTCGGCTGTTTCTGGACCAAGTCCATCTCAATACAATATCGGGTTTTACACCCAATGCCAACACGCCGGATCCCAATTTTGGCCTTTGCCTGCAGTGTGCAAGCATTGACCGATCACGGATGAAGATTTCTCCCACACCGTCTCGCTCCGAAATCTGTGCCCAGTGTTTCAAGCAATACTGTTACGATCCCCAGAATCCTCCGAGTGTTAGCGAACTGCCTAATAGAAAGCTGGTGTTCAAGGACCCCACACCCGAAGGCCTCAGCAAAATCACCGGCTTCTTAGGGACGAATAAGCTCAAGCTCGTCGGAGGAGCTGTGGGTCTGTTTGTGTTCATCGTTGTGTTGTGTGTCAGCCTGTGCGTCCACGTGTTTGTTCGGCTTTGTGTTTACTTTCTGACACTCTCCAGCATCTGGTGGAAGAGACGGAAAGACCGAAAAATCCAGTACAGCCAGGTGTCCAACTTCCACGAAGACGACGGCGACTCTACGCGTCTCTGGCGAAGATCTCATCAGCCATATTCAGACTATCACGCCGAGCAATACGAACTGCCCACCCAATCAGGCCACAAGAGGCCTGGCAGTCTATCTACTCTCACGTAGTCGCATTCTATGTCTCTCCTGAATTCCTGCATCTGGGTCTGTGTGTGTATCCTATTTGTGTAATCTCTAGAGCTCTCCCCATAATTGGACTTCATATCAGTTCTTACCATTCACGTGATGGCGTCGCTCTCTGAATTTCCCGTACACATTACTAGTCTAGAGATGCACGCCAGCCCCCATGGCTATTCGCACGATTCTCCGTCCAGCAGCTCTCTTTATATTCCTAGAGACAAAAGGTCTCTCCCTCTCAGTCAACGAAGTGTTAACCAGCAGTCGCGTCCCAATGCCCAGTACATACCGGCTCACAATCCTTCGCTTCTTTTGCCTTCTGTCAGCCAAATGACGCGTCGTCAGCACAGACCTTGTCCGTCCACTTCACCGCGCTGTTGTCTCTGCTGAATGTAGGTGACAAGCACGCGTGCCACTCGCCGACTCCTCTCCGATCTCAGCTAGACGCATGACCTCGTCGAACATCCCCTCCAAGACTGCCCAAGTTACCCCCTATGCATGGCAAGAGAAAGAACGATCCAGTAACCGCCGTTTTGCAGCAATGAGCGCTGGGAATCGGTCTTCCAGCTATCAAACCGTACGTCCTGATCAGCAAGCATACACGAATCAAGACATTCGCAGGGAGTTCGAACTGAGGTATTTGACTGCGTGCCTATTGGATACCACGGTGAAATTGATCTTTTCACTCTGATGCTCCAGTCATTCTGGATCTGAAGGAAGAAAAGCAGCTAGGAAAAGCGAAGGATTGTCTCAAATCAGCTCTGACACTGGGGACGATCAAGACCAGCACGACCAATACAATAGTGGTCACGATGACATGCAAGCTTCCGAAACGGAGGATTCGGAAGATACTCTGGGCTCCGATTCCGGCTCAGATGAGGATCAGGAGGAACCCGACGCACTCGACCATGGAAATGAGGAGGAAGATCGTGACTCAAGAAGACCAAGGCATCCAACACAAGTGGCGACACTCGAGCCTCCCGGGGAGCTTCTCGATGCTATCCGGTCACTCGTGGAACCCGTGGCGTGTATGCAAGCTGTAGGCCACCTACCCTTCCTCAGGCGCACTCTACGGCTTGGATCCTATATCACTGTCGAAAAGCGGGGGTGTCGACCGAGCGCGCAAAGTTGCCAAAGACTATGAAGGTCGTCTTCAAGAGAGAAGATTCGCAGAACTTCATCCATTCATCGCAGATAGCATCATACGAGTGCCCACTTTGCAATCTTCATGATCCATTCCCAAACGACAAGGTTCTTACAAGACACCTCAACTTGGACCATGACGAGATTGGGACGAGATGGCTCACGATAGAAGGGCAGGCATGTGGCCACCTCTAATCGGGTTCGCGCTTACACATGAGCGTTGCAGGTCACACTGGAGCTGACGTTTACCGAGGAGAAAGCGGTCGATGAACATAGCCACGTTCAACAGGATGAGTCAGAGCTGCAGATTTTCGTCGAAGAGGCGCTGCAGAATCCGTACGGACCGACCGCGCGAGCACCTTTCTGGCCAATGAAATCCGAGTTTGGTGGCCCCGACATCACTAAACGACCTCCTAGGCTCGGGGGCCCCCGGATTTACGATCTTCTCAATTTGCTCCCCATGGGGTCCTTTGGAGTACTTTCATGGGCGGTCATTGATAGAGAAGAGGAAATCTTTGAGAGCGACGACATTTTGGATGAACACAAGGTCATGCACGCTCTCTGGGCACGATGGATTTTTCTCAATCGGCAAGCCATCATTGGGACCAGCATTTCATGAAATTGACGTTAGGCAGGAACGCTTTCGTCCGGGACTACTTCCAGGGAACCAAGACGTTCATCGACGAGTATTGGAAGATGATCCGCCTCGCTGCTGGTTGGGATGCATTGCGATACTGGCTGATCGTGAGTGACACGATAAGCCTCCCTCTAAGGGATCTGAACCGATTTAGCTTTTGCTCGCTTCAAGATACATCACCGGGGAAAACGTAGCAGACTTGTTGAAGCATTACGAGAAGTGGTGTGATGATTGGTAGCATAGTTTCCACTTATCTTATCAGTACGCACTTTTGCAAACTCCATCACGTGGCACGCGTTTGTGACAGTAACACCAATACTCTCAACTGCACCATCCACCATGCCCCCGCGACGTTCATCGCGTTCAGCGCGTGCGTCAGTCGAGCCCTCTGAAGCACCTACTTCAAAGCGCAAGCGGCAAGATCCTACCGAGAAAGAGAACAAACTTCGCGCGAAACAGTCGCGCTCCAAGCCCAAAGACCTCGAGGACATTCCTGAATCTGACGTGGACGAGAACGAAGAAGAGGACGGGCACCCTCCAGTTAAGAGGCCGCGACCATCTCTCGAACGCGAGAGTGATGATGAGAACGAAAGTCCTGTGCCGAAGCGACGCAATGCCAAGGCTTCTCACAACACAGAGGAATCGAGGACGCGCCGGGGCAAGCGCGCGCCAGCCAAGACGCTTGCCATATCCTCGGATGAAGAGGAGGAGGCTGATTCAGAGGTGGAGACCAAGCCCAAGCCCAAGCCGAAACGTACCGCGGCAAACAAGTCTCGGCCCATAGTCGCTGATTCCGATGAGGATGATGTTGGAGCACCTGCATCTGGGTCTGAGGAGGAAGAGGATGAAAAGCCAAAGAAGAGTAACGGTCGACGTGCGAGCACGACCAAAGCGAAGTCCAAATCCAAATCCGCTCCCAAGTCGAAGAAGCGCGCGTCTGTAACTCCTGCACCGTCTCACTCCGACGCCGAACTCGCATCCTCGACAGCCAGACCACCTAATGCGGTGCCGGCTATCCAGGAGGAAGATGAAGATGAAGACGATGACGACGCGGGGCCTCTTCTCGATGACCCACTCCCAATCTCCATCACTGTCCCTGTCGCGCATCCTGTGGTCGAGGAGCCCTCGGGACCGAAATCCAGATTGGTCATCCACAAGATGGCGCTTGTCAACTTCAAAAGCTACGCTGGGCGCCAGGAAATCGGTCCCTTCCACAAGGTATACTGACGCGTCGTCCTTTCCTATTCGATCTAACCCATTGGTATAGAGTTTCTCCGCAATTGTTGGGCCCAATGGTTCTGGGAAATCTAATACCATTGACGCTCTGTTGTTTGTCTTTGGGTACCGTGCTTCCAAGATGCGCCAGGGCAAGCTCAGCGAATTGATCCACAACTCGGATCGTTTCCCTGATCTGGACGAATGTAGCGTAGAAGTGCATTTTCGGGAGATTGTTGACCTGGTAGGTCTCCTCATGTTTCCGAGTTCGAGTATTCAGAAATCCACCGTAGCCTGGCCCGGACGCTTATGAGGTTGTGCCAAATTCTGAGCTTGTTGTAACCCGCACGGCGACCAAGAGCAACAGCAGCCGGTACACGATCAATCGACGGACGAGTACTTTCACGGAAGTTCAGACGCTGCTCAAGGGTCGGGGGATCGATCTGGACCACAAGAGGTTTCTAATTCTTCAGGTGTGTGCTACTGCTCTCACCGGACAGCTGAAGCCAATGTGCGATCAGGGTGAGGTCGAGTCAATCGCTCAAATGAAGCCTAAGGGCTCAACGGAACACGAAGACGGCCTGCTCGAGTATTTGGAGGACATCATCGGAACCTCCCATTACGTCGAACCCATTTCTGAATCGCTGACTCAGATTGAGGTCTTCCAAGAGGAGCGCGGATCCAAACTGAATCGACTGCGAATTGTTGAAAAGGAGAAGAATTCCCTAGAAGAACAGAAGAAGGAGGCCGAAAACTACTTGCGCCTGAAGAACGACAAGGCCCTAGCGCAGAACAAGCTATGGCAATGGGCTTTGTGGAAGTCTTTCATAGCTGAAGAAGAGAGCCAGCGCAGTGTGGTGAGTCTCAGGACCCGCACGGGACGACAATCTCTGATCCGACCAGGCACAATTCACAGAGGAGCTCAAGGCCGAGCAGGACCGAAACAAGGATGACCGGCAACATTTTGAAGCTCTCCAAAAGCATCACGCTGAGCGTCAGGCGGCGTATAAGAAAGTACAGGAGACCGCATCGGCCGCCATCCAAGAACTAGCAGGCTACGAGAAACAGCAGATTCAGCTGAAGGAGAAGTTGAAGCATTCCACTGCAAAGGACAAGAAGGCGAGCAAGTCTTTGGCCGAGGACAAAGCTGCGCACGCGACGGCCGAGCGTACGATCGCTGAAAGCACCAACAAGATGAAGAAGAAGCGTATCGAAATGGAGGAACAGGAGGCCAGTCTTGCCCAAGAGGAGGCCAAGCTTGAAGCGATACAGGACAGCCTGAAAGGCGAGTTGACTGCTTCTACTGAGAAACGTTTTCTTAACGCGTTTGTTCTAGATAAGACACAGGTGTTCCATGACCAGATCGAAGCCAAGCAGAAAGATCTGCAGCCTTGGACAACGAAGATCAACGCCAAAACAGCAGCGATTAATGTAGCGACGAGCGAGCGAGATGCTTTGAGCCGGAAGGCGCGAGATTTGGTCGAGGCTTTGGAGTCGGCCGATAACGACCTGCAGCAGTTGAAGAGAGATCAAGATGAGAAGGTGCGCTACAGGTGAATCGTCAGGCGTGCATTTTCTTACTTGGCTTTCGCAGCACGAGCAACAGGAAACACTCAAAGCGGACAAGAAAGCGCACCAAGCGGCAATTGCCAGTACGGAACAGAAGCTGAAGGCGAGCAGCATCTTGTATACCTTTATGTGCAAACTAAATTGAGATCAGGACGCCCAAAAGTCGGCACAAGAATTGCGGTCGCAAGCATCTTCGGCTCGCCACAAGCTAAACGAGGCGCGGAGCACTGTTGCAGAGAAGACATCTCAGAACCGAGTTGTGGATGGGTTGAATCAGTACAAGAGCTCAGGACGCATCCCTGGATTTCATGGGCGACTGGGCAGCCTGGGAACGATACCGGATAAGTACGACATTGCGGTTTCCACTGCGTGCGGGGCGCTGCATAACATGGTTGTCGATCACGTGGAAGAGGCCCAAAGTGCGATCCAATATCTCCGACAACACAACCTCGGGAGGGCGACATTCATTGTGTTGGACAAATGCAATCAGGGTGGAATGGACCCGATCCAAACTCCAGAGGGCGTCCCTCGCCTATTCGATCTGATCACTCCAAAGGAACCCCGCTTCGCCAAGGCCTTCTACAAAGCTTTGGCCAACACCCTGGTTGTCGACAACCAGGACCAAGCAAACCGGATTGCGTTCGGTGGCAGACAGCGCTGGCGGGTGGTCACGCTCGCTGGACAGCTGATCGAATCGACGGGTGTGATGTCTGGAGGCGGGAACTCGCCTGCGAGGGGTGCCATGAGCTCCAAATTGGCACCGGATGCCATTTCACCCGAGGCTTTGCAGAGGCTGGACCAGGAATGCGCTCAAGTGGAGCAACGGCTAGAGCGAGCCACCAGGGAAGCACGCGATGCCGAAGCTGCGCTGGACCACGTCAAGCAACAATTGCCTGAGACCGAGACGGCATTCCAGAAACTTGGACTGGACATCGAGATTGGCAAGAACCGCATCACAGAAGCCAGCAAGCGCCTATCCGAGTTGAAGTGAGTGACATCCATGAACTAGTGTCGGACATTTGCTCATTGCTTCGCAGATCACAGAATAAACCCAACTCGGCTGATCTCACCCGCGCATCCAAGCTGGATAGTGAGATCGAACGTACCCAGGCCGATCTCAACGACCTTCAAGGTAAGGCTTCCGGCATCGAACAGGCTATAGCCGAACTCGAGGAGAGGATCATCCAAATCGGCGGATCGAAACTACTTGCCCAGAAGTCGAAAGTCGACGGTATCAAGCTGCTGATCAATCTCGCCAACGAAGAGATCACAAAAGCGGAGGTTGCCAAAGCCAAAGCGGAGAAGGACGTTGTCAAACTTGCGCAAACCATCGAATCGAACTCAAAGATCAAGACGGAAGTCGATGCTGAGCTGGAAGAGCTCGACCGACAGGTGGACCAGTTGACGGATTACATCAATACGCAGCAGAAGAACGTTGACGAGGCGAAATCCGCTGCCGAGAACTGCAAAGATGATCTCGATAGTGTCAAACAGTCTTTGGAGGAGAAGGAGGAGGAGATACAATCTTTCAGGCAACGCGAGGTCGCGATTGAGACGAAGCTCGATGAGGCGCAACGACTTTTGGATGAGAATGCGGCAAAGGTCGAGCATTGGCGCGAAAACCTGGAGACACTGGTGCTGGAAGAGATCGAGTATGTCGTGCGGTTTGAGATTCACACCGTTGTCTGATGGCATGCAGGGACGACGACGACGAAGACGAGGAGGGCAACGAATTCAACGACAAGGAGAATGCACACAATGCCGCCAAGGTCAAGTCGACGAACCAAGAGCCGGCCACCGCCGATGAAGACGTCAAGATGGAGGATGACGGTCTCAAGTTGGACGACGAGGGCCCGAGTGAAGAGGGTGCCACTAACGGGCTTCCGAACTACCGTGTCGAGGAGCTGGCCAAGTTCAAACAGCGGGAAATGAACATCGCCGTTGAAACCCTCGATGGTGCGTAGATGACTCGAGCTTATTCCTTCTTGCTGAGGTAAAAGTCAGACCAACTGAAGCGGATGAAACCAAATCTCGAAGTTTTGGAGGAATACAAGAAAGTGGAGCAACTGTATCTCGCCCGTGCCCAGGATGTCGAGGAGACGACCAAGTTGCGAGACGCGGAGAAGGCGAAGTACGAAGGCCTCAGAAAGCGGCGACTGGACGAATTCATGACCGGGTTCAGCCTGATCTCCCTCAAGCTGAAGGAGATGTACCAGATGATCACACTCGGTGGAAATGCTGAGCTTGAGCTCGTGGATAGCATGGATCCTTTCTCCGAAGGCATCATCTTCAGTGTCATGCCTCCCAAAAAGAGCTGGAAGAACATCTCCAATCTGTCTGGGGGAGAAAAGGCCCGTGTTCTCTCGTTTGTGTTTGAAGCTGCAAGCGCTGATGGATTTACAGACTCTGAGTTCTCTTGCCTTGGTCTTTGCTCTGCACGTCTTCAAGGTGCGTTTGTCTCAGTCGATGGCCACCCCAATCTGATGGCATATGGCCAGCCCACACCTTTGTACTTTATGGACGAGATTGACGCTGCGCTTGACTTCAGGAACGTGTCAATCGTCGCCAACTATATCAAGGACAGAACAAAGAACGCCCAGTTTATCATCATCTCCCTGCGGTTTGTGCTTTGCTGCCTGATTGACTGCTGCTCACGTGCTGCTTCAGGAATGATATGTTTGAGCTTAGTCATCGATTGATCGGCATCTACAAGACAGCGAATGCCACTCGCAGTGAGTTTGGTGGACGTTCACTGACTGCGGTTCGCTGACAATCTTCGAGGCATCTCCATCGACAACCATTCTCTGAATTCTAGCATTGTCAAAGCAGTATAGCCTGTGTATGTAAGATACGATAATATATGCTCATGATATCTGGTTTAGTGAGGCCAGCGGTGGACGGCCGACCCGAGTGATCGTTGTTCGCGGCTTGCCTTCTACAGGCGCAGTCACTGATTTGTACATCTCCAGCTCATTAGTAAGCTCCACTGTGTGTGTCTTGGCGGACTCCAACTCGACCACAGTCGAAACCAGTTTCTGCGGACTATCAGCCCACGGATCAGACGTCTGTGAACGAGCGATCGCACCTGTTTTGTCTCGGCCAATTCTCGTCGTATCCGGTCAAGATAAACAATTCTCTGAGCCGGATTATTGTGGCCAAGAATCTCAGCATTGAATTTGCTGAGCCGTTCCGCTTCGCCTTCTGCCAACTCATTTCGTGCGACGAGAGACTGGATCTCCTCCGAAAGCTTGTAGTACGCTTGCTGGAATTGTTCGCTTTCTGCCAGCTCGCCAGCCATTCTGTTCAGGATCGATGTCAACCCGGGACAATGACTACGAGATAGATACTCACGTGTCAATCTCGGCGCGCAGACCCTCCTCAGTCATGCGATTTCGTCTGAAAGTCTCGGTCAACTGCTGCATCGCCTTCTTGTCCGCCAGAGAGCGCTGTTCGTAGACCCTCATCTGCTGTTCGAGTACCGTCTTTTCTGTCTCGATTGCGGAAACTTCTGTCTTGAGGGCCTCGAACTGCTCGGATAAAGAATCCCTTTCTTCCTGGAGTATGTTCTTTTCTGTCTCGAAAGCCATTTGTCGATTGCCCAGCTCTGACAGTTGGACTCGTAGCCACAGTTGTTCTGCGTAGACATCCAGATACGCTGTTGTCACATTCTCGCGCTGCAGCCGGTCGAGTGTAGTCAGAGACTCCAGAGTGGCCAGCTCGATTTGCAGGCGCTCCACCTCAGATCGAGCCAGGTCCACCTCAACCAGTGCCGCGATTTGAGAAAAATCTTCGATAGATGGCGGGCTCCCAATCGATCGTCGCTGGCTCGAAGATATTCAGTCTCTCGCTCCAAATCGGCAACCCGCTGCCTGAGCAGCTGAATGCGCTCTTGGCTCTGTCGGATCAAGTGGGCAAGCTCGGCGACTTGGCCGTCAGAATTCGCGAGCTTGCGCTCTAAACGAAGAGCTCGAATGTGAAGAACTTCATGATCGTGTTTGAGCTTGACATGAGCGATGGCCGATACGGTGGTGTCCAGTAGACGACGATAGTCTTGTGCAGCTAGCGCAAGTAGCCTTCGATGTTCCTCTACCTGGTTCAGCAGGTCCGCAGATCCGTCTGCTGCATCGGCAACATGTTGTTGGGCCTCTTCAAGCTGTCTCTGTACAGTCTGTGCATGGCTTTGGACCTGACGCAGCTCGATATCACCTTTCTCTCGGTTCGAATCCAATTGGGCTTCTGCCAGCTCCCGTTTCTTCTTCTCTCCTTCCACCAATTTCCGCAGCTCATCAAGTTCACGATCTTTCTCCTTCAACTCGTCTCGCCGTTTTGCGTCCAGAGTTTGCACCGCTTTCTTCGTCTCTCCGAGGTCATTCTGCTTTGCCACCAGCTGATTACGCTCCGTCTCCGACTTCTTCAGTTTCAGCTTGAGATCTTTGAGTTCGGATTGGTCTGCCGACGATGTTTTCTTGAGCTCCTGCACTCGACCCTCAAGAAGAGTGTTCTGCTTCTTCTGTTTGTCGAGACGTTCAGCATGTTCTTGGTTGATCTTCTGGCAATGGGAGAGATCGGACTTGAGTCGGTCAATTTCCGCTTGGCTCTATAATGATATCAAGTCTGAGAAAAGCCCTGGATGAGTTTACTCGACGTACTGCTCTCTTGCCCTCCTTGTGTATCCTCTCCAACTCCTCCACCCGGCGTTGAAGAATAGCGTAACGTTCATCTGATGTTTTCCCGTGCCTGATAGCGTTTGGCTGTGCTTCCGATCTGTTGTTGCCATAAGTGCCAGGCCCTTGGAACAGCATGAATACTGAGTCGTCACAGAAAGAGCTTTCAGCGCGATCTCACCTGGGACATCGGATGGAGCATTCTCTATGAAACGTTCGGCTTTCTCAAGAAATGCACCGCGTTTATAGTTGGTTAGCTGAGATTCTGTGGTAACTGAGCACTGTTGCTTCTGAGATGTTGGTTTGGGGGCAAACCTTGATCGAGGTTGTAGTGTCCAGGTCCTGGAACGTCGGATACTAGGTTTTCAGTACATCTGAGCCCAAATGTTACTATCGAGGCAAGCGCACGTTGCTGCGGATCGAAACGTCGGCCTTTCGCAAAGGCCATCTTGACGCTTGAGGGAGTATGACAGGCTTGAAGGAGCGAGGCCCAAACAACTTCAACGCGACGCGCCGAACATACCACGTGATGGTGACTGGTCACATGCTTGCTTGCAATAACTTCCAGTTGCCAGTCCAATTCACAAGCAGTCTACTCGAACTTCTAAGGTGAATTGGGATATAAGCTGGACTAGAAAATACAGTGTACGGATGCTAAATTAGATGTGATATCCTACTATGATGGAGGGTTGCCAGACGGCGGAGATGGGGGTGTTTCGGGAGTTGGGGCAGATTCTGAAGCGGCTTGCGGAATTTCTAACTCGGCCTCCAATCGTTCTCGCGCACGGACGACTTTGGACTGGATGTAGTGAGAGTGATTGATGATCGAAGGTTGCTTCCCTGGCGCGGCCTTCGTCGGTGGAGAGTTGGCTTTGAAAAGGTGTTCGTAGTTCTGCGTGAAGATAGTGAGACGAGAATTGTAAATCAGGGGATGCTGTCGAAAGAGAAGACGAACCTCGAGGATTTTCGTCAATTCTTCTCCCTGTTTGACGTTCAGAATAAGATGTGCTTCGTCCAGTGTCATTCGATGTTGACGCGTCAATTGGTCTGTCCGTGATCCTGAGACAGCATTTCCGACACCCGAAGCATCGCCTCCCATCCCTCCTTGAGGACTATGTCGTGCATCTACGAGAAAGTTGAGGAAATTATGCGAGAGACCGTTCCGAACCCACTTTTGGCAGCCTGACGCCCAGCTTCCAGAAATGCCTTTCCCAGAATCCGCGTCGAGGTAATGAGAATCTGGACAATGGCTTTCGGGCTGGACTACGCTGACTGGTTAGAAACTGCAACAGCTTGGTAAGGTTGAAGTGCTTGCCATGAGAGACTACGCCAAAAAATGTTCGGCAGTCACGTCTGTGACCGCTCAGTTCCTCCTCCCAAAATGCCTGTCTCGTCAAAAAAACGCAAGACCGTTGCTACAGAACCGGAAGTGCAACCCAAGAAGAAAGTCAAAGTCACGCATGATGATGTTGAAAACAAGAAGAATGCGAAGGACAAGGGCAAGCGTCGCGAGACGGATGCGGAGGCTGAATTCCAAGTGATCCAAGCCTCACTTGTGGTTTCTGTACCTCCTGCCTTTGCCGACGATCCTAAAAAGGGTGTGAACGAGATGCTGGATTCTATGATAATGAGGTGTGTTTCCTGGGTCCGATCTATGCTCCTCTTAGCAGGAAGCCCAGGCATATACCTGCACTGAGAGGCGTGGTCCTCTCGCATTCCAATCTCGTGTTTCTCACAAGTACTGCTGCTATCAACACGGATTGTCCCTTTCTGATATGCCGTGTACAATTCGACGCGACTGTGTGGAGTCCTCGCGTGGGTATGAAACTAGGTAAAGTTCCTTGTCTCGTCGGAGAATATGAACTGAACTTGTCAGTCGGGAAAATAAATCTCTCTTCTCCGGATCATGTGTCTCTACTTCTACATCGAACATTCAATGTATCGATCCCGCGCCACCATATTCCTGCAGACGATTGGGAATTTGAACAGGGTCCGTCTGAGGACGATCCTCCCGAGGATGCAAGCAACGAAGAAGTAGATGAAGCTGCCGACGAGAATGCCGAAGAACGCGTTACTGGGCGTTGGGTTCGAAAAGACAGCGGTCAGAAGCTGGGAGCCGAATCGAGATATCTGGAATTCACGGTCATTGGGTGCGTAGAAACAACTATTACATTTCATTATGCATCCTGAGTGTATGTCAGACTTGCAGTTGCCAACGAAATGCTTTCGCTAGTTGGATCAATACAACTTGACCCGTTTTCTTCAGACCATGTTCCCTTGACTGCCAGAACCAAGCCTAATCTCGCGTCGGATCCTGCGAGGAACAAAGACTCCGTCAGCGATGTTGATGATTTGGAAACGGACTCAGACGAGGATGAGTGAAGGCAACTGATTGGGTTCTCAGTAGGGACAAGCATCATGATGTACTTAGTTTGCTCACTTGTGTACATCCATCCCATCACGCCTACATCTTGCCATGACCACAAATCCGTCTCATGTTCTCATTGCGCGTAGTTCACGCGGCCATAACCCTTCTGCGTCTCTGTCTAGTCCAATAGAGACTCATGCGGCAGCGGCGGGGATTTTCCGCTCGACGGGCTCTCCGCCATGGCTTCTGGAAGAGTGCGAGACAGACGACATCGTATCCGACCTGAGCATCGAATCTGACGATGAAGCCATTGAGATCAATGAGACGTTCGTGAAGAACAGCGCGTTTCCGGGCACTGTGAAGATTGTGGTAGAAAGCACAACGTTCTGGTGCGCACTGCCTGGTGTCGATGGCATGCCACTTAACGAATGTCACGGCGTAGGGCTCACAAGGAGGTCTTGTTCTTTGCCTCACCATTCTTCGAAGCTGCCCTGAGCGGGAATTGGGCAGAAACTGGCCGTCCGCCCTCGATGTCCTCAGTCATCACTATTTCCCAACCGCCATCCAACCCCGGCGATCGAACGAGCCACGAGATTCCAACTGAAATGACCTTCGCGCCCATCAACCCAGATCACGACGCGGACGATTCGGATACTGCGAAGGACGGTGCAGAAAGCGCAAGCGAAGGCAGTGACAACGAAGCTGCAAGACAGGATGCCAAGGCTCAAGCGATCGACGAGAGCCTTGCGAAATTGCAAAGCAGGTCGGGAATTTCAAGCAATACATCCACCCTCAACATTCCTCCTGCACTGGCCAAAATCAAACGCCGCGTCAGAAGTGGACCGGACGCCGTGATCGTACTCAAAGAAGAGAGGGTAGACTCGTGTGCTTGAGAGAGTACTTGCTGTGATCTGACGAGCTGTGCAGGCCAGCACCTTTCACGATTTTCTGAAGTTTGTCTATCCTCAGTGAGTTGTCCCGAGATCTGAGACTGGCGTGTGTCTTACTAACTGCACACAATCACCAAGCTTGGAATGCACGATAACGTGGAACAATGCGGAAAGTCTTATGAACATCTCACACAAGCTATCTGTGCCGACACTACAACGAGAGTGTTTGAAATTCTTGCTCACGCACGCTGCCGGACGCCCGATCAAGGCGCTGCGCATTGCTGAGATCTTCGAGGAGGAGGAGCTGTACCGAGAAGCAAGCCGGTTTGTGCTGGATAATCCAGGTGGTTGGACAGAGCAAGAACTCGACACATTAAGCCGGGACACACTTTTGAAACTGGAAAAACGGTCTGTTCGACTTGGTCGTCGGCGCTCTACCACTAGGCTGATCTTGGACAGTCGAAATTGGTTCCTTGAACGGGTTTTGAAGCTTGGTCTGACTATGATCGCCAAAGAATATCAATGTGTATGCCAGGATCTTGTCTCCTGATGTCCTCTGATCAGCTGTGTTAGTGTTCTACTTGTCCAGATTCAGGCACCTGCGCCAAGTTACTGGAGGAAAAATGGAAACAGGCTTACCATGCGATCTTTCGGTTTGGTTGGTACTGGCCAGAAGACTTTTTCGGGATCTCACAACCCGCTGATCGATAGGCCCACCGCAACCCAGCATGGTTTTCCGCTTTCTCCGGCAGTTGGAAGGGATCAACCCGCCTCTCTCGTTGACGCATTTGAGTTGCCAAACGACAGCCAAAGCCTTTGTTGCTACATGTGTGTCCGTTTGAAATTGGCTTGAAGCATCTGACTTTAGGGCAGTATTTGACAGGATGTTTTCACTTGGTGTCCGGGGCAGTGGCACGGAAGCGCCGTTGAACGCACGGTCTGCCGCGACAGTAGCCGCTGGCCCCCGGCGACATTTCCTGTACTGTTCGCTCAAGCCTGAGCCGCAGCCTCAGATCAAGCGATCTAGGGAGACTGTGATAGCATAGTAAGACAGTAAGTATAAGACAATATAATACAATCCATCGGAAGGGTATTCTACCTTAATATAACTATAACTACTAACTAGGTAAATGCCTGAGGCGCATTTTCGATCAGCCACTCGATCGACAGAGCTTTGCCAGCCATATCGCTGAATTCAGCTCCTGGATCGGCAGACCGCATGAGTGTGGCTGCAATGAAAAAGCCGTCAGTCAAGGCGAATACATAACCGATGGGAGAATCACTCACGACCAAATACGACGCCCAAATTGCGGGCTGTCATCAGATTGCGCTCGCTTCGCTGGTGGACGCTGGTGGGGTTGTCAGTAAGCCAGGTGCGCCTATAAAAAGGGGAGTGGACTTGCCGATGCAGGTGGAGCATGACTGTCCGCAGCGTGCAATAGTGCTCGATGGGAAGTTTATTCACCAGCTCGAGTAGTGTACGGTTCTTGACGGTAGGATCCCGATTCTGGACAGCAGACATGAACTGCTCATGTAGATCATAAGTGAGCAACGGGGTCGGCAGCGACCGGAAGTACGACTTGAGCACAGAGGTCACGCTGCATATGTCGTTGAAACGGTCCGAGTCGCACAGATCGAATGCAGCGTAATTCCCTCGTTCGAACAACTGCGTGATCGCCTTCGACTGGCCGGAACCCCCGGTCTTGCGGTAGATTCCTTCGTAGTCCATGGCAAGGGCCTCGACGGCATCTATGCACTTTTCGACAATCAGGGGTATCTGCTGGTCGCCGCCCTGAGCGCCGTCGGCGTGTGCTTGTTCAACCAGTTCTCGTCCGAACATCGAAGGCGCTAGATGTGGTGTTGAGACCAACAACACAAACAGACAAAGACCGTCGACTTACGGAGCTCCTCTTCTCTCGCTGCCTCCACCCGTTGACCGCATGAGATTTGCACGTGATTCACACATCGGACGTGAACTGACATGCTGCAAGCTGCGAGAACATGGGTTGAGCGAATCGCACCCAAACGAAAAAAAATCTGGATGGAAACCCACTGTTGCATCGCAATTGAGTTCCCCACAGCTTTTCCGTGCAGTGATCACATCGCGTGAACCGGAGCACGCTGATCTGCTGGAAGTTATGCGCAGAGAGCTTGGCCGGTGTGGCTGGTGCCGGGTCCCTGGGCTTAGTGCCAGGCCACTTGAAACCTCCTGTCTTGGGTTTTGAGGGAGTTGGCGCATCGAATGAGTCCATCCTGTGCACTTTGAGCCTACTGTCGTGGGAATCGTCGCTAGCTGAAGAAGAAACGGTGGTCGATGGCGGAATCGCCGGCAGAGTCGCGGTGACGCTCGTGGTTGACTGCTGTGGGGTGTGCGCTGGCTTGGGTGGCGTTTTCGAGGGTGTTTCGGGAATGGGAACCATGCGTCGAGCATATTGTGCACCGAGCTGCGCAAGCTCTTCGTTGCGCGCGTTCAACGTAGTCGTCTCCTCCAAGAAAACGTCCCGAACACCTTTAAGCTCGGCAATCTCACGCTCCAAGTTGACACGTTCCTCCCTCAGCGGCAGCAGGTCGCGGTGATATTGCTTCTTGATGTTGTCCAGGCGTGCCGTCAGGGATCGGCTCAGGCCGCTTTCTTCCTTGGTGGTGGAGAGCTCCTCGACTTCAGCGATAGCCATGTCTCTCTCAACTTTGAGCTTGGATAAGTCTCGCTCCAAGCCAGAAAGATTTTCGTTGAGCTCCTTGGACAGCTGCTGCCGCAGCTCCTGCCGCTTCGAGTCCCCAGACAGCGCTGTCAGCCGCGCAACCTGTCCAGAAAGGATGACTCGCAACCGGGTCACCTCCGCCTCAGCGTTCTGCCTGGCCTTGACTTCGCTGTCGTACTCAGTCTGTGCGACAGTCAGCCCATCAATGTACTGTTTACTCGCTCTCTGCAAAAGACGTTGGTAAGCTTCAGACACCGCTTGATTCAGACTGCACATACCCTGACGCCATCCAACTTCGTCTTGACCGTGCTCAACTCCGCATCACGCGTGTCAATCGCACTGAGAATAGCGTCCACGAACGCCTTGTCCAGCTTGAGTTGTGTTGCGCCTCGCTCACGAGCATCTGCGCTTGCCTGCCGTAGCCGTAGGACTGCCAGATCTGATCCAATTGCATCACGGGGGACAGCTGTTCCTGCTGAATCGGCCCGCGTGAGGGGGATGCGCTTGACCGGCTGGCCTTGCGACTCTGAGGACGATCGTGACCTCGACCCATTCATATCCGGACCTTCGGAAACTGACGGCAGGGTATTCTTTCCCAGACTTTGCAGCCTTGGTGCAGGGAGAATCACCTTGGGAGTGCTGTCATTTGTTGTGTTTCCGCGCACCGACGTTGCCATGGTCGGTGTCGAACCCCCCGACTTGATTGAGACGGCAGTTGGAGGCGGAGTGGATGGCACCTCTCCTTCCGTCATGTTCACCAGCTGCTTTAAAGACATCGACCTGCGATGGCCCTGCACCGAGCTAAACAAATCAGAAAAGTCCGATGTCGTCATGGAAAATCGTATTGGAGGAAGCGCCGGAGCAATAAATGTTGAGTGGGAGGTGTGCTCAACAGGGGACGACTCGGACATGTCGTCGGAGCTATCCAATTGAGAGGCTTCGGGGTCCTCGACAGTCTTGGGCGGTGGTGATGGCGGCTGCACGTGGCCGTCGCTCTCACCATCGGGGCCGCTGCCAGCATCGGTGTCCGTGTCGGTGCCACTTTCGATGCTGTGTGGCACATCTGCTCGCGAGCTGCGAGCCGAGGAAGGTCGACCATCGATTGACGGCCGTCGTTGATCGGATGATGTCCGGCGTTGGTCCAGTGACGGACGCCGTTGGTTCGACGACGAGCGCCCTTCAGCTGACAAACGATGCGACACGGGTTGCGAGTTCTTCCGGCTGGGCGTGATCGAATTCAGTATCACGTGTGGTTGTGACGACGACGAGCCCATGACAACCGTTTGGTCTGTTGAACCATCGTCTGGCGGAGTTCGCGGAGAAGACACGTGCGTGTTACTGGATGTACTGTCTGGTCGATTGTTTGCCCGGTCGAGTCGGGGAGACGGCGAACGAGATCGATGATGAGGAGAGGAAGGCTGACTGCTCGATACGAAAGTCGCAGACAATGGCGAAAGAGACGGGGATGTCGGTGGGGGAGTAGTAGATGCCGGTATCAGATTGGCCAGAGATGCTCCTGGGTTGATTGAATGCCGTTTATTCCGCTTGGAAGTAGGGCCAGGTCCCAGGTCATCCTGAGGAAAGAGATTGTCTGACCGTCGGGCACCATCCTCGAAGCTTTGTCGTCGCGCTTCAGGTAATTCTAATGTAGGAGAATTAGAAGGAAGAGGCAGTGTACTCCGGCTTGTCCCAGTCTCGCTCGGCGCGTGGAACACGGAGGACTGTGGCGTGCTAACTTCGCTCTCTGGAGCTGCTATGCGGACAGATGGCGATGGCAATGCACCCGCGACGGCAATATTTGATGATAGTGGAAGAGGAGCGGGTTTATGCTTGGAAGACTCTGCAGGTTCGAACGCGTCGCTAACGTAAGGCCGTTTCGGCGACCGGACATCAGCAGCACGGGAACGGGGAGTTTGGGGCGCAGACACCAGAGACTCGGACGCAGACAGTCCCGAGGATGGCTGATGGTAGTGAGGATATGATAGGGTCCGAAAGATAGAAGAACGTGCCTGAGGTCGTACTCGGGCTTCGCGCTCCCGCGAACTGGTGGAACCTTGCACCGCTGCGGCTGCCTTCTCCTTTTCCCTCTCTGCTTTCTTCTGAGTGTGCTTGCGTATCTTGATCATCCGCTCATTATGACATTTCATGCAGTATATGCCCTGGCTTGTCTTGGCAAACACAAGCTCGTCGATACGGTTCTTGCAGACTTTGCACTTGAAACAGTGCGCGTGATACGAGTCGTCACCGGTCATTATAGCCTCGTCGAGAATAGGATTGTGGCAGACGTTGCAGCTGTAGGAGCAATTGGCACATATGGGCGAGCCGTCGGAGAGTAAGAGGAGGTTGGTATCGGCGGTCACCTTGTCCCCACATTTGGCGCACTTGAAGCAATCGACGTGGAAGAAGGATTGCCTGTTAAGACCGACGAGCTATTAGCAATCCTGGTGTAGGTCTCGGCACTGCTCACCCAAAGGCAACTACCAGACCTCCTTGCTCTGTTACGGCAGAAAGTTTGCAACCAGGACATATCCGGTCCTCAAACTCGGTCGAGGTGGGGACGGTCGCATTCATAGTGGCCAGCATCAGGGGGGGCGAAGACGTTGCTCGCTGAGCAACCAAGAAAAAAGGCGAGCGCTGTCGTGCTAGAATAAGATAATGTTCCTGTGGTCAGTGTCACTAGGAAGAATGTGTGACACTCCTGTTCAGGCCCAATCTCTTCCCGCGAATGGCTTTGGTAACTATTGTGGGATTCCCCTCCTCTGGCAAGTCCCGAAGGACTTCGCAATTAGCAGAGGCGTTACCAACGCTCATTCCCGCACATTATTCTGTATCCGTCGTCTCAGATGAAACTCTCAATATTTCTCCATCAGCTTACGACGGTTGGACTCCATCTTATCTAGTACAAACTCGTCTACAGAGCTCCCAGATAGCCGCACAGAGAAGCCTGCCCGAGGCGCACTTTTTGCAAATGTTCAGCGTTTACTGTCTCCGAATCGAATTGTGATAGTGGATGCGCCCAACTACATTAAAGGTTTTCGATATCAGCTATATTGCGCCGCGCGGGAGTTAAAAATTCGGGTTTGCACGGTGCGCCCATCCGGCTCCTGTGCCTTACTCAGCTAATGGATTCAGATCTTCGTGGTGGCAACGGCCGATTGTTGTAGGCAGTGGAATGCGGAGCGTTCAGATGGGCGCAGCTACGCGACAGAGACGTGCGTTTCTGTATGATCTTGTGACGATCGCGTGTTCAATATTTCCTCAGACTTGAGAATCTCTTTCTCCGATTCGAGGAGCCGTCTTCCATGGTCCGCTGGGATTCCCCCCTATTCACTGTGCTTTGGGACGAAGATCTCCCAAGTGAGGAAATCGCTGCTGCACTTACATCCGGGACAATTAAGCCACCGAACTCGGGAACAGTTGCTGTACGCCCTGTGATTTATGATTCAGGTTTGCTCATCGGTCTGACATACGATCTGATAGACTGCGAAGGCGCCTTCAGACGCACTGCATGTCCTCGAGCAAACATCGACGGCCCTCGTGTCTGCCGTACTAGATGCCCAGACAACCCATCAAGCAATGGGCGGAAAAGTTGTATTGCCTCTGACCCCTCCGGTCAAGATGACTTTACCTGCTCGGATACTCACTGTTTCCGAGCTCCAGCGAATGAAACGACAATTTGTGACGATCCACAAGAAGGCTATGACCTTGGGAACCATCGAGAAGGGCGCAGTAGATTGGGCGGAGGACAGCGTTGCAGTCAAGTTTGTGACTTATTTGGAGGAGAATTTAAAGCCGTAATCATCAAGACATCATTCTTTTCTACATGTATCTTACAGTTTCTCTGCTCTCCAGAATGAAGCATACATGTTGACACGGTCGATAGCAATCTCCGGCCCGGATCTGACACCCAGGGGTGTGACCTTGAATCCGTGCTGTTCGAAATTAGCGTTGTACCAGGGCCGCCGTGCTGCAGAGCGCCAGAAGAGGAAACCGCCGGGCGCGAGTGCACGATGCAGCTCCTGGATCTCCTCGTCGATCTCAGGCTGTCCTGGACTAAACCAATCCATGTGGTCCATAACCAGCGCCCGGGTGATATCACCGTCGGCCAGTCCTCGCAGCACGCTGGGCAATGGTCAGATGAGGGTTTCGCACGAGCTTGTTTGAGAGGAACCCACTTGACAATCGATTCAGTGTGAAGCCGGAAGGCATTCAATCGCCGACTGGTATCAGCCTTGAGAGCCTCGAAGCCGGCCCGAGTAAGATATTCAGGACAACTCTCATGGGTGTAGTGGCCGAGCAAAGTCTGCGAGGTTGTCGTTATTATGGACATGTAAGTTACACGGTCAAGCTTACCAAAAGATAAAAGTAGTTCTCATTCCTGAAGAGGTACGCATGAGCCAAAGGGTCCAACGTGTCCCGGATGAACTCGTAGATGCCTCCTGTGGAAAGATCAGACATCAAAAGGAAATTCCACGATAGACAGACCCTCATCAAGCAGCATCTTTCGCTGATTGAGCGGAACGCCCAGAGCGTTCCAGCAGAATACCGGATTCTTGAGGAGCCCCACGACGATCGGGTTTAATAGCACCGGGCGCACCCTTTCTGTCCAGATTTGCTCCTGGCGATCGAGGTTCTCAGCCCGGCAAAGCTCCTCGACATCCTTCTGAACGCCGGCGATCGTGAATATCAACTTGGCCAAGCGAAGAGCCCATCCGCTGTAGCCTCGAAGATAGAATGAAGACGAGAACGCGCGCGAGTTGATACGCCAGAACTGGTAGGCGCTGGACGAAAGATGGGGTGCAATATGATTGTCCAAAAGTTGACGAAAGTTCGGGTGCTTGCCGGCACCAAACAAGGCAAAGAAATCTTCGTAGGAAAGCGCCTTGACTGCAGCCAACTTGAGCTCCAGTAGATGGCCTTGGCAAGGGTTCATATCCACACAATGGATCTGTACGACCTAGGTCAGTTCCCACAACGAGCGACAGCCGTGGATGTGGCACTGACACGCTTAGGGGCGGCGGCAACGGCATAGTGAAGCGCGTTGTCACCCGCACTGGTAATCACAAACATGGAGTCCTTGGGTGAAAGTTGCAGGTGTTGCATGTCAGTGAATGGATCCTCCTGGAAGGGCATGTCAGAGACTTCGCATTGTTGTGCGGAGCTTACCGACCCAAGTGAATGAGTAGATGAAGGTTCTAAATTCTTTGTGAACAGGTTGTTCGTAGTATGGCAGGCGCCAAGGCTGGGCGGCATGGTAATGGAATGAGCTGTACGGCGGCGAGATGTCGATGACAGTGGGCTGAGGTTGCAGCTCCAGAGCTGGTTCGCCAATATGCAGAGAAGGAACCGCATCATCCGTGTCCTTGACAGCCTTGAACGTGGCTGGAGAACAGTTCCCGATAAGATTGCCGCCCTCCACTTCGAAAGCGTGACAAGCGTTCGAGACATCGAATGAGCGAGAGCGGCCGAGCCAGATGTAATATGGGCTGCTCAGCAATCAGTCGCAATCGTGCAGTCGAAGGAAACACTACTCACATTCGGACAATGAAGGGGATGATGAAGTTATTCCTCCCGTTGAAACTCTTGATCTGAGCCAAAGCATGAGTCCTGACAGACAACGATAGCTGATGGAGCGCACCGTGCCAAATTTGTACTCGAGATAAGATCGTCTAGCGGGACTTAAGTTGACCTAATAGGATGTCAGTCCGCGAAGAGAATGCAGTTGTATGAGCCCATCACATGATCGAAATCGAACCAGATCTGCCAGAACCAGCGTGACAGCCACCCACACTCTTTGCTGGTCCCGCCGATGGCTTTCTCGTGGAGGGACGGCTGCTTTCCAGCGGTGTAGAAGTCCACAACGGAGAGAAGACCATTAGTAGGGCAAAGCACGTGGTCGATACGATCCAAGACAGTGTAGAAGCTAGGAATCTGGGCCGCGGCATGTCAGTACGGATCGTGGCTCTGAGCGTTCACGCTCACCATCGACAGCGAATAGCTCAATGTCACGAATCCTACGCTTCCCTTGGGGTCCCTGCCATTGCCCCATTCGGGCAGGATGAATTCACTGGCGTCCTGGCAAAGCACAGTCACATTAGTCCATCCCTTCTTGGCGAAACGTTTGCGAGCGATGTTGAGCAAGGGTTCACAGAGATCAATGACATAGACGGCGTCGAAGCTTTCCATGATAGGCATATGTTTGTCCATGAGCTCGATATTGTGGCCTAAAAGAGGTTATGGCATTGAGAGTAGTGATGATTGGACACACGATTACCTGTGCCACCACCGATGTCGACCCAGACGAGACGTTCACCCTTCTTGCGAAGCTCTTTCAGGTGAGCGGCGGACAAAGCAAGCATAGTATTGCGCCCGCGCAAAAGCCCATTGCGCGTCGCGTCGTAGACGTCCGCCTGGCCCTCATAGAACTGTCAGGCGGATGGTGAGGAACGTGAGCGGAATGTCAAGTAGGACGGACCTGGTCCAGACGTGACTTCTGGTCTGACTGCCCGATGGGGCGGATGAAACAGTGCCAGATGAACTTCACATAAGGACGGACGAAGCCAGAGGTGAGGACGTAAATCCCCAAGCAAGCCGCAAGAACAAGGACTGGAGCGGACGGGGGCGAGGGCAGTGATAGTCCTAGCGACAGCATCGGGGCAGGGCAAAAGCACAAAGCACCATAACAGATAAAGGCATATTTATTTATTGGGTAAAGGGACGTGAAGTAGGAGGCGCATGCGTGAACGAACGTGGCAGAGTCGCGTAGTGGAAACGTCTTCGGAAGGCTCAGTCAGATTACTTAAGCGACCCTAATCCGCGTGTCATCTGGGACCACTGTAAGTACAGCGCGCAGAGGGCGTCCGCTATTTCTGCACCTCCGTACTTCAGCACCAGAAAAGATTCCACAATGGTTTGTATCAAAGGGGAAGCCGCGAACTTGAGTATCGGTCACGGGCTGCGCTTCCGTTATATAGCAGAGCAGTTACACAGTGTTGTGGTGCGAAGAAGAGCGAAGCTAGTCGAGAGCCATGGTCAATGTTCGATCCTCGAGTTGATGATGCGGCCCAAGCAAGTGGCCCGGCCCGGACTCCGGCTCCATACAGATCACCTCAGGCCGCTGAGTTGCACTAGTCCAAAGCAAAGAGATGCTGAGCTCAAAGCCCCGCAGTCTTGCTGAGCCAAGTCATCTCCACTATGGCTGGTTGTGATCGACGCGCTACTTCCAACGGATAAAGGTATCTCCGCAGAACCCCGGTCCGGTCTCCTCCGTGCTGCACCTCCCTCAGATCCTTCCTTGGGAGCCTATTTCAATATGCTTTCAGCCGCTCTTGCTCTCTTATCTCTCCCGGTCTCAGGAATCCTTTTTCCGTATCCGTTGGGAACGACCTTGCATGCTGCCCGGATCTCCCTCGTTTTCCACACCGCCGTGAAATCTAGCAAGAGTCAGCATTCATGGGGAACTCACATCCTGGGCTTTTTGTTAATGGCGAGTCTTTTACCTTCCAGGCCACAAATGTTCTTACGCTCAACCATCGTAGTGCTGGGGCGGCTCAATCGCGTCCCATGTTCTATTATCGCTGCCCCCTCCCCAGCTCTACATGCTCGGACCCTGGATCAATTACTCGGCCGTACATCTATGTTTGACTTTCATCTTCCAGTATATTCCTGTGGTCAGTGCAGTCGCACAGTCATGGACCATAGGCTAAGCATTATCAGCCCGATCCAGCCCAGACCAATCTTTTGTTGTTCCCGTTGGATGGGCTACTCCGGGCCAATAGCGTCCTCCAGACACTTTCCCTCCTTTCCCGACCGGGTGTTTCCCCACTACTTGTTCAATCACCGCTGTTCCATTTCATACTGGGTATGACTGCGTCGGCTGGCGGTGGTCTACTCGGCGGAACGCTTTCGCTGACTTCGGAAACCTGGACATTCTCAACGCCTCCCCCTCTCCGAACAGGTGTATTCGGATTATGGAGCACCCATGACATGTGGGCAGGAGGAATCGTCGCTGTCATCTATGGATCGTTGACGAGTCACCCCGCCTTTGCTAATGTCTTGAGCGTGACGTTATCGACCTCTTCTGCGAGAGCGTCGAGTGTGGCAGTGATGATAGCTTTCTTTGGCGCACGAGCTTTCGCCACCAGGCCCAAGAAGCTCGTCCAGCCACCAAAGGAGAAAGTCAAGACTCAATAGAAAGGATCAAATTTAGAATCCAAGGATGAGGACCATGTAGAGGTCCTGGAAAGTATTGCAATACAGTGTCCATTATGCGAATGCAGTCATAAATCAGTCGTAAGCGGGAAGTGTCTACTCAAATGGATTTGTACGTCCCGACTAGTGGATGAATTAGAGCCAAGCACGAGGATTGAGAGAATACACACTTGGTTATCCCCTCCTCGATCAGGCCCTTCTGACAAACCACACAACCATTCATGCCACCACCGCGATTCCTTCTCTTCTGCCGGATTTTGATCTGGCAGTCCTTTGCCCATTTGTGACATGTCGGCGACCGGAGGCGGCGGCGATCGGGGCTCAGGAATCGGAAGCGGCTTTGGCGTCGGTGGTCGGCGAATGGAAGAGGATGCAGTGAGCAAAGCCGGCCGGTGAACGTAATTGTCAGTTGTATCTCGAATTCCGTCTCCAGGTGCGCTTTCGGGATCATTGAATGGATTTGAGGGATCATGTTCGTCATGCATCAGTGGTGACGCAGCGGGAGTTTCCGCAACGTCGTCGAGAGGAACGAATTCGCCGTCATTATCGGGATTGTCTTGCGTACTAAGCGCTGCGTGTGCACCTCGACTGGAACTGACGCTAGAACGAGGGCGATGATGCGGTTTAGACGCCGACCATAGAAGGCTGGTGCGGCGTGCCACATCGGACAAGAGCGAAGAGGAAGAAGTTGTGGACAATGTCGAGTCGCGCGCGGCTTTCCTCTTCATGCGCTCAGCGACCTCCCAACGCTTCAAGTTCTACGCAGGACCAGTCGGCGAAGGGAGTCAGAGCGCGGGTGGAGCTTACCTCCTCGATTTGGCGCGTCTCTGCCTCCTGTTCACCAATCGGAGGATACTCCTGAAACTCCTCCCGCTCATTATCCCCATCACCCTCGTGAAATTCTCGAGCCTTCCCCTTCTTGTGAAAGTTTGTAGGATCCAAATGTTGAGCTTCATCGTCAGACCATTGGTGAGCCCCAGTCAGATCTTCTTCTCGTGGAGGAGACGGTGGCGGTGATTTGAATTTGCGTGGAGGGATTGCAGGTGAATTGTTAGACATGGAAAGCCTACAGGTAGGCCCGGAGACGCAGGAAACGCGGTTGTAAGCAAGTTGTAGACGAGATGCAGTCGTAGATCCTACGAGTGTCACGTGATTAAGCACTGCAGTGGAGCGATCAAAAAAGTAGTGAAATTACAAGATTCTGAGCCCTGGCAGCCAGCAAACGGAAGCTGCAAGTATGTGTCCGTGTGGTATCTAATATTAGGAATATGCAATGTTTAGAATCGTCCATCTTCGCGCCTGGGATGCTCCATCATCACGCTGTCGTCATAATCTGAGTTGTCGTCGTCTCTCATGTAATTCCGCAATCCGGAAGCTTTCGGTGCGGGATGCTGCATGATTCCGGCGTCGTCAGAAGTGAGTCTGTCTTGACTGTACATGGTGCTGCGGGCACTGGCGGGACCGCCTGGGATCGAGGTTCGCATCATTTGCATGAGATTTTGATGGAAGGCGTTCTATCCGAGTAAGCCACAGCCAGAATCATGTTCTGGACTCACCTGTTCCCTCCAATACTGCATCCGTTTTTCACGTTCGTCATCACGCTGTCGCCGGTGGAGAACAAACAAGCCTAGCAGTGTACCGAAGATGCCTGCACCTGATGAGAGCATAGTCACTCTGGAGCAAATAGTGCCCACCGACGAAGATTCCGATCGCGACCACAACATAAACCCAGATGCCGACGTGTTTCGGCAACGTCGTATCAATGCCGCATACTCCGCTTGCGAGACAGTTCCAGGAGCTGCATCTGAATGCGCAGGCAGAGTGGTGAGTATGTCTCATCCCCATAACAGCGAAGACGCACTCTTTGTCCGCTGTGCAGGACGCACCCAAGCTCTTCTCTGCCATGCACTGCTTGGTACCTGCGTCACAGTAGAGGCCGGCAACGCAGTTGCCGCTATGTAATCGCACCATGTCAGAGACATATAGACGAGAAACAAAACATAGCTCACCGCGACACAATATCAATGAATTCGCCGGTAGCTCCGTAAGCAATATAGGCAGTGTTCTCCACCACACAAGAAGAGCCGGAGGTAGCATTGGCCCACCTAGAGCAACATTAAAATGGGAGAGTGACTAGGTGGATGTTACGCACATGCACACATTATTAAGGCAAACCGATCCGTTGACGTTCAATCCTCGACCTGTCGTGTCTCGCAACTGTTTGAAATTGGGAGGTCCTTCGCATTGGTCTAAACAGGTGATAGATAAGCTGGTGTAACTGGAGTGCAGTGGGCCCGTACCGTCACGGTTCAGCTGGCAAGCACTCCCGACGGGAAGTACAGGTTGGCAAGCATCCGCCTCATCTGGGCAGAATTCACCGGTGGCGCAAAGGGGTGGAAGATCTGCCTTTGCCACATATCCGAAAGGAAATTGGTCCTTCCTGCAACCCTTGAGCAAGCATGTGTTGTTCGCTGCACAGTATGTGACGGAGTTACAGTCGCTGAAGAACTGATAGGTGCCCAATTGGAGTCGGTTGTCGGCCTGCGAGCAGTTATCGCCCTTGTTGGCACTACCAGCATTGACCAACGCCCAGGAAGAAAGGAAAACGAGGGAAGAGAGCGGGAACATGACCGCTGGAAACAAGAAAGTGGTGATGGCTTGTGATAGGTCACATCTGGTCACGATCTGGTTACGACGCGCAGCACCGGACTGGTAATTTTAACATGCAATGAGCCGCCCGTCACCCTGGCTCTAATGACGACGAATTGGCTGCAAGTCGGCGCAGTTTGAGTGCGCTCGGCGCTTACACCCGTAGCTAGTATCGAGCACTCACTGACCGCCAAACTTGCTGATGATCCAGTGCTGGATGCCACTTGTTGTATCATCCATTCACTACATTATGGTACATCCCTGGTCTTCACGCTCCAAACGACGAGCAATCTCATCAACACCTACACCTCTGCTTGTAGAGTTCATGTTGACGATAAGCACACCAGCATTATGCGGATCGAGTTCAGCGGACAGTTGATGCCTGGGACGATTGATTGAAATTGGGACGTTTCGCAGTGCGACATAACTCACTTGACCATCCTGCGCAAGCTTCAGAAAGGGTACATGAACAAATAGCATGGAGACTCACAATTCTTCGATCGCAGGCTTGATCTTGGCTACGCCGCCAGGTGAGTGTAAACCCTTACCTGAGGAACTGTTGAGCCTGTTTCATTCAGATGCCGGATGCCATTCCACATACCAACAATCAGGTGAATTGAACTCTCCCCTCTCTGTTTGGCTTCTTGGATCGCACGATCGCTGTGCTCAACAGCCTCTTTTACGAAGAGCCCGTGTAAATCGATCTCTCCAGGTTTCGAGTCCTGTCAAACGAGCTTCAGAACGCAGTCACTCGATTTTTTCGTTCGAACCCACTGACTTTATTATTTTCTGACCGCATCACTTGTGAGAAGCAGCTTTGCAATGATAGATAGAATGCACTTGCCGACAAAAATCCAGTCGCTTGCTTCTTTGTTCAGCTGGTTCATCTGGCGTTGATGTTCCTTGCCTTGAGTCGACAACTCTTTGGCTTGGGCACCATCGCCTCGAGCATAGGCTTCTTGGCTCTGAGAGAAACACCGCGCCATCGCGTCGCCTTCAGTATTCGCCCGCGCGCGAAGCTGCATGTAATGGCCATCGTGCTGATTGATCTGGTTTTGGTCCTGCCCATAGCGATCCCTGGGTCAGCGCATACCATCGTTTCAAGATTGATTGTCCGTACAGGATGACCATGAGAATAGGGCTGAGGCGACACTGGATGCGATGGGGGGTGAGGTGAAGTAGAATGCGAAGGCGACTGATGCTGAGGAGGCTGCCATGCATCTGGCCGCCCGTATTCGGGTTGTGGAGAGACAATGGGACCCGCTGGTCCTTGATGCGACGATTTGTGTTGTTGTTTCTTGTGGTGCTTTCCATGCCCTCCTGTATGGGGTTCCTGTGCGACGGGAGCAGGATATGCCGCAGGCTGCTGCTGTTGCACATGTTGGGGAGGTCGTTGGCCAAATTCATGACTCTGTTGTTGAGTCTTTTGGTCCTCGGAGCCCCCGCAGAGCACACCAAGAAGTAAATTGAAACATTGCAAGAGAGACATGAGTCTCAATAAGCAATGCAACCCTGGCAAGAAGACTGTTGTTGCCCGTGGCGGTAGAGTAGGACAATTTCAGTCAGTATCGGGGCAAATATTTACTGACATCAATGTATGATCGCACGTTCCAGATACATATTCATGCAGATACGAGGAATCGCCTCCAAAGCGGATAGATTGCTACATACGAGAAGGAAAAAAACGAGAGGCGCGGATTAGATCTCCAAGCCAACCAAAACGAAGGCAGGATCGACCTCGAAAGGAGGCTTAGTTACCACAGTACCACCGACATACATCAGAGCATGCAAGATCTTGCTGAGATTGGGCGATGAACGCTCCAACACGATGACCAAGGCGGAGCAAGAAAGACTCTCGTCAGCCAGGTCGAGGAGAGCAACGATGCTGAGGATTGTGTCAGATATCAAAAATATGGGGTCATGCTTGCTGCTCACCTTTCCCGAATGCTGACAGACTGTGCGCTCTTTCCGTCAACGTACAGGGTCTTCGGTTTACCGGGAAGTGCCAGAACGACACCTTCGAAGGCCGTATCGAAACACGGAGCGGAAATCGAGACACTTCGGCTGAAGGGTAGGGAAGCCAGTCCGTTGCGCGGGAACAACGTCATGAGGAAGTCGAGGGAATCATCGTCACGATCACGAGGAGACGCGAATGTGGGTGGAGAGGCGGGGCTGCCGTTGTCCGGGGTAAGTGGAGGAGTGGACAAATCGGAAGCCGAACTATCGAAAGAGAACGAGCGCGGAGATGGAATAGGTCGAGGAGAAGAGGAAACGTAAGGGTTGGAGGCGGTAAATGTAGACGCCAGACTGCCTGTCACACAGTCTGACGACCCTCGGTCGGGAGGGCATTTTTGCTTAGGGGCGTCAAAAGCGCCACTGCGTGCAGTTCAGAACGAGAGAGAGATGAAAGAAGAACGGATGACTGACCCCGGGTCCGCCAGAGAAGGTAGTAGAGTAATAGTACATGTCGTCTGTGCCTTGAAGACGGCACACAGCAAGTACACTCGGATCGGTGTTACGGAAAGAGGCAGCCCCATCTCCAACGGCCGAGCGGCCGTTGCTGAGCAGTGTTAGCCGAGATCCCAGGAGAAAAGTTAAAAGCATACGTGGGGCAAAGACTAGAATTCTGTTTTATGAAATTCGACATTTGGGAAATAGACATGTTCTGCCAACTTGAATGCTTGTGAGTGTGCGTGGAAAGAGGAGGGCTGACTAATTCGGTAACGCGCAGTCACACACAAGTCCAAGCGTAGCACCGCACTCGGGATGATCGGATCTGCGTAATCGGTGAATTCCGAAACGCATCTGGGCACTGTACAGTTACTCCACGTGAACCGGACGTGATTTTCAAATCAAGACATACAACGACCGACGCTGTATTTTCCTGCACTAACCGGTTTCTAGCAGTGAGTAGATCGTCATCCGTGTTGCCCACCGCCAGATCCATGTTCTCTCATATCAATTTGAGCTGACTACGACCGCAGCTTTGATATGGCTGATTCTGCTCGCGGACGTGGTGGATTTGGACGTGGACGCGGAGACCGTGGACGGGGCCGTCGCGGTCCTCGTCGCGGTGGTCGCAAGGACGAGGAGAAGGAATGGGTTCCCGTCACCAAGTTGGGACGTCTGGTCAGGGATGGAAAGATCAAGTCGATGGAGGAGATCTACCTTTTCTCGCTCCCCGTCAAGGAGTTCCAGATCGTGGACTTTTTCCTCCCCAAGCTCAAGGATGAGGTCATGAAAATCATGCCCGTTCAGAAGCAGACCCAGGCCGGTCAGCGCACTCGCTTCAAGGCCTTCGTTGCTATCGGCGATTTCGAGGGTCACGTTGGTCTCGGCGTCAAATGTGCAAAGGAGGTTGCTACCGCCATCCGCGGCGCCATCATTCTCGCCAAGCTCTCAGTCATTCCGGTTCGAAGAGGATACTGGGGTGCCGCCCTCGGTGCGCCCCACACCGTGCCCTCCAAGGTGTCAGGCAAGGTCGGCTCTGTCATGTGCCGTCTCATCCCTGCTCCCCGAGGAACTGGTATCGTCGCTGCTCCTGCATCCAAACGTCTCCTTCAGCTTGCCGGTGTCGAAGATGTGTACACGCAATCCAAGGGATCTACTGCCACTATGGGCAACTTCTTGAAAGCCACTTTCGCTGCCGTGCGTCTTTTGCGTATGGTTTTGTTCACTAGCTGACACTTTCTAGATCACAAAAACATACTCCTTCCTTACTCCTGATCTCTGGCGTGAAATTCCCGTTTCCAAGCTGCCCTACGACGAGTTCAGTGGTCACTTGGCGCTCTCTGCGAAGAAAGCATACTAGTTTTTCTGTCATCTATAAAATACCATCACGTCTGGTACCATTACGTTTGTCTCGTGACCGAATATTGCTCGACGCGTTCCGAATCCAAACCAACCAGTGCGAGCCGGAGTCTGACCTACTCTACTATGTCCGCTGCGTCTCCCTCATCTCGAGCACGCCGACGCGCTGGGTGCATTATCGTCCCGCACCCTGCTATGACTCGCCCACACAGTATATCAAGACCCTCGCAAATGCAACTAAGATCTGACTCCCGTTCAACGACATCCTCACATCGTCAAGACCTTCTCAGCAACAACCCCTTGCTCCTTGACACGCATAATCACTATGCCCATGGCGTTTCCGAGTCCCCCTCGATCGAATCGGCATCACCCCCTCACCGGCATCCTCCTGTCGACCCGCGCCGCTCCCGCCGATATTGTACAAATTTTGGGCTCGGCCAAAATATTGCGACCGTGTCTCTTCCCCCATCTCGCCCGATGTACCCAATCAATGATACAAGCAGCGGCGGGTCGACACCTCAGGCGACGTATGCATCGTCAACTTCGTCGCCGTCTTCCTCGTGTTTCTCCTTCGACTTTCCTCAGCCTCCTGTCAGTCCAGCTCTACGACGCATGCAAAGTTCTCCGCTGTTCACTGCAGAAGAAACCGATGCTGTCCGCGAGTTTCTCCGCCGGCGCTGGGGCGCTCAAATCCACGCAAAAGCCCGTCGAATTGTCGATGCAGCAGAGCCTGGTCTTGCTGTCGACACCAACCTAAGAGAGCTGGATTTCTCTTGGTATGCGGCGTCGCCGACGACGGATGCTGGCTCGCCCAGAGAACAGCAGCTCGAGTTGGAACTCGAATTGGCTGGAGAAGCACTGGTGCAAGCCCCACCTCCGTGCCACCGACTGCAGTCCACTCGAAGCACAGAGCACATGGGCCGAGATGGGATACGTCCACTCCATTGTGGACGTGTTTTGCGACGAGCTGCTAGTCTCGCTGCACCTGAATCTCCCCTGTTGACTTTTGAAACGCTTCCCCCGGTGCCATCGTTAGTCGGGCATTCAGCTGCGGCCCCTCGGCGGCAGCATCGTACTGCTCTATCTGTTCCACTGGCTGGATGGGTTCCTGTAACGACTGAGCGACCTGGCGGTCGGCGCGAGACGTCATTCATGCCTGGACCCATCCTCGATCGCAACATAGCGCCGCGCTCATTCATGGATCTGACGCCGGAAAGAGACATCCGACCTCGCCAGGACAAGAACCGAGTCAAAAAGCTGCTCGCCCGCGCAAGCAGCAGTTTCGCCGGTCTCTTCAGCAAGGCCAAAAAGTGACCACGTAGTCTTATAACATGGCTCGGAGCTGGGTCTCCTTCATTATTACATTGATAGATTTGTGGCCTAGAACCTAGTTGTATCCTGTGATTCGATTTACAAAACATACTATTCATTCAAGTCGCGAAACCATCAACGGGCACTTTGGCCCTTGCCCCAGCTCTCCTTTGACATATGGACGGGTCGTGACTCTGATCGCATTCAGTCAGAAGCAGCACAATGGGCCACAGACTCACACATTCCGCTTGATAACCTGCTCATCCGTTTCTCGGAACACAAAATTCGTGAGCAAGACGTAGTACAGGACTTTCATCTCGACCAGTGCAAAGCGTAGTCCCGGACAGGCCTGGCCCCAAGATATGAGTGCAGCAGACGAGAATAAAAACTCATACCCGCGGTCCGGCAGAGAATGTGAGCATATTCGAGAAATGCCATGGATTCTCTCGCACGCTGTCGGGAAGAGTGTCCCATCTGTCGGGTCTAGAGACATTCAGTGCTCGTTCTTCTCTTGAGAAGGTCATACGACTACCGGAATTCCCATGCATCTTCACCCCACACTTGCTTGTCCATGTTAAAGGCCTCGCAAGAAACATGAACGACGGTCCCCTTCGGGATCACGAAGCTTCGGCGAGCCTCGTCGATCTTATTCTCTCGATTGCGCACAGGTTGGGATGTTGGGATGACGTCTCTTTCAGTGGCCACACGGAGAGTGGAATGTATAGGCGGAATAAGCCGCAGAGACTCTCGCGTCACATTGTGCAGCAGGGGAAGAGCCGAGATCTTCCCAGTGAGCACCTGGATCTGAGCTTCGTCCAATTCCGAAAGAGATGGGGTGTCCTTTGCGAGGCAGAGTAATTCTTCGCGCAGTCGGTCCTGCACACCAGGATTCTGAGCAAGTAACAAAAGCGTCCAGGTCATCGACAATGAGGACGTGTCCGAGCCTGGTGACGGTTCATCAAGCCTCTACTGCAGGGCTCGAAAGCGGCAAACCTGCAAATATCATGCTGTTGATATTGTTCAGGATGTCGTCGTCCGTGATTCTATCCTCAGGCGAAAGTGATTTTGACATGTTGGATTTCACTGTGGTTTGCCCATTAGATCGTATCGGGACGAGCCGAAATACGTGCATAGCAGGGTTAGAAGATCACGGCTCTCATATTCATCGCCTGATAACTCTCCTTCTACGATCTTGGCTTTCTTTTCTTGGATCAAGCGTCCAGCAACTCGATGAATGACAGCGCGGCAACGTTCGAGCGTGCGGGTCGAGCGACTAGGCTGGTAGAAATATGCGTCAGCATGAGCAGGGGAGCAACAGGCCACGTACAAAGATTGTGTTGAGGAATGGCAGATAGATGATCAGGAGGGTGCGAATAAAGCTCCCTCGAGTGAGACCGATCTCGAACATATCTCGATATGCAATGAAAAGTTCGTTGCTCTCGTCTTCCATCGAGTTGAAGTTATAATCAAAACCTTGAGAAAATGAGAGCACTTAGACAAGTTAGTTGGATGTACACCCACCAGCCAATCCAATGACATCCAGGGTAGCACGGCTAAGGACATCATACACGTCGATCTGCGCGATGATGGATCCATCATGGAAACGGCGTTTCCACAAATCTGTGATCTGCAAACCCTTTCGAAAAGCAATTTCAGCCAGACTGGCCATATTCTGATTCGAAAAGGCAGGTGAAGCGACACGGCGCTGACGTTTATGCACATGGCCTTCAGCGGAGAACATGCCACATCCGATGAGACTGGTAATCAACCTGCGCGTGGCCCATGGCTTCTCGTAAAGGGTGTAGTTTTTCGAGATGTGAGCCATTGAGACGGGGTCAAATGTGATCAGGCGCTCATCCCACTATGCGCATCGTTGATACACAGCGGTGACGTTGAGAGAATGGAAACGCACAGGGGTCAGACCTCGTATGCGAACCGACCGTCCATAATGCTTGACCAGATGCTCGTGTACCCTCGGAGTGACGCTTGGGTCGCGAACATGCTGGATGTGGTTCTTGAGCCAGCCTGAGATAGGGGGACCAGGGAGGTCTAGCTGTTCACTAGAGGGCAGTTTGCGATATGCGATATAAACGACGGTAGCACAGAGAGCAGAAAGAATATACGGGTTGAAGGGCAACCCCATGTTGTGGACACATGATTACGCCGTTACAGGGCGTCTTTATGGCATACAACAACAACAAGGCTAAGCGAGACACACGCGATCGGTAACGTCATGTGACATGTGACGATGTAGCACATGATCCGACAGTGACGGAGACCATGGGAAGATTCTGATAAGGGTTCCGCTAATAATTCAATGTTATTAACATCCATTCTATCACGTGTAAGTAACACGTTAACTACATATTAGTAACATGGTGCATTTCAGATCCCCAAAAAGTTGTCAATAATACAGAAGGTTCAATCCTGTCTGATTGAGTAAATTTCCATAGGATGAATGTCTATGCTGCTTCAAACATCCTTTTGCCAATTCTGGGTCAGAAAATATCTTGCATCACGTGGACTTATGTGGCATACCGGTCACTTTGAACTTTTGGATCAAAAACAATGTGCTCTCATTTGCCGCTGCCCTCATCCTGTTGGTATGTGCGAACATCTTTTGTCTTGGATATAAGATTGGTTGAACAGAGAGCGATTGTCACTTTCGTCTGTAATGAGTATGTACCAGCGAACATATTGTGTGGTTGACGTTGTCGAGCAGTATCAGGTGACACTGGGTTGCAGAGTATCATGCAAGCATCAAGTTTCGCATTTCTCCACAATTGCGTTGCCTCATCTCTCTTTTTTATACCACAGAATCATTTTGTTCATCACGATTTTGTGATAGCTTTGGCTCAATATTTATGTGAGATCTCTGTAAGTGTTCTTTGAACACTGAAATTGGCAGGATCAGCCGAGAGGCAAACCTGCCCCATCAATCTCTTCATTATCATTATTTTCCTTCATGAATTCATGATCAACTAATGAGAGGCAAATAAAGGGTGATTTCCCCAAACGGAAAATAACTCAACGTGTGACTGACTGGCTAGTTGGTACAGCCACGCATCAGTACACTGACCTTTTGCAGCAACAAGAGCATCGGTGCGTTGCAAGTGAAACGACATTCCTCACCCCGCTCAAGGATTCTGCCATTCTAGTCTAAAATGGCCCAACGAGTGACTCTGCGCAAGCGCCAACCCTACAACACCACCTCCAGCCGCAGGCGCGTGGTCAAGACCCCCGGCGGAAAACTGGTGTACCATCACCTCAAAAAGATCGCTACCTCTCCGAAATGTGGTGACTGTGGTATCGGACTCCCTGGAGTGAGTTGTTTCAGGAGAATATATTGCTTTTCGCATTCTCAATGCTCGCCATACTCTAGATCCCTGCTCTCCGACCACGGGAATACGCCACTATCTCGAAGCGTCAGAAGACAGTACGTCGGGCGTACGGTGGATCGCGTTGTGGTGACTGTGTCAAGCAGCGGTGCGTGTCCACCGATTTGATAGTCGAAAGCGACACTTAAATGTCGTGTCTTTCTAGCATACTGCGTGCTTTTCTGGTTGAGGAGGCCAAGATCGTGAAGCGCGTTATCAAGTCACAGCAGAAGAAGTAGATACTGCTGTGTCACCTTTCCTACTGTCAACTCTGTGCACGACGATCCATTCCCATATCTCCCTCTTCTCGGGGCCAGTGCAGCATGGAGTGGAACAATATGTACCTGACTATGTCTACCGTATGCTTATGCGCTCTACCTGCTCCAGGTCTCAAATTGCTTGCAAGTTTATTGTCCAGGATACCTACTACCCTCGGTTTTGAATTTTCGAGATACTCGCAATTCATTTCCAGCCGCGAATGGTCGTAGGTGTTCAGGTATGCAGAAGACTAGAAGACTGCATTTTATCGCTTCTCCTTTCCGTTACTCTGACTGAAGGCAAACCCTGTCAAATTTTTTCATACTCCACTCTCTCAGCTACGGTGTGCACAGCGTGGGCATCGGTCTAAACATCCTGTGTCGGCCTTGCTATGGTATTTGATCAAAATGATGTGTTGAGTTACTGCGATCGTGTAGAAAACATTCGAATTGTACAATCGAGTAAGAGGCAAGAGCAGACTCGTCAGCGACAGCTTGTCGCACAATGCACTGCTCAAGTTCTTATCGTTCCCAAGATTCTCGGACCGCCTTCCGGAGCATGAAAATCTCTGTCAGACACGTGACCTTGCGGTGCGATCATCACATCGCACTTCAAAATTTCAGTCTCGCGTTCATGCCAGAGCCCCCGGCAAAAAGGCAGAAATCGAGCGGGCGGATCCCACGAAAGTTTGCTACTGCTGATGAGATACGCCAAGCGCTCAGCTCGCACGATCAAGCTGAACTCGCGCACAGTATGCCTGACCTAGTATCATCCACAACACATCTTTAACTTCAGTAGCTCTTTCTGATCTCCGGACACAATTTGCGCTTTGGTCACACGGGAACAGCAGTTCAATCTCCAGCTCCGACCCCCGCTTGCTGCTTGTCTCGAAATATTTGGAGGCGTCGCCGGGAGCACACGACTTATTTTCATTATGGGAATCGTACAGTCCCAACATCCGAAATCCGGGACCCCTCGTCCTTCTAGTCTCGCTCTTCGCATCAATCTTATCCCTCTTGTCAACTCATTATACGTTTCACGCCCCCGGACATACGATTGTCCGCACACTGTTGACACCAGCATGGATGAGGAGATTGAACTCGTACGTTGGCGGAACACATAATGAGCTTGTGCTTGTCACTCTGAAATTGTTCAACGTCCTCTCTGTCTTTGGTGGAGGACGTGAGAAGCGAGCGGTGCTGGAGGGGTTCGCTTGGGAGACCAAGGTGAGCTAACGGCCGTAAGATAATGCACGCGTGTTGACGGCCCTAGTCGTTGCCCAAACTGCTTAGTATGCGACGGAGATCCAGCTTTGAGGATTCTGCTGACGCTCTTACGAAACCTGGTTCGTTTCATGGCACGGACTGTCCGCTTCCACGCTCAATCTCCATGAAACAGACATAAGGACCCTTTACGTTCTTTTCTGCCTCTCGTTCGTCGACCACGATACTCTGTATCCCCTCAAGACGGCCTTTCTTGAGCAGCATAAGGATGTCTTCTATTCCATATTCCGCGGACTTCACCAAGATTCATTTGTGGTGATCCGTCGAGTACTTGAGATCTGCTGGGCCGGCATATGGTCCGATCCAAAACTCAAGCGCACACTCAAAATCACTCTATTCAATGAAATCACCATTTCCCACGTATGTCGCGCAACCGCGAATATCTGAAACGCTGCTGATAGCCCTACATAGTTGCTCAAGATCCACGAACGCCAGAGCGCTGAGGACGACGACCCGGAGCACGTTCCAGCTGATCTTGTCCATCACTTCTTGTTGGCAATCTGTACCCATCCTGGGCGGGGACTTGTGTTTAAGGACCAAGGCTGGTACCCTCGCACAATCGGGGCTGATGACAAGGGGAATAGCAGGCTGTACAATAAGATTCTGGCGAACATCCTCAAGACGCTGAAAGTCAATGAGGACTCGCGCCATCAGGAACTGGCCCTGAAGATGATGGCCGCCTGTCCGGAGCTAGTTGCTGGATTCTGGTCTGCCGCAAATCTGACTTTGGAGCCGCGGCTGTCCTCACGCTGGATTGCCAATATCTCGTTCTTTGGCCACGTTATCTCGTTGCCAGTTCCAACGGCTTCGTTTTCATCTGTGGACCAAACTGTGCTGTATCAGCCCTCCCCACCTCCCCTGAATATCATCCTCGAAAATGTCTTTCCTTCGGTCAATACCAAGACGCATTTTTCGAAAGGCTTGCAACATTCGAGTGGACTCGTTCAACACTGCACTGCACTAGCTTTGTGCAAGTGCTTGGGCAAATACAGGGCTGTCTTGGACGATTTCCGAATTATCCAGAATGCGCTCAAAGAAGATGTCAGCGATGGACAATGGTCCAAAATGCAGCGAGATCTAGAGAAGGAAATACGGCATCGGGTGCCCGAGTTCCAGGTGGTCTTAGCTTACGCAACTGGCAAGACAGACAACGATGCCAAGGCGGCGCTTTTGGCTGAAAGTGCTCAGCGACTTCTGTGGATGTATCACTCCTGTCTGCCTTCTCTCGTGTCTGAAACCCGGTTCGACGTAGGGAAAATGGTCCAGAATCTATCCTCACAAACGCAGTCCTCGGCATCTGCGGAAGGACTCAACCCCGTCCGACGATTGCATGTGATCCGTCTCTTGAGAGACAGTCCACAGTTCGTGTGGAGTGGCAAGTCTACGGCGACTGGCAGATCACATCTGCACGTGCTTTTGGGACTATTCTGTGATTCTGGAACCGGAATTTCTATCAAGAAAGCAGTCGGGTCCCTGATAGTGCATTTGCTCGCCTCCAGTGTTGCCTTCCAGCACAATGTTCATGAAGCAGACTTGTGGCTCCGTGCTGCCGACGGTGCCACAGATTCCGTTGCTACTTTCCTCGACCAGTGTTTGCAGGTGCATCTCAAGAAACCATACCAGTATATGGAAGATCTTCGGGCTCTCGCGCCAGATGCAGAACCTGTCAGCTCATTATTGTTGACAGTACTTGAACAGCTCACTTCTCGAACAGAGCCCGCCCTATTTGTTTTTGTCCGCAGATTGTTCATTGGATTGTCCAGCATTCAGCGCGATCTTACTTTGTTGCGCCTCTGCTTTGCTCGACTGGAGTCGCTTACGGTCGGGTCTGAGCCCGAGATATCCCGCCAAGTTGACATCGTTCGTTGGTGTCTCGACGGTTTCCCCGAGACGAACTGTGTTCTGGATAGCGAGCCCATGCGTCAGTGTGTCCAATCAAATTTGGGTGGCAAATGATGCTGACTGCTCGCAGCCGACTTCGAGGATGTCAACCAGCTTTTGACATGGATGAAGATAGTTGGAACTCACTCCCGAGAGGATCTGCAGAAGGGCTTCCAACTTGTCGTTCAATCGGACGCATCCGCTGTTGCACAATTCGCTGACGCTGTTGACCCTCGGACGAGACTGCTTTGGACGCTGCCGCTTGCTGACATTCAATCACAGTGCGTGGTAGCTTGCCTCCCATTTCCCCTATTGACGTACATTCAGCCTTGATTTTGATGTTTACTTTCTCCATTGTGGACCGTCACAGTTTCTTGATCAATCTCACAGCCAAGTGCTTGTGAATGCAGCATTGCGGTGTGATCTGCTGGATCTAAAGCGAATGGTCTGTCTTGTCGGCCACAAGATCTCTTCGAATACGAGCCCAACTCTGATGTTCCTGGCCTCCGTCTGTCGCGGTCTCGCGAGTAGTCCGTACTGGCCAGACGTCAGACTGGAGATATTCACGCACTCGTCCATGTGCGAGATCTTCACCCGAATCGATGCTCCTAAGAGCACACTCGACGGCATCAGTGCTCTCCTCGCAGCCTCACTCGATGCAGCCCTTGAAGCGGATCGGCAAGTCGTCTCAGAGCTGACGCAACATTGGCTCGGTGTGTTGACGGAGTCTGGCTTCCATCCGGCGAGTCGTAGTTTGCATGGTAATCGATTTGAGATGCTCACTTGGCTGATGTACCCTGCAGTGCGCTACTCCGTGGATTCCGTATATGGCACCCCGGGATTTGATCTCTCTACTCCAGAACCAAAGCAGCTCACAGCTTGTCGATGCCGCTGTCAAAGCACTGGAGCACTCGACTCGCGGAGAATCTCTCCTAGTGCATCTCCCTGTTCTCGCATCTCTAGCTCAAAACTCGCCCGCACTGGAGAGCATGATCGCAGCTGCGGTCGGAAGCTGCCTGCCGATCGGCATTCAGGGCTACTCGCTCAATACACAGTCACTGGACCAATGCGCCCCAACATGGGCTCGCCGTGCTTACCCACTCACAGCCATACCCAAGATCGAATCCCTGTTGTTCCAAGACTCGGATTGGACCGATTCATCGGTCACACTTGCTGCAACCATCCTATACCGCTCAGGATGTGATCCTGACCGCTTTTCGCAATGGCTAAGCAGCGATTTTGCAAGCCGAAGATCTACAGCTCATCTTGCGCGTGTGTTTCAAGCGCAACTTGAGCGGTCCCCCCACACCATCGACGCTTCAGCCTTCGATCCTTTCTTGGGGCGGCTCTTTGCTCAAGTCGCGGACGACAACGTCTCGTCGACACTTCGCGAGCCGTGTGCCGCAGCATGCCATGCCATCTTCAATGAATATCCGGAGATGACACCAAAGTTTTTGTCTACACTCGAGAAATGTATCGGCAAGTTGCGGGACACATCCCTGACGATGCAGTTGCTGTCAATCGGGAAACGTTTCTCGAGTAATTCCCTGATAGAGCATGCCCTGCGTTGGGGGGTGGATGTTCTCGCAACCTCCGAACCAGATACTCTCCTTGTTGGGGCAATCAGTGAGTGCAGATTGAAGAATGTTATACGCGACCGTTGACCACTATGGATAGCGTCTATGATTGAAGCGACCCGAAGTCTTCATTCAGCTTCCACAGAGACCTTATTATCAGTCATCATCCAGCACCGATTGTTTGACGATGCGTCCTTGGCCTTGTCCGCTGCTATACTGCGCAAGGGTTCATTCAAAGTACGCCACTGTCTATGTGTTTTGTCAATCGCTAACGCCGGCTTGATAGCCCTTGCTTGTCAACCGCTATATCCAGAGCATCATCCAGCACCCACACTTTTTCAGAGCATGCAATGCCCCATCCCGCGACGCTCTGATCGCTGTTCTTCACGTGCTATTCAATTGGCATCCAGCGAATACATGCCAACCCACCCATATACAACCGCTGGTGCCGATCTATCGAGGCACTGCGTCCGCTAGCGATCGCAAGCTTCTGTCGATATTACGACTTTTCGAAGACGAGCGCAAAGTTTCGATCGCTGCATTTCTCTCCCAGTGGTCTCCTTCTGTGGATGTTCCGTCAACCGGCGCCCTTGAAGCCGTGCAAAGTCTGGACCCGGTTGTAGTACTTCGCACATGTGTTCATTTTCCTGATTGGAGGAAGTTGGCTGCAGGTGAAGCGGGCGTGAGAGAGAGCTCAAGTCACGCGCAAATCTATGACCCCGTATTTCTGATTCTTCTCTTTGCGCATGCCATGGCAGAGGATGTGCCCGAGAGCGCGTTTGCCTGGATCCAAATCTTCAGGACGAACGTCGTCAGCCTTGTGATCAGGGGGCTGTCGTCCAAGGACGCAGATCTGAGACACGTCGCATGGGCTCAACTAGCTGCACTTTGGGCGCATCTCGAGGTCCCATATTATTTCTTAATTGTGTCTATTTCCTGACAAATTACAGTCAGCAGACATGCAAGAACAACCGCAAGTCGTCTATGTGCTCAACGTTCTGCGGAATGCGATCTCAGAGTCGGAACCTGCCAAGCGACTGCCGTCATACGCCACGTTGACTATTGCCCATGCACTGCGGGGCATCTTCTATCCCGCGCATTTCACCTATCCTCTGACGGCACGATTCCTGCTTCAGCGACCGTCCATCGACTTGACAGACGTTCCCTTGTTGTACGGAATGCTTTACAGCAGCTCAGACGACTGGAAGAAGGAGCGAGGCTGGATCATCCGATTCATCGCCGATGGCATGTCCTCCTCAGATGACTGGCGTGTCCTGAAGCGAAGGCACACCTGGGAGCTGCTTGCGACTCTGTTCCAGAGCTCCGAGGAGGATCAGTCTCTGCGCAACGCCATTCTCGAGGTCCTGGCGAATGTGACTTGCAACAGACAAGCCACAACATCCTTGCTTCTGAAGAGCAATCTGTTGCAATGGATCGAGACACAGCTTCTCCAAGGCATTGCAGAAGTATTGGCCTGGACACGCATTCTTGAAAACATACTGGTGGTCGTTGATGCCGCGAAGCTCGAATCTGCTACAGCCGGGGAATGGCGATCCGTGGTCAGCCGATGTCTCGCAATTCTGCTCAAGAACATGCCAAACCATGGTGGGGTCTCTACCTTGTCTCCCAATTTCTCGCTGACAGATCGCGAAGCCAAACCAGACACAGTGCTTGCGACCATTGCACCGGTGATCCTACGCCTGTCATCGCTGCCCGGAAACCCACCCCACAGTCTACGAGAAGTGCTTGATCTCGCCGTCCAAGGCATCCAATCGCTGGAGCGTGACATACCATTGCACGGGGGATGCCTCAATACACTGCTCAATGCGGAGAGTGCTCCGTGCCGAGCGGAAGACTTGCATCGGGTACCTGAGATGGACTGTCTAACGGCCTGGGGCTTCTCACTGGAGTGCCTCTGGCAAGCTTCCATGTGCCTGCCTCAAAAAAGCACGGCGTGGGATGAGCTGACGCCACGTCTGCTGGTCTGGCGATCGATGGTGGGGCTCGAGCGTTGCGTCGTTGGCGAATGGGCGCGCAAAATGACCGTATCGATGGTTTAACCTGTATCACATAGCTTGCTTGCTGTACTGCTACACCTCGAAGACTGGGATTCCGGGATATAATATGGACGCCAGCTGATATACATTAAGATGAAAGAACTACTCTGACTTGATCTCGCCTGCAGACGTCTTGAAGGAGACGCGAATCTTTTCAAGCTCCCGCTCGTATCGCAAGTGGTCGTTCTTCCGTTTGGTGATCTCTTCCGGACTCATCACATCATCCAGTTCCGAATCTGATGCAGTGCTGCCGTCTCGTTTGCTAAGTAGGCGCTCGATTTTCGCCTGTTCCGCGAACAGTCGCTGATAGTTCGACAGGTAATCGAGATATGTTTCATTATAACGCGTTCGTAATTTGCTTCTGTCGCTGGCAGGGATGGGTGCCATACGACTCGGTTCGCTGAGACGACCCGGCTCATTTGCAGCAGCCGAGCCGCTAGAGGACGGAATAGAGCGCAATTCGGTCTTTGGACGGGAAGCCGGTCGAATTTCGCCTTCATCCTCAGAGGAAGTATAGATGGGTTCTCGGCGCTTAGATGAAGCAGCAGACTGAACGGGTTTGGCAGTCGATGCGGTCGTTACAGGCCGTGCCGGCAGAGAGGATCGCCCTTGGTGTGATGCGCGTGCTAAACTGGTTTCGGGTCGGTTGGGAAGTCCGGCAGCGCGGGAGAGTAGGCCTTCATCCGTTTTGCGCCGTTTAGCAGGTTCAGCTGAGGTAACATCCTGGACGGGCTGTTTGCGTTTCAGAGTGTCTGGAGCTGTCTCTTTCGTAGGCCGCGTCTGAGTCGGTGGAGGTATTGGCGGAACAGCTTTCGCATTTACAGAGGGTCGCGGCGGCTCCCGACTCTTCGTGCGAACGTCCACAGGACCGCGGGCAGTTGGCTTGCTATCCGATCTGAGATTGGGATCTTGCCTCGCGTTCGGCTTTGCCTCTGACCGTGCCTCTGGTCTCGCACTCGGCTTCGCGTCTGTCCTCGCATTGAGCCTGGCGTCCGATTTTGTATCTTTTGCAGGCTTCATATCTTTGACAGTCGCTCTTGAATCCATTCCTGTAGATTTTGAGTCGACTGCTACCGAGATCCGAGCCTCGTGTGAACCCGCCCGCGGTGCACGATAGCCCGAGCCAGGACCAGTACGCCTCACAGCAGTCTCGGACACAACAGAATCCGACGGTCTTGAATCGCTGACTCGGGCAACTGGTCGACTGCCGTCTCGCATTGCGATTTCTGCTTTCGGATCGGGTTTCGGCTTCTTCTTCTTCTCCTTCAGCTCTTTCCCAGAAATCCCTCGCTTCCCACCACTTTTACCAACGAGCGCCGATTCCTCAGGCCGGTAGTTGACATGCGTCCAAAGAGGGTCGGTCTCAGGAATTTGGAGATTGCTCAAAACAAGTCTGGCGGTTCGGGCCATCATCATTCTCTCCTTGTCATCGAGCCCAGTCCACTCGTACGGCCGCACCTCCTTCCAAATCTCAGGCCGCAAAGTCCAATGGCCTGGTCTTTTACCAGGCTCCCCCATCTGCTGTGTGATACGGTGAGGACAATTGGTTACAAGTGGTTTGCCAAATACCTGGCTCAGCAATTGATGTATTTCGCGTCGCCGCGAGTCATCATCATCTCGAGGAAAGATGGCAAGCACTTCATCTAGAGTTCTTTCCTTGATAGCCATGAATTTCAGTACTGCAAATCGAACAGCACTAGAGACAGTCGTAACGGGAGGCGAAGGCGAGACAGGCCGAGTCGACGCTGATGCTCGGGGTTGTTGAACAGGGTTTCTGAACATTGCCGTTGAGGTTCCTGGTGCCTTCTTCTTCTTTTGTGCAGTGGGAAGGGGCTTATCCAGCATCATGATTTCGTGCCGCGCCTCTTTCGCGCCCCGCGTCGCAGACCGCATTTTTGTTTGAATCTTGTCGAGATCACGTTCAACGGTGAATCTCCCTGTAATATTGGCATAGAGTTTCAGAGGCGCCATCGGCTTCGCGGCGGACGAGGCCCGGAGATAAAGATCGTGAGGTTGGCCTTCATTAGTAGAACGCATAGGGAAGAATTGGCCGCCAATCACAAATCCCTGGGCAGTCTAAGTTTGAAAAACAACGCGCGAATTCTGTAAACTATCTCACCAGCTCTGGTCCAGACACGAACTCCAGCCTGGGAGCACCTTGGATTGCCAAGAGAGCGTCCTCCGACATCTTGACGATCATTGCTTGCTTGGGCACGGAGTGTAGGGTGTCTCCTGGCCGAGAATGGCCCTGTACCGACAGCTTGACGTTGGCGGGCAAAGACATCGTCAGTGAGTAGAGACAAAGGGAACGAGACTGGTAGCCGTTGTGACCGTGACGATGGTGTTTCGATCAATATTGTCTGTGATTGACAGACAGCCTATCGAAGACGACTCGATCAATCGGTAGAGTGGCGGTGTTGACAGGTTGCAGAATGATTTCAAATGAGTGCCCAGTGTAGATACGAACATCTCAGCCGAATCTCAAAATTGACGGGCAAAAAAATTCCACCTTATGAGGAAGCGCCTCTTCATACTTCATCAAATACATACAGAGAGTTCGGATTAATCTCATCTATGGAGCTACTATTAGCGTCTCACCAGCGTCTATGGATGAAAATCCATTCTCCGAGGAGCGAGTTATGCGAACAACAAGCTCTCTACGCTGTCAGACCATGACTTGCTTATACACTATTGCCCAGAATTGTTGTCTTACTTTTGTATAACCGAAACTCGATTTCGTAGTCTGGTCAGTCACGTGCAACTGCATATGGACATCGGTCCTGGATCACACACGTGCTCACTCACGCAAGCAGCCCTCCTCAACGTCCTCAAGAAAAATGGTGCGTAGCATCCATCGTGAATCTGGCGGGCTTACTGATTCATGTCCAGGCCGACCAAAAGACGACACCGACGAATCCCATGAAGGAGCCGAAGATTGAGAAGCTCGTCATCAGTGCGTCCATCGCGCCGTTTCAAATGACCTCCTACTTATGACTTCCAGACATCTCGGTGGGCGAATCCGGTGATCGTTTGACTCGTGCATCCAAGGTTCTGGAACAACTTACTGGTCAAACCCCCGTCACATCGAAGGCTCGGTACACCGTCCGAACATTTGGCATTCGCCGTAACGAAAAAATCGCCGTTCACGTTACCATACGTGGCCCGAAAGCTGAGGAGATTCTTGAGCGTGGCCTCAAGGTCAAGGAGTACGAGCTCCGCCGACGCAACTTCTCAGAGACCGGAAACTTTGGGTTCGGTATCCAGGAGCACATCGATCTCGGTGCCCGGTATGACCCTGGTATTGGTATATTCGGAATGGACTTCTACGTCGTGATGGGTCGGCCTGGTGCTCGAGTAGCTCGCCGGAGGCAGCAGAAGACTCGTGTTGGTTTCCAGCACCGCATCAAGAAGGAGGACACCATGAGCTGGTTCAAGCAGCGTTTCGATGGTATTATCCTTGTGCGTGACTTCTTCTGTCTCTTGTCCACAGAAGCTCAGGCTCAGAATTGCAGAAATAAATGCCTCGCTTCGTTTCTATGCTACTTACTCTATGCACACATGCAATCGGTCTTACCTGCTTGAGTCCTCGTCTTTTGTAACAGAACACTTGTGCATGAAACTCGGGTAGGTTTTCACGAAACGTGACTCCCATTCCCAGCTTGGGATCGAACGCTGCTGTAATACAATGTAGATCCGAGCCCATAAGTTGTACACAAATCACAAAACGTTGTGCTGCGTATGCGAAAGATCCGTACTGGTGCCGATCTGGTGATGAGGTTATTGATTGAAGCTTGTATACTATTATTTGCTAGCGCCTTCATCGCGATCTGATTTTTCTGAGCTGCTCACTGCCTGCAACGCACAATGTCTCGATTCTTCAGGAACGCAAACGACTCCGATTCTGAGTCCTCTGATGAAGAGGAGGAGGTGCTCATGTCTAGTGACGATGAGGCACCGGTCCAGCAGCGTCCTGTTGCTGGTGCTCGAGGCAATGCTATGGACCGTTTCCTGTACACTGCCGGAGGATCTTCTGACAGCTCCGACGACGATTCAGAAAGTGACGATGACTCGGACGACATCGAAAGTGATGAAGAAGAGCCACAACAAGCCGTTCGGATAAAAAGCGCGCAAGAGAAACGGTTGGATGAGATGGAGGCAACGGGCAAGGTCATGGAAAACGCTTTGAAAATCAATGACTGGGTCGCCATATCAAACGGTGTGTCGACTTGAAATTCATCGGGTTGTTTCGTCAACTTTTGGCAGAATTCGATAAACTTGCGCGTATGATTCAGCGGCAGCATAACGTCTCGGAACCGATCCCACCCTTCTACATCCGGACTCTGATCAGCCTTGAAAATTCCATCAACAATGCTCTGGCCAAGGAAAAGGAGGCCAAGAAGAAAACTAATGCCACCAATGCCAAGGCCATGACCGCAATGAGGCAGAAAGTCAAAAAGGCACTGAAGGAGTACGAGGGCGATGTTACCAAGTTCAATGCTGTCAGATTTTCCAGAAAGTGTATCGATTCTAGGAAACTGATCCATTATCAGGATCCTGAAGCCTTTGAACGCGAATACACCGCCCTGCTTGTACAAAGCGCACCGGCACCGACAGCAGGTGTACCCCGACCGTCAACTACACCTGCCGACAGAGATGCTGCCGATGACGGATTCACGACTGTTTCCAAGGGCGGAAAGTCACTTCAGTTTTCTGCAGATGTGGTCCTCAAGACGCTTCAGGCTGTCCAGGAAGCTCGCGGCAAAAAAGTCCGTCAGGATTCCGTATACTCTATACTCGTGGCGCTAATTGCAGTTCCCAGAACACCGATCGTGCTGAACAAATTCGAATCCTCGAGAAGCTGCTCGAGGTCGCAGCAACCCCGTACCAGCGACTCAGGGTGTTGCTCTCCCTTGTGTCCTCGCGATTTGACTACAACTCCTCGATCACATCCCATATGTCGATCGAGCTCTGGCTGGCTGCCCAACGGGAAGTCGATCAGCTTCTCGGTCTAGCGATGTCCAATCCTAGCTATGTGATCCAGGAGGTCACGGAAGACTACGACGAGTTGAAGGAACGCAGTCCTGAGGACCCTGAAGAACAGGGCGGAATAGTCCGTGTCCGGGGCAGCATCATCAGTTTCGTGGATCGCCTGGACGATGAATTCACGAAGAGCCTACAAAACATCGATCCCCACGGAACAGAATACGTTGATCGCTTGAAGGACGAGAAGGTCCTCTACTGCACGATCTGTCGCGCCCAGGCATTCTACGAACACTCCAAAGGAGATGAGCCTCTTGCTCGTGTTATCATGAGAAGGCTCGAACACATCTACTCCAAGGTGTGGCGTCTGACTGCGTCTGTAAGTATACTGCTAATGTGTTGTCTACAGCCAGACCCTGTCGTTCAAGTCTTGGAGACAGCCGTGGACACATCGGCGCTGAAACCCTCCACCATGCGATTGTCGCTTCTGGGCGCAACTTCGAGCCTGATTCACGATCTATGCGTTCATCTGTACAAGTTTGGCAACTCACTGCTGCGCACCCGCGCCATGCTCAGCCACATCTACCATTATGCACTGCATAACGACTTCCATACGGCACGGGACATGCTGCTTATGTCCCATTTGCAGGAGACGATCCATTCTGCCGACGTTGGAACGCAGATTCTGTACAACCGAACCATCGTGCAATTGGGTCTGTGCGCTTTCCGTTGCGGTCTGATCAAAGAGGCGCAGGCCACTCTGCAGGAGATCTCGACGACGCAGCGAGTGAAAGAGCTGCTCGCTCAGGGCCATACTCAACGTTTCCAAGTCCTGACCCCGGAGCAAGAAAAGGCAGAGAAGCAGCGTCAGATGCCATTCCACATGCACATCAATACCGAGCTACTGGAAGCAGCCTTTCTGGTCTCCAGCATGCTGATCGAGATCCCTCTGCTTGCCAGCATCGATTCGGAAGAGCTGAAGCGCAAGGCGATATCCAAGCCGTTCCGACGTCTACTGGACTTTGCTGACCGTCAGGTGTTCACTGGCCCTCCAGAGAGCACACGGGACCATATCATGCAAGCCAGCAAGGCGCTGCAAGAAGGCGACTGGGAGCAGTGTCGCGATCTCATCCAAAGCATCAAGATCTGGAGTTTGATGCCCGAAGCAGCATCGGTGAAAGACATGCTCGCTCAGTGCGTGTGCTCGACTGAAAGAGACTGGTGCTAACTCCCATCAGCCGTATACAGGAACAGGGCCTGAGAACTTACCTATTTACATTCGCCCCGTATTACACGACGCTTTCTCTGTCCGTACTTGCGCAGACGTTTTCCCTTCCGGTGCGGGCAGTGACATCGATCGTGTCGAAGATGATCTGGAACGAAGAGCTTCCTGCCTCGCTCGATCAGTCCAGCGGGGTCGTCGTCTTCCACATTATCGAGGTCACACGCACGCAGCAACTTGCTCTGTCAATCGCAGACAAAGTTGGGGCCATGGTCGAGCAGAACGAAAAAGCGTTGGATACGAAAATGGGTGGCGTCGGTGGCTGGGGCGACCGCACCGAGGGTGCAAAGGGAGAAAAACGTGGCGAACAGACGCAAGAGCGTCGCGGCCGTTCTGACCGAACGAGAGGCGCCCGAGGTCCGTGCTCATTTTACGAGTGTACGCATTCTGACCCGTATCTAGGCGGCGCTCGGGGCCGAGGAGCAAGATTCGCGCAAGGCTTGGGTAACGAAATGCCGTCGAGGACAGGATAAGCATCATCTGCATTATGTATCGTGTACATTGACCATTAACTGCTATCTCTTTTCTCTTCAATTCTCGACTGAAACAGTGCTTCTATTGTACATGAGGGAGGGTGCGTATGATAAGGGTGGAAGTGCCTGTCAGGAATGTATTTGTTCAGGGTGCCAAGAGAGCAGAACTGGAGAGCAAAAAGACAGCGACGTGCAGCAAATGAAACGATTAAGGAGAAGGAAACCCTCCAACGATATATGGGTGATTCATCGCGCGTTTTGCTAGACAAAGATCAGCCGACTTCATAGATCCCCAACGCATCTCACCTGAAATACGCAGTGCAGCATCGTAAACGAGGGTTTGCTTCGGAACCACTGTTCAGGCAGACGCAAACGGTGTAGAAGGGTCTCGTACCCTGAGCAGATCGACTCCATCTTCATCAAGGGACGGCACCACCCGCGCTAGGTCCTGCGCAGTCCATTTCGGAAATGTCGCCTTGTAATCTGGCAACTTCTCGATTCCAGGCCACATAGTCTCGTTCGGAGTGCCCATGATGCTGTCACAATGTGTCAGTTTTAGATCTTCTCCCCAGATCATATAGCGCACCGGAAAATCCGGAAAATTTGGTCAATTTCGGAGTCTCCAGGAAACAAGGGTGCCCCGCGCATGGCCATCTCAGCCAGAATACATCCCACACTCCAAATGTCAAGTGATGTGCTGTAATTCCGAGCACCTAGCAACACTTCTGGCGCTCGATACCACAGAGTGACCACCTGAGTTGCAAATCAATCAATCAACAAGTAGTTGGGCACAATGTCGCACTTCGTGAGTGTATGTCCTCATCGGTAGACCAAAAGCTCGAGCAAGTCCAAAGTCTGCCAATTTGAGGACTTCACTATTACCATGTTCATCGCGCTGGCCTGTGGCATCCTGTGCGATGAGAAGATTCTGAGGCTTCAGGTCACGATGGAGGATGCGATGTCCGTGACAAAATCGCAAGCCAGAGACCATATGTTGAGTGAATTTCTGACGAAGATATCAATACATCCAGAAAGTGGGGTATCACGTGGAGATAGAGATCTGAACATTGGAGGATTACACGCCCACGCGATCAGACGCGCTAATTCACGCGACCAGTGTGACTGTCGATCAACAGCGCCCAAGTCTCTATGTGGAGATCTCGTGCCAAACGATAACGCGCCAAATAAGCGGGGCGAGACGCAACGGCACATGATACAGAGAAATAGGAATCCAATGAATCAAACCAAGAAAGCATGGAATCAAGCTACGGTCAAGATTTGAATAGCAGTTTCGATCCATGTCAACAGCAAGCGAAAGCATCGCTAGCAGCAAATGAGCAGATAAAGGAGAGATACGACAGCGGGAATGAGAACGAGACGGGTGCACACAGAATCCGGACACCAGGAATGATGCATGTACGATCGACAGATGCGCAGGAACACCATCTAGCAAGAAACAGTAACGAGGATACGGACCTTGACAATATGGGGTGCAATGGGCGACTGGTCGCGATTGCCGTTCTCGATATAGCGCTTGAGATCGACGTCTAGAAACTCGAAAACGAGGTATAGTCGCTGGTCGGCATGAACAATATCAAGTAACCTGGAGGATCTGTTGAGCATGTATGGCGAGCCACGAAAGAGATCAAACGCGCCTGACAATATAAGGGCTGTTCAACTCCCTCAGTAGACTGATCTCTCGAATGGCCGTGCTCGGTATGCCCTCGTCCTCGGACTCCAGACGAATCTTCTTCAAGGCTACGACGGCCCCCGTAGGTTTGTCGTGGGCCTTATAAACGACACCATACGTGCCTGAATAGGAACGCGATGGGTCGAGGCGACATGCATCTGTCGCGGCCTGGACACACCTTCACCTGGCGAGCTATGAATAAGGAGCACAATAGGAGACCGCAAGAGACTTGCCAACTTTCTCCACCTTTTCGTATCTGGAACGATGTCGAAATGAGAATTAGCCGTCGACGAAGGGCTCGCCGGCTCACCGATCCATGGACTGTCTGGGTGGCAAAGACTGAGTGGTAGCGCAAGAAGCGGATCAGGCGTGAAGCGTTATGTATGAGATGTAGGAATTACCTCACAGGGGATCAGGATGGGTGCCAGGTGGCGAGTCGACAAGTAAGACAAGACAGATACGAAGAAGACAAGGCGACGCGTCTGAAACCGTGTTCCCAGTCCTTGTGTCTTCCATTCCTGACCTTCACAGCCACATATCTCGCAGCTCGGCAATCGATTGCAGAATCATCTCTTTCAGTTTCACTTTTTGCCGCGATCAGTCTATGTCCGCACGTGAGAGAAAGCTTGCAGGCTACGGCTGTTTATGACTACTGAACGAATTAAATGTCTTCGAGGCTAAAGCCGATTTCTCAAGTGTGTGTCGCTGGCCTGTTACATGAAAAGGAGACGACTGGTTTGCGCCATTAATCAGAATCGCCTCTGTCCCTCAACTCCTGCAGACTCCTGCTCGAGACGGTGGCACTGGCGTTTCTAAGAATATTTAGATGTATTTTATTAGATTTTCTGCATCAGTCAGATTCCTCTCCATCTGATGTCGCGGTATCGGTTGCTGCTGTCCAGTCTGAAACCTCGAGCTTCTCATTTTTGAAAGTCTCTTCCCATGGATAGTGAGAATTGAAAACCAGATGGGGCGAAATACAGACGGACCTCCTGCTGCCGCTTCATAGCCAGCTTGTGTCACACAACGGACGAGCTCGCCCTTGGCCCCAACTTTGGTGTTCTTCCCCAGAATACACCCATCCAGCTTGACACTGGAAGAAAGTTAAAACATATGCGGTAAGTGTAAGCGAGAGAGGAAGGGGCGCACCCGTCTTCGACGACACAGTGATCGAGCAGCACGCACCCTATAATCTTGACCATTTTGCCAATTGTGCAATGACGTCCGATGACGGATTTCTTGACAGTCGTCCGTTCGTCGATTCTGGTGGATTGGCCGATGATGGTGTCCCCCGATATCTGAGCCTTCTGGTCAATCAGAGCTCGATCCTTGGGGTCGGTGGGCAGTGCATAACTAGCAGACGACAATGACTGATTGCGATCAGCATCTGGATCTGTTCGCTGTATTGGGAGCGTACATGTCGATTCAGTTCCATGAAGGAGTGTATATTGTTCACTCGGGCGATGATGCCCTTCCCGGCTGGATGAACATAGAGTCCCACCCGAAGACTGGGAGCGGGCTCAATGCTGCCCTCAACGCCATTTGGCGACTGCGGTGCAGATGTTGCACTACTCTTGTTTACGGAAAGATGCTGTGTTCGGTGCTGTGAAGGCACGGAACCAAGTGTCGAATGTTTCAGGGCGGTATTTTGAGATCCGTCCGCAGAACTGGCGAGGACTGCAGAAAGCTCAGTACAGCGGTCGACTACTCGAGGCAAACGGCCATACTGTGTTCATATCTTTGTCTTTTCCCACGTTGGTACTGGACCTTGCAGAGCCACGGAAGAAATTCTTCCCGAAAAGAATCGAAATGCTCTTTCTCGTGCAAGACATCCAAGACAGAGCGCTTGCAGATATATACATGCGAGTCTTGAACATTGGAGGATAGAGACGTTCTCGGATACCTTGGAACGTAAGTCATAAGTGTCACCAGCCAAAGAACGTCATACTTTGCAAGTAAAGACATCCTCAATTCCACTTCTTCGGAGTTATTATCCAGATCGTCGGCAGTATCCACATACAGAAGTGTTTCGGAACTGCGATCCCATACAATCGAGGTAGTGGGTGCGATCTGTCCCCACTCGTCCGGGGTCGTGCTTTTTTCGGCTTTTGTTGGTGTGAACCAACATGTTGTAGCAACGAGACCATCAGACACCGAGTCTACCCGGAATCGATTCAGCAGGGTAGTGAGGGGTAGAGATTGAGGTGGGATGAAGTCGCAAGGCACGAGGATGAAATCCCTTGGGATCCTCGACGCGAAATGGCGCAAAATAGTGCATGTTCCGACTCCGCTGTCAGCAGTCTCCTCATATGACTGAATATCGACATGAAGGGAGGCATATGGATGCGAGAGGATGTGATGAGAGATAGCCGGGCGATGGATTGTAGGACAGATCAACAGAACATCTGTAAGCTACGATGAGTATTGCTGAGAACACATCGAGGAGACCGACCTTTGACACCAGCTTGGTCCAGCCAGGAGAGTGTGTAGTCAACTATTGGGATATTTGCCAAAGGAAGTAGAGCTTTAGGGCATGCTTCGTCGCCGTGATCACTGGTTAACGGCGTAAGTCTGCACAGGATGAGGGCGTGTTCCCGGGTCGACAATATATTGAATTACTCGTTGCCGAAGCCCGCTAGAAGCACGCCCAAGAACTCTGGTGGGACGAGTTCAATCTGAGGGTCCATTTCGAGCATTTTGCAATGTGTGCGATCAAGATAAGTTCAAGGCTCGGCTGACTCGATGCGGACATGATCAGTTTGACAGGTGGCTGTACCATACCTCATGAGTGTACACCAACTCTACAAGCGCTTGGAGACCGTCGGCAAAGGCGCCTACGGCAGCGTCCACAAAGGCATCGATCGTGCAGGGAACATCGTTGCTCTTAAAATCATCAATCTCGATATTGAAAGCGATGATGTGGGCGACATTCAACGCGAAGTCGCGCTTCTGACACAATTACGCGATGCACCTAATATCACCAGATACTATGGCTGCCACATGGATGGCCCTAGAGTTTGGATCGTTATGGAGTTTGCACAGGGAGGCAGCGCTCTGTCTCTCATGAAAGCTTCTAGGGATGGGTGCTTGGAGGAGAAGTTTGTGAATGTCATCATCCGGGAGGTCCTAATTGCCTTGAGCTACCTGCATAAAGTCCCCGTCATCCACCGAGATATCAAGGCTGCCAATGTCCTAGTCACGGCTACCGGAAAAGTGATGATATGTGACTTCGGTGTATCTGCGCTTTTGAGTACGGCTGGGAGCAAGCGAAACACCATGACTGGTACGTCGTCATGTTCCCGCCGGTCAACAAACTCAGCGATTGCCACCATCAGGCACCCCATATTGGATGGCGCCTGAAGTTGTGCAGAGTGTACCTGCTTACGATACCAAAGCCGACATTTGGAGTTTGGGAATCATGATCTACGAGATGTTCAAAGGCAGTCCCCCGCACTCGAACCTCGAACCTTTCAAAGTGATGGACCTCATTCCGCGCGTAAAGCCTCCTAGACTCTCAGACAACGAAGGATCCAAGGACATGCGCGACTTCATGTCGTATTGTTTGAAAGAGTCCTCTACCGAAGTGAGATTCCATCGTGTATGCTCCCCACCGCTAATATACGCCCAGCGACTCCCAGCGGACGAGTTGCAAAAAACAAAATGGATCAAATCTGTTTCTAAAGTGGGAACCACGGTTTTGACCGAGCTGGTGCGACGATTAGAGCAAGCTGGGAGGCGTGCAAGTCTCGCCGAGCCGTTGGAATGGGAGGAGGACGAGTTGAGAGAGTGCGCATTTGTATTCTATGGAAGTGACCTCCTCACTGACTCACTCAGACAAGAGGGCAGGATCGATGAGGACATCAACCCTTGGGAGTTTGACACCGTTCGTGGTAGCGCTCTGCTCAGTCAAGATTTCGACGTGCGTCGCCTTCGCGATATCGATGGCGAGAATGATCAGATGCAAGCTACGGTGCGACCTCCAGCAGCGCCCTTACCATCTTCACTGCGACTTTTGTTCGAAGACGAAACGACCGCACCGACAGAGCAGTTCAGAGTCACGCCATTCCAAATTCCTCTGCAACGCGACACACCTAGCCCACCGAATCACCTGCCAGTTCCGTCATCAGGATCTCCGAGTAGAGACAGACCGCTGCTCAAACGCGGCCTTACTGTGGACAACGTGGCTGACGACCTTACTGCCAAAAAAGGCACATTCGCATTCCCGCCTCGCAACGTAAATCGATCTCGCTCCAATCTCGCCGATGAGGAAATCATCAAAACAGACGTAATCGAGGGCTCGGGAGCTAGAAACAGTTATCGAAGCAAAGGTCCTCCCAATATCGAAATTCCCCCATCCGAGCATATTGCGTTTGACCTTGCGAGCCCTACTCACCACGCTGTCCCTTCTTCGGCTTCTTCGACGGTTTCAAGGCCTGTTATGAGCCGGAAACGATCCCAGAGCAACGCAGATGGTCCGGGGTCGGCATCATCGAAGGAAAGAGATGAGAACCGGCGCGAGTCGCCGAATCTGTTCCAATTTCCTCCATCGCAGAAAGCTGTATCACCCTCAGTACCGGATGTGACTGCTCTGCAGCTACCCAAGCCACACAACAGGACATCCCCGACTCACGCCAGTGCTTCCCCTCTTCCGGTTTCGCCCGTTGCACATCAGGCCACTCATTCACTTGACATCGTTGGGGCGACTCGACGATTCCCAGCTGCCAGCCCTCGCCCCGCGCCCAGCATGATCAGGACAAGATCGGCCACGGCACTTGCTGAAGGTACTCCTGTGAGACACAATCGGCCGGCTGTCGATCAACCACTGGTTCCGCCCATCAAGCCTTTTGCTCGAGGAACAAGAGAGCGAAGCGGAAGTGATGCGAGTAATCAGAGCTACACTCCTGGTCTTGGCACGCCAGGGCTGAAGGATGTGCTCAAGGTGCGTTGTCCTGACTATTGCTCGGTGCGTCTCAGACCGGGCTCGTAGATCCCCTCTTTGTCGTCGGAGCATCACTTGGGCATATCTGATCTGCTTCCTCCATCGCCTTCGGCCATGACGTACAGCCCAAGAATATTTGCACCGGGTTCCAGTCAATTAGCATCTTCAAGCACGGTGCCATCAACTCCGGAGCATGCGGTCAACCGTCCAGTCTTCACAGGCCTGTCTAATACCCCATTTTCACTCGGTCTGCCCAAGTCGGCTTCGCCTCCGCCAATGCTCTCCGAGCCGTTGCATTCACGCTCCCATCGACCAACGACTTCTTTTGCATCGATTTCGACCCTGGGGCCTGTCATTCGTCCGCTAGATTTTGCGGCAGTTATCGACAGCGAGAATACACACGCTGAGCTGGGACGCGCGATCGAGGATCTCTCTCAATGGCTCGCGATTGTCGAAACGGGGCTTAGCACAATGTTGGACCCAACTCCATACGCAAGTACCATTGCAGAAGAACAAGAAGGGCCTGCCACCGAGCTCGAAGAAAGTGATCAATGATATGTTATTACATTTGGATGAAACCGTGGGTGGTGAGGTATTCCATGATAATGCGAACGCTTTCCTGCACGTCATTCTCGTCCGTTTTTATGTGGATTTCCGGGTTTTCCGGCGCCTCGTAGGGCGCAGAGATTCCAGTGAAATCTGGCGCAATGTTGGCGTGATAGGCAACGGACAAGAGACAAGACAAAGACATCACACACCTTTGATCTCGCCTGCGCGAGCCTTCTTGTACAAGCCCTTGGGATCACGCTGTTCGACAACGGAGATCGGCGCGTCGATGAACACCTCAATGAAGGCTAGGGAGGCCTTTTCGTGCAGGTCGCGGGCCATGGCGCGATCGGCTCGGTAAGGTGAAATGAAGGCTGTGGGGGTGATGCACGACGCATCCGTAAACAGTTTTGAGACCTGTAGCATACACATCTTTTTGAAACACTCGTCGAGAACACGGACAATGCACCCTCACCTCTCCGATCCGGCGAATGTTCTCCACTCTCGACTTTTCATCGAAACCAAGATCTTTGTTGAGGCCGAATCGGATGTTGTCGCCGTCCAAACGATAGACGAACTTGCGCAAATGCAGCAGATGTTGCTCCAGCGCGCAAGCGATCGTAGACTGGTTGTCGTCAGAAGAAAATAAGTTCTGGTATCATAGGAATGGGCGAACCTTGCCACTAGCACTGAGGCCAGTGAACCAGATGGTTATCCCTCGTTGTCCAATGAGAGAAATGCGCTCGTCGCTCGAAACAGAGCCAGGGTGGAATGTGATGTTAGTGGCCATGAGGAAAGTAACTGCAGCAAGTGGTCGCAATTGAGAGATATAAGTATTGGGTGTTGTGCCAAGGAAGTCGAAGTCGCCGCCAAGAGTCCAGCGACGAGCGTAGTCCGATGGCCCGATGGTGGCTGTAGATATACTAAACGCTTGAGATGCTTCAAGATGGTGGGAGGAGTAAATCTCTCTGCCGGCCGATCAAGTCCGACACCCACGACTTTCGGGTCAGTGGCTGCGACCGGGCCGGAATAGACCAGAGCGAACCAAATGACCGTGAGAGTGCTCACTGGCAAATCCTACCAGTGGCCATATGATTTCGGTCTTGTCGCCCGTTTGTCAAAACTTCACACTGGAGGGAAAGCAGATACGTTCGGTGCTTCCGCCGACGGGCCCCACACGATCCAGCTTCTAATTGTTTTAAATCTCATTTGATGCATGTGGCTCGAGCCGAATGGGTTGCAAATGGGCGACAACCATCTTCGCCTAAGCAAGTAAGAGCTAAACTTGTACTACGCCTGGAATCTTCCCTCCCACTGCTTTCCGTCGTTTTCCTTCGTTTCCCAGGCAACTAGCGCAGCTTCATCCCACATCTTGCCGGCCATCTCTCCATCCTTGCGCAGGAATGGACGTGCCTCCAGCTCGGGTGGGAGATACGTGTTGGTCACAGGGTGTCTGCAGCGGAATGAGCAGATGGATCGCAGCACAACCGCCGACGTACGCGTAATCTGGGTTGTAGCGGTAGCCTTCTCCGTACCCGATTGATTCCATAAGCCCCGTCGGGGCATTTCTCACTGCCAAGGGCACAGCCAAAGTTGGATGTTCGAGCGCGGCTGCCTCGGCTTTCTTGTAGGCTTCGTAAGACACGGTCGACTTGGGTGCCTTGCTGGAACAGAATGGATCCCTCGATGACTGGCGGCGACTTTCCGCCTACCTCAGATAGACAACAAGATGAGCCAGGTTGATCCGACATTCTGGCATCCCAACGTGTTGGCAGGCAGTCAGGGTGGCTGTTGCCTGGTCCATTCAACGGCGGGTCCGGAGTGTATGGCAGAACGTACCAAAGGCAGAGCATGACTATCCGCCAGTCCGATGTCTTCACTGGCACAGACAACCAGTCGCCGACAGATGTAAACAGGATCATCGCCACCAGTCAACATCCGAGCCAGCCAGTACAGCGCTGCGTCGGCTTGAGAACCCCGAATGCTCTTGTGCAGTGCTGAGATGAGATTGTAGTGGTCTTCGGCCGTGTCATAATTGGTGGCTGCAGACCGTCGGATCAGCGCGATTGTCTTTGCTTCATCGCAGTCTTCAGGAACTTTCAGGGCAATTTCGACGAGTGAGATAGCAACCCGGGCATCCCCCGATGACATTCTTACAATGGTTTCAACGACTTTATCAGCGAGCCCATGAGAGGACCCCGCGTCACGTGAAAGGCGGTCCAGCGACTGGGTCACGATGTTCTGAATGTCTCGGTCCTGGAGGCGGTCCAAGGCAAACACTCTGTAAAACGTCCGACCGTGGTATTAACGCATCTGGAACGACTAACCGACATCGGCTGAGAAGTGCACCGTTCAATTTGAAGGACGGATTCTCGGTCGTGGCTCCAATCAACTAGGAGCTCTTGTGAGACGGAAGGTGTATAGCCAGGTACAAAGGACACAGACCTGGATATAGCCCTTCTCAAGAGAGGGCAAAAAAATGTCCTGTTCGAGATTGAGCGGTCCGTCCCGCATCAATTCGCCTCGATCTGCACACCTGCTGTCCTCGGTTAAATCGATGGACTATGTTCCGATGAGCTCTGGGGTTCGAGCGGCAGAGAAGGAACACGCACTTTCATCGAAGAATAACACCGTCTTTCTGCGAAAAGGGCGTTCAACATATGATGGGGGCCAGGATGCATCATCTTACTTGGCAGTCAAAGCCAATGTCGATTTCGCAGCGTCTACAATCGCCCGCACATCGTTGATACTCGCCGTTGTGGCGCTGAGTTCCTTGAACACAGCATCTGTCTGAGTAGCAATCAGCCGTGCAAGAGTCGTTTTGCCACATCTGGCGAGGTTCAACGTCCCATTCCATTCCTGATGGGTAATTAACTCACCCACTAGGACCCCAGAGTATTACAGAGCCAGCGAAGCCGTTTCGAATTAGATCCACGACGTGATGATGACCGACAAAATCCTTGAAAATGACAGGTCGAAGTTTCTCTGCCAATGGCGCAGCGTCTTGCAAGGTGGTCTTGCTCCGCTTCGCGGGGGGGTCACCGACCGACTTGGGAACAGCTTCTTGTGTTTTGCGCTTTAAAGCTGTAGGCGTCATCAGTGCCGAACTTTGGGACGCCATGGCCGGCTTCGACTTGGAGTTGAATATTGGAGCAATTTTTTTGCGGTGACCGACATCGGAAGTATCAGAAGATTGGCTTGATAGTTTCGGCTTGGATTGGGATGTAAATTCTCGTTCAGCGGACACGTCCCGACAGCCTTGGTCGATATGGGCATTGATATTGTGAGATTCCACACGGTTAGAGCAAATGGGACTAAGAAGAGGAGTTGTTCGAACCCGGTCGTACTGGTAGGCCAATGGCGTACCACGTCACTAGATTTTCAAAAGAGTAAGAAAAGATCTGCTGCCACAGATGGAAGAATGTAAGCACCAGTCTCGGTCATCGAAAAGGCAGTAGAAGAGCGCCAATTGTCACGTCACGTTGATTGCCTACATATGTGACAGATCGCGTCATGCAGTCCACTAACTGAAAGCACATGTAATTTCATTCAGAACAGACCCGGAATTAGTTTGTACGGTACTCGAGCACTCCAATTCACCCATTCATCCCCGAAATGCTTTTCCAGCAACTTGTCCTCCGCGTTAGTACGCAGAATCAGGCCACAGATGATAAAAGCCACTATCCCCGTTTGGAGCATCACTGCGCATCTGCCGACCAGCGTGTCCAGGACCCCGCACTCTTGAATCCAGGACCCCTGACGACCATTCAACACTATGTCCCATAATATGAGCGCCTATACATAGACGTACCGGAGCAAAGGAAAAACAAAAGACCCCAGAGACGGCAAGAATGATTCCTGTGTAGCCAGGGTGTCTGACTGCATCGTAAGGCCCGGACTGGACCAGACGATGGTCTGAAGAAGCTGAGTCGGGTGTGTTATTTGAGAATGAAATGCCCACCGTTACGAATGGAGACCTCAAATGTGAACAGATTGCCCAGCTCGCAGTAGCACCAATATCGGATACCGGCACCGACCGCGGTGAGCACGATGCCCGTAACGAATCTACACCCAAGTCAAAGACAACTGCAGAGCTCATGAGAGGGATACATACAAAGGAGAAACCCAGACGATGCCGTTGCTGCCCTCATGCACAAGGACGTCCAGAATTACTCGAGACAATGCGCACTCTGGGAGATAGCTTGCAAAAATAACTAATATCTCTGACAATGCTGCAGCCCAGCACAGAGACTGCGATTCCTTCTTAGCATAACGGAATGCATGAACGAAGCAAAATACCTTGACCAAGAACGGGCCCGATCGTTGTTTGAGTAGAATCTCGACAAGCGCCCACGAGATCTGCTCTGCTTCTGGAGGTGGAGGATGGGGAGGCGTAACAGCAATTTGAAACCCGGCCATAGCGTAGAGAATGCACGGAATTTTGATCCAAGCCATGGTGCACAATTTTACAGGCAGCCAGCTTACTGAAAATTATATGTACGCACTCGCCAGATTGTATCCAGATCGTGTCCGAGATTCTCGCAGCAGATGACAGCACAGGCCGGCCGCCTGACTGGTCTGCGGCTCCGCCAGAGGGTTGAATTGAGTGGTTCTAAGCTGTTTCCAATTGTCCCTGGGTGGCGCCCGCTCCCCGACAACAAGGTTTATATCCGTGATTTCAATACCATTCATATCCGTCCACGAGGCTGAATCCGCTCGGGGCAATGCTGTTGGTCCTGCGAGCGACCCGGAATGGAAAGAGCCGCTGTAACTTGATGCATTTACGGTCTTACCAGATCCCACGCTCCTCGGGCTAGCAGCAGAAGGCGAGAACTAGGTAGCAACCTCATGATCCAGCTCATGTCAAATTTATTGGGCTGAAGTACACAACTCCAGGATTCTAAACGGATTCTGTGATTGTTTTGAGACATAAGGTACGGCATAATTAAGCCAGGACATACGCTGTAGCACGCTGTTGAGCTTGGTCACACGAGACTGCACACTGAGGTCTACAGTCTTATCGCCAAAATCCACCACGAGGCCACCAAGAACAGAAGAATTGACCTGACTCAGGAGTTCAATGACAGCGGGAAAGGGAAAGATACTGACAGACCTTGTTGGTCACCTTGAGAACTTTGGCCTTCTGACCAGCTTGAGATTGCTTAAGGGCGGTCTCTAAGCGAGAGAGAACATCCTTTGGAAGAGGTGTCGCGGAAGTGACGACGACGGTGAGTTCTCCGCGATACTTTTCTACGAGCTCGTTGAAGCCTTCTATGACGCCTTGCGTCTCCGCAAGACGGCCATTCTCAGAGAGAACGCCGAGGAGATTTTTGGTGATCTCCGAAAGGGACTCCTTCTTGGGGGCTGCGCTCTCGAGATGGGTGTAGAACGAAGCAAGTCCAGCTTTGCGCTCATTGGCAGAGAGTGTGGGATTAGAGATAAAGGCGTTGAGAGCGGCGTCCTGGGTGAGGGCAGAGGACACGGCAGCGAGCTCGGTATGCACCTTGGTCAGCGTCTGCGGCGACTGAGCCAAGGCAGCACCGTAGACGGCATTGGAGTATTTAAGTGCGAGGGCGGACGCAGCACGTTGGCCAAGGGCGGGCGCGGCGCTGACGGCTCTTCGGGCGAACATGGAGGCGGGAAAGGTGACGGTCAATACAAATCCAAACAAACCGTTCTGAATCAAACCTCTCCTGCATTCGCAGGTCCTTCGTATGTAAATGTTATTGAGTGGTTTCCGACCAGTGCTTCGACTTCCACGACTTCATACAAGACAATTCGCGCTCAAGGAACCAAGCCTTGCGTTTCCCACCCGTCCGAACCCCTTACCGCATCAAATATTCCACCTTCCTCGCAATGCCTCCCCGGCGGAAGTGAAGGCAAGATGTTCGTTCCTTCGTTCTTCTAACATCTCATTTCTGCACTGCTAAATGTATTCAGATTTCGAATTGGTTCGAATATATCATCCGG